CCCCCCTTTTCTTCTTCTTCAGTCACTGACAGCTTTATCGTTTATATAGATTCTCTTCTCTACGCTCCTTCGCCAGATGCCACTTTACACAAACATCCACGGTCGCACAGTGGTGTACTGGCTGAGCAACATTGGTGTAAGTCGATATGTGATAAGCACACGAAAGACGAGTAGAGCTGATATCATAAATAGCTTGGAGCAGGTCCTTTGATCCTTAGTTGGATCAACGAAATATGTTCCAACGACAGCGAAATGCGATCACTGCTCATTGCGATGGCCAACGACTTGGCCTATGTTGTACAGGCCGTGGCGCCGAATTTTGTGTGGAAGACGACGGATTTCCCTGCCGCCAGGAAGGGGTATACCTGGTCGATTGTCCTCAATGTTTTGCTCAGTAAGAAATTTCCGGCTCGTGGTCCATTCAATTTGCTAATCATGGTCTGCAGTACTCGTCACCGCGGCAATCCAGATATTGCTCCGGCGGGATAAAAGGCGTGCGGCAAGGGCAAGCGATGATCATTCATCCATAACTCCTGTTGGATATACGATCAATGAAAATAATCTTGATGAAAAAGCTTCTCGGCACGGCGAGATATCAGCAAAGGATGCAGAGGTGGCTAGGTGAAGGGCTTCATTCTCTGAACGCTACAAGTCTCAAATACTGGTGGTAGGAATACGCAATCCTAGCCTTTTGCTAGATATCCAAGAAATGTTTCAATTGAGATAGGATTTTCGCGCTCATAACTCACTATATAATTACTGTAGTTAGCTTTTTAAACCTGATTTTCTTTCTCTTCATGTCCCTTACCATTCTGCCATTATGCACAGCCCTTTTTACAGAAAAACTCATACCGCACATGATCCCCATCGGTAATGATCATGCGAAACCAGTGCCGAGGTATTGCGAGGACCATTTCTGATCCATCGCAGTGTTCATTAGCTTGAGCACATCCATTAACCATATCACGGACGAATGCATCGTCCCCGAACTCCGGCGAATCCTCCCAAACTTCTGTAGACTCTTGAGCATCCTTAGAAAGTCTCGGTCTCTGGTGAAACCACTGGCTATGTTCTTCCATATACTTTTTAGTTGACAACTCTTCATCAAAGTACCGTGCATACTCTTGCTTATACCGTTTCATGTATGCAGTGGTAGGAGGATATTCTCCATAAACTCGAATATATTCTCGATTGTACTGCTGCATGTAATCCGGGAGGGATGGTGCGCCTTGATGCCTCCGAATGTAGCTTTTCATACGCTCATCAATGAAGCGTACCTGGAATTCCTTATAGTGTATCTTGCATCGCCAAGGGGACTTCCATGACTGCGTCTGTAGTCTAGGTTGGCGACGTGTTGTCCAATCTTCAAACAATAGACTTGCCCAGTTTTGACTGCCTCCAAGTCCTAGACTGAGGCCAAGCAAGATCGCCCCTTGCTCTAGGTATAGACCCTCGTTACCGGATAAGTCGCCAAACTTGAGGGACCTCATTTGTTGGGAAGGATCTGTGTAGAGGACTGTTATGAAACTCATGGCGTCATAGGCTTGTAAAGCAAGATTCGCCAACTCTTTCTGTCGCGGCAATGTCTTCTCGTCGTAAATATACTCCTCGAGTTCATTGGAATCCTTGGTGGGCATAAAGGCCTGATCATTGTCCATGGCATCCAGTACGCCCAAAGCCCATACATCATGACAATCTGCTCCAGCCTCCAATACCGCATCGAGAATCACGTAGCCGTAAGGCCTTTCGTAGTCGATCTGGACAAAGTCAGGGGGCGTCTGCACTAGTCCTAACAATTCATACAGTCGATCATTTGGCTTCGCACACTGGTATAGCTTCGAAACATGGTCTATAAGCAACATCCACAATGATCGTCGCTCGGGTTTCTCCCTTAGTTTGATGAGCTGGCGTATGGACGGCCGGGTTGGATTGAATGAAGCACCATATGTCCCCCAGCAGAGATCTTCCAGACCAATGGAAAATGATCGCATCACGACGGTAGCTCGTTTGGCTGTTTGGCTAGAACAACTTCTTGGATTATCCAGACACGTGCCCAATACTCATTCCGCCATAGAGCTTTGACAGTCTCAACAGTTTTTCGGTCAGTATCATTATCGAGCGGGGTGAAATAAACACTATAGTGCCTGCCCCATTTTCCAATAAAACGTTGGATGTGAGTTTCTTCGCTTTCCGAAAGCCCGAGCCAGATTACGGTTTCTGTGGCTTGGGCGTATATGACGCCCATCCTGGGGATTTGCTGAGCGATCTCCTCGTTGGAGTTTTGATCTAAGCAGAAGTAATCTGTCCAGAAGCGGTCTTCGAAAAGATTCTGGTGCCACGCATAGTTGATGAACTCCCACAAGTTTTCGTGGACCGCGTACTGGTGCCATTCGGTCTCGTCGGCGTCTTTCAAAAAGACATGTCTGTTTGCTTGTGGGTCACCCCAGCGATATGACAGGGCGCGGTAGCGGATTTCCTGGTGCGTCTCTTGTGACTTTTCTGTCTCGTGGGTGTGAACGATGCATGCGATGGCATTGTTGACTTTCTCGGGCATCAACTGGATTAGGCGGATGGTCGTTGGTGTGGCTAGCTTTGTGTATGTGTATGGCATCGTAGAAGATAGGGTGGGCCTCTAAGGTATGATAAATGAATGGTAGTGCGTGTGAGCCGTTCCTTATCTTGGCATTCAGGACTTTTTGGATGCCAAAACGCGTACTTCTCAACCACTTGTGTGATTCAGAAAGAAAGGTTTGCACTTTATCTGCACCGACTTCTTATGCAAGACAGTGCGGGTCTTTGCATAAAAAGCTTTACATGTCTTCCTGCGCCGGCGACGATTCAGCGCTGGCGTTGAAACCATGCGACTTGAAGACAGCTAGCTGTAAGGGGAGTGGTGAATTGTGACGGTCGTGATGTCAGGGTAATCCTCACTCAAGTCAGGGCATTAATGTTATGGGTACCTTTATTTATAATCAAAAACGCCGTGGAGGATACACTGGTCATGATTGTGTGGCTATGTACCAAGCATGATCAGAGAATGCTAGCAGAACGGTACTGAACTTTTTTCCAGTCTTCAAAAATGCATGAATCTACCGCGCTAAACATGTTAGTGTTAGGCAATACATGAGGCACATACGATATACATACTAGGTAGAGAGCTTATTTGGTGGGATTGTGCCATATGCATACTAACAAGTGCCGACGTGATAGTGGACCAGCCATAATAAAGCTTTACTTAACCAATACATCCTCTTTCCACCCGGCCTGGCTATCTATTGTGACTTATAATGGTCCCTCTAAGTAGATGCCATTCTATTTAAAGATAATATGGGGTTCAATACTCTAATATGAACAAAGCCGACAACGATCGGAGCTGTCACTCGTGGCCTAATCCTCCTCAATCAAGGTATATCGATTGAAACAGAACAAGACTTGTGCGCATGAGAAGAAAAGCTCGGTATGGTCGACACATTTGATATTGCTGCACAATAGTGGCTGCTGCCTCCTAGCTGTGCCCATCCAAGAATCGGTTAGCCCGAAAGGATCAATAGCGACCTAGGTTACCCAATAGCACTCAGGCATTCTCTCGCCAAGCAGGGCTTGGCTGAAAGTGTTGGGGAAAACTAATCTGCACCTGTGCAACTGCAGGGCCTGATCGAACCTGAATCCGTGCTTACAGAAGGGACTTTCAGCTTCGCTTCTACCCTCGCAACACTTTGGCTTGGCAGAGATGAACTTTTACGGACTCTTTGATCGGGCAATGGCTGAGCACACCGAAAGCTGTGCCACTCTGCTGCTAGACGTGTTCGAGTTTCTATCGTCAATTAATCGTTCACCAAATAGTCCCTCAACTATAGGTGATAAGGATTCGGAATATGCGTGTTTTGTGCATCTCGAGTGACCAAGACCGTGAGTTTGAGCAACCCATCTGGAATGCATTCATCCTGATCACATTGACACGCTGTAATGGAATTAAACATGTGTTAAGGTATATTGGCTATTTTACCTCGCGATGCACACAGCCATAAGGTGTCTAGACGACTATGCTCTTCTGCAACAGAATACTCGCCTGCCTATGCTAAAACACAGTCGGAATGGCATGATTCATGTCATTTATGTCTGTTAACGGTAAATGTCCACGTGATCTCAGATCCTAACTAGCTCATACACTGCGAGGACCAATCGTTGGAGTGCTTGCAGATACCCGACGAGCAGCAGGAGCCTTTTTTCATTCAGAGGGCTGCAGAATCACCGCTGCTCTGCGTGGTCGTAGCGGCTGCTGTTGAGGTGTGGCCGCTGCCGTGGTCGGGACCATCACTAATGTTGAACTGGTTGGCAATAACTCGAACTTGCTGGAGTACTTCGTAGGTGACAAAACAAAGCCGTGCCCTCGGCAATGAACCACGAAGCCGACGTGGCCGAGATGGAGAGTATTGTGGTATCGCCAGCCGGGAATGGAATGTGGTGCTCTGCGTCACAGGCACGTCCTTGGCCGTCCATTTCCACATCAAAGACACGAACATGCGCACTCCAGCACAGCGCCGTCATGTCTGTAGAGGGAATCCGTCAATTTCGAGTTCTGCTCGATCCCAGTCCCTTGGCAGCAATACATGGAGTTGTGCTCTGTGCTGTACGTGCCACAGCCCCAGGGTTGGGCCAAGCACGCACAACACATCCGGATTTAAGGACAAAAACTACGTAATGTGGCCATGCGAGTCGACTGGTTTCTGGACACCATCGGGATGATACATTAGGGAGCGTTTGTAGGAGTCAAAAACACCTACGTACTTGATCGAGCTTGGATCCATGGTCCACAGCTCGCGCGTCAGCTGGAGCAGATTGTACGAGTTGCAGCCCTTAGCCGCATCGACTGAAAAGTATACATAGATGGCGTTGGTTGGTCCCAAGTGCTCGGCTTGGCTGTTGCCGCCGATACTGTATATGTGTGCATTGGTTGTGATCGTTCAGGTATTGGATACGATGCTCTTAGAAGAAGAGTTAGACGTTGCCCTGAATTCTTTGACCGCTCCCTTCCTTTTTGTCAAGGGACCAAACTCAAGTGCAGTCAAATTATATCCGGGAAACCGGCACAGATAGCCGTTGTATATAACCTTTTGCAGCACTATTCTCCCAAAGTGCGCGCGCTTCGTTTTGGTGGGTTGTCCATGGGGGTCATGCAAAATTACGTTTGATCAATATAATTCTCTGATTAGTTCGAGTCACTTTTCGAATGGCGTAAAAATTGTTGATCTAGAAAGGAGAATGATCTGCCTCTGATCAAACTCCCCATGGTGAAAGTCGCTGATGCCGAGGCGGTTGGTACGATAAGATAAGGGAATGAGTGCTGAAGTCAGGCGGCGCAAGCGCGCTCGTTACATTATTTAGCAGCTGCATCCCTTCATCCAGCTACATTACTTGAGCCATCGGAATTCATTCGACCACATCTCAATTGTGTACGAGTATATGCACTCACATCATTTCCAATGGAGACTATTCATTACATCATTCTCGCGATTCTTTTCGTGATCATAAAGCAGGTACGTACTCAGCCATGGACGGGCTGAATGAGACTGGTTCATCCCCAACCCCAAACTCCAGATGCGCGGTTGCTCAATCCTCAAAGGTGCTCTTCACGGACCGCTCGCCCATCCCCGAGAGCTCTGAAAAGGTGTACAAGATCAAGGAGGCCGCCGAGCTGGACACCCTGCTGGCCTCGACGCAACACCTGGTCGTGGACTTCTACGCCGACTGGTGTCCGCCGTGCCGCGCCATTGCGCCGCACTTCTCCAAGCTCGCAGACCAGCACGCCCTAGCCGGCCATTTGGCGTTTGCAAAAGTCAATGTCGACCACGTCCAAAAGGTGGCCGGGCGCTACGGCGTCACCAGCATGCCGACATTCATGTTCTTTGAAAAGGGCGTGCCCAACGGCCCCGCTGTCGATGGCGTGCAGGGTCGCCAGTCGGTTCTTTTGACGGGTGATGGTCGCATCGACAAGATTCGCGGCGCGGACCCGGTTGCTCTCCAGGCTGCTGTCCAAGCCTGGGCCAAGCCGACTGACGGTGGCGATCGGTGAGCTTGCAACTACAATGCGGGGAACGGGGCGCGGCATTTTGCCATGATATTGAGGATGTTGCAACTCTAAAGGGAGTGAGTGAGACTGCCTGCAAATCGTATCTATATGGATAATGCATCCACTCATTGGCACACAAGAACCGGGACCATACGCCTGGCAAGAGAGGACGGTATTTAGAAACGCGCAGAAAGGGTGACCCCTTCCAAAACACCTTGTATTCTACTTGATAGTGTCTGATCTAGCGTCTCTTCTACCCTACAATCTACCCTAACCTCCAGATCATCATCCAATTCATCAAGTTTTGCCTCAACAACGCCTTGCCGTTCTTGCAGATCATCGAGTTTGGTAAGTTGAGTCTCGACTGAGCTAAGGCGATCGTGCTGCCGCTCGTGATCACGGCTTGATTTGGCAACTTCAGCTTTGACTTCTTCCAGTTCCAACTTCAGGGAGCTTTCCCTCGCCTTGTATTCCTGCAATTCCGCCTTACACTCTTTCAATTGTGCTGCAATGAATGCTTCTCTGATCTTGTGTTCCTTCAACTCAGTCACTAACCAGGCCACAGTAGCTTCCAAGTCGTTCACAGGTTCCTGGCATGTCCGCGGAGGTTCAATATCAGAGTTTCCCCGTCGGCGTTTGTTAGAAGCCTTTTCCGGAAGGACTGGTGGCATTGGTGGTCCGGGCTCAAGATCACCATATGCCGGCGGAGAGTCGTCTGAGACGCATTCCATGGCCCCAGCCTCAAGCTGGACCAATTTCCCACCTTTGCCTCCATAGAGACCCGCGAGGTCAGCGTAGCCAGGCGTGGAGACCACTTGTGAGCTGGACAGCGCATCGCAAAGCGATCCTACACGGGCTTCGGACATGGCTCGCCTAGGCAGGCGACAAAAAACATCAAAACTCGATGCGTGTACTAATGACCGTAAAGATTCCCATACATCACTAGACTGTTTGTTCTTCCAGGTGACGGATGATAGGTCCATATCTTTGGGCACGACAAGAGAAGGAGCGTTGCCACTCTTCATGTGGAAGCGGAAGCACACGGTATCTGGACCGAGCTCGTTTGCATGCTTGCAATCATGAGACAAGGTTTGGATAACTTCAGGCGCGAGGAATACAAAAATGGGGACTTGATCGGTAGTTGAGTTTTCCTTCTTGACTACTAGAGCTCGCAGTTTAAAGAATGCCGAGTTGTACGTGGCATGATATTGGAGATCAAATGTCAATCCTGGATGCACCCGCAATGTACCGTTCATGGTCCATTTTACTATCGCTTCAAGTTTGTTGTGCTTGTCGTGTTGGCTTGTGCTCTTTCCTCGGAAATTTTCGCTCTTGCTATCAATCACTGGCTCGTGTGGCATGTTGGCATCATTATCGCTTGCATCGGCGGAGGCCGTCGAGGCCTGCGATGAAGAGACCATGAGCCTATTACTGCGAAAAAAGTTAGCAAGCAAAGAAGGCAACAATTTCGTACGAGAAGAAGCTGCAGCCCCTGTTGAGACAGGATCCCTCCCGCCCAGGCTTCTGGCGGATGAGCAGCCTTGACTCTTGTGCCGGGTGCACCAAGAAGGGTTGAGCAGATGAGAGCGTGCGAGCCACCACGACGCCAGCCACGAGATGGAGTGGTGCGACTGACAGGAAGCTCTTTCTTCAAGAGAATAGAGCCCCTTCCCAAGATCCTGGGTCTCTAGGGAAGCCAGTAGAATGATCAAGGGCGTCGGTAACCAAAACCACCCGACGCAAGCAGAAGAGCAGCCTTAACGCTTACGTCGAGTCTCCAGTAAGGGTTGGATAGACGGCGAGTTGATAACAGGAAGCAGACAAGCGAGCGCGCGAGCCGCTACAACACTAGCCACGAGATGGAGTGGGCCGACTAACAGGAAGCTCTTTCTACAAGTGAAGAGAGCCCCTTCCCAAGATCCTGGGTCTCTAGAGAAGCCAGTAGAATGATCAAGGGCGTCGGTAACCAAATCCACCCGAGCTAGCAGAAGAGAAGTCGCAGCGCAAGCAGGTAAGTACCTTTGAGGGAGGTCGCATGAACACGATGTCAGGTCGAGTCGTCGTTGATGCACACGATGAGAAGCTGTCCTGAGACGTGTTGTTGAGGTGTGATGTTGAGGGATGTTGTCGCGGGTGATAAAGGAAGGGATTGGAGGTGGCTGGGCTGGGACAAAGTGGGGAACGGCAAAGTTGCGCGTGCTGGGTGTCTTGAAACCACGTGACCTTGCTCAAAGCAGGTTGCACCAGACAAAGTGGGGCCAGCTTTCAGGCCGGTGGATGCATGTGGGGCTCTGAAGTGTGTACCCACATACCTCGAATCTCGATTCATGTTTGTCGTCCTCCAGGTGCATGCCCAGCACTTGAGTGGCTCATTGTATGTTTTCTCCGTCAACCACACTTATCCACTTATCGATTTCATTTACCTCTTCCGTTCCTGTCATCTTGATCTAGCGCTCCATAGTCAAATGGCTGCAGGTAGCTATAGAAGTTTAAACATCACGAAGGATATGCCTACTCAAAAGCCTGGCAAGTTTCTGATGTCTCTTGTATTGCGCTGCAAACCCACACTCTGCGTGGACTTTTATAGTTGCAGAAACAGACAATTGTACGCGTCTATGGACTAGGACAAGTCCGACTCCCAACCATCATTTGTATTCGGCGATCATTTCAAGGCCATCAAATAAGGACCTTTCCCTTTAAGAGAATGCACCAATGACCTTGGCAAAATCCGTGTCCAACTGACCAATGGCTGAACGAACCGAGTCCCTCTGATCCTCGGATGTGATGACCCAAAGCGTGGTCGCGTACGCATCCACCTTGCTCTTGAGAGACTGCATGGCGTCGAGAATGTCGGGCGACGCGCCAGCCGTATCCAAGTCTGCCTTGCGCGCCACCACGGCATCAATGGAGGCCGCAACGCTAGGCTGGCTCGTCTCGGTGATGTAATCGCGAATGGCGACCGAGTCCTCGCTCGTCGCCACATCTCCCTCGGCCGCGTGGTGGTTGGCCGTGTCTACTAGGTCGGCGAGGACATTGGTCGATGTACTAATGTCATTTGCGCCAGCGATCTGACCATCCCAGGCGTTGGTAATGGTTGTCAGATTATTTGCGCCCGCGGTTATATCGTGAAGGTCATTGAGAGTTTGGCTCACATCGCGATGAGCAGCAGTGAGAACAGCGAAGATGAGTTGCAGCGCAATACTAAACATTTTGGCGACTATTTGACAGAGGACTCGAAATATCACGAGATCTGGAGCGTGAAAGGCCTTGAAAATAGTCATCAAAAACCGTTATTGGACCTTCAAAGTCTGCAACTTATAGTATACCAATTCTGCACATCTCTTGACTTTTAGCCTAAAGCCCAAGATACGATAGGATTGATTGACCCGGGCAATATACACGGGAGCTGCCAAGGGGTTTTCAATTGCCGGATGCACCTCTGCATATCGAAATCAGAAGCTCGAAGATCTATCCGGCTATATCAGGCGCATCTCGTTGCCTCGCTTATCTTGGCGACAACCAATCGAGCATGCTACGGATTTCATCACTTATCGCCATCCAGGGGCCAAAGGTATTGTTCATCCATGACTACTCATCCAGCATGCATTCACTTGGAAGTTGAAAAAGAGAATCATACATTCAACAGTCGAATCAAAAGCCGATGCCATGTTATCAACCTTACACTGCTCGGCAAGATAAACCACAAAAGTGACTTTTCGAAAGAATTTTGTATCCCTGCCGTTGACATGTTGATACTGGGATAAGTAGTTCTTGCGTTTTGAAAGGCTCATTTGAGTGTTCTTAATTCGAGTGTTCTTAGATTTGGCGAGAAATTGTACAAAAGGTGGAATATTCATTTGCACAGAGAGCACTCGAAATTGGAATGTCTCGAAAGAGATTGAATTTGATGATAGAATATTATGATTACAGGTATTTTCTATATGCTCGCTAAGTTCAAATATGCCATGCCAAGCCGACCAAGAGACCATTATTTCAGATCTCTAAAACCTTGCCATTTTCGGTCCGGGACATCCAAGCAAACACCATTGCGGGCCGCTGTGACGAGACGCTTACTGGAGGTCGAAAGCGGTGGGGCCAGTGTAGCTCTCGACGGCGGCGTTGGGGGCGTCGGACTTGGTGAGGTCGCTGCTGGGGATGGTGTAGGAGCCAGACTGGGCAGAGCTGGGGGTGACCTGCTGGCTGACGGTGAAGAGGAGGCCAGCGTCGCCGCGGGTGACGGTCCAGGTGCGGGAAGAGTTCTCGCAGGTGCCGTCGGTCACGTCGGGCAGGGTGCCGTCGTTGTTGGCAGTGACCATGGCCGAGCAGGTGACCGGGGTGGTCTCCATGGTGCCGGGCTGGATGACACCGAAGGAGTAACTAGGGGCGCGCCGGATATGTTAGTTCTGGCTGTTTCCGGGTTTCCGGCCCCGAGACAGGGCCTCGGATTTCTTGGGGTGAGCGGAAAAACTTACGAGCACTGGGTGCTGTGGGCAATGCAAGCAGCCGAGAAGTCAGAGACGCTGAAGACAACGTCACGCTTGATGGCGGCGGCCGAGACGGCGCTGGCGGCAAGAAGGGCGGTAGCGAAGAACTGCATCTTGAAGATTGGTTTGGTTGGAGAGACTAGGAAAGTCAAAGAGTGTTTGTTGTTGTAGAGAGTGTAGTTGGATGATTGAGAGAATGAATGTGTTGATGAAGGAAAAATGTTGACTTGAGAGAAGAATTTCTGGGTTCTTTATACAAGTTGCTTCAGTATCTTGAAACCATCAAGATGTATGTTCTCTCACTGACAGACATTGTGGTCTGTACAGCAATCCACCGACAATGTTAATCGGTGGACCCGGCAATGCTCGCCTCGTATTCGGTGGACTATATGGAGAAAGGAGTAGTGTTCGGAATCCCGCGCACAGCTCCATGATACAGGGCAGTGAGGGTGGATTTGGGCTTTCCAATTCATGCAACAATGATCTCCACGAAATAAGGATGTGACAAGAGTGCAGTTGAATAGGGTTAGCTACTAGTCGAGTTGTCAAGTCACGCTGCCAAAGTGCCCTCGAGACGTTGACCCGAGTATACGAGAGCGAACATGGTTATACCCGGCAACTATTACCTTCTTCTTTGAAGCTTGTACTTGCAATAGAACGACATGACCCAATAATGGATCGGGCAGAGATGGTAGTAGGACTCTAATGCGATCAGGACTGGCCAAGACTGTCTGACAATGGCCAAGCTTTTCCGATCATACTCTGTACAAGCGACAACCGGGGCAACCGGTTTCAATCTTGAGACTGGCGCCCTACGTTGGTGGAGAATTGCGGGGATACTGACAGCCCGTTGGCGCCAAATATGGACAAAAGCACTTGTAATAAAGCCTGTAACGGTAATAGCTTGTCGGCAAATGACTTTTGGGGGTTTCTTGGCAGCTTCGGGGAATTAGCATTCTTCCATGCAATCCATCGCCCCATTGTAAAGTACAGTAGAATACCTAATAAGTACGGCATCATTGCATGGGCCAATAATTGACGAGGGAAATGCCCCTGTGCATACAGCTTGGCACTAATTCGTCCATTTGCGGGTTCGCGATGCGATTCCCTGATGCTCCTTGGTGATTGTCTGATTGCCTCTGACCATATTACGTACAAAACACTCTTCTTAGTGTCGTGAAGTCTATAGAATACGCTGCTCATGTTTTACATACAAAAATACCAAAAATAGTGTAGAGGATAAAGAAAACATACCACTTCACACCGCAAAATAAGCTTCACAATTAAAGTTGCGCATAAGAGACAGAGATCTTCAGACGAGGCTGTAGTGTACAGCTAGGGCTGCGGCCATTTGCTGGCTGATGACCAACGCAAAAGTCCTTGATCCTCAGCTACGTTGAGCTGAATTAGCCCGATTGGGAGCACCATCGCGAGTGTGGACCCTGGATGTGATATTGGTTCCTGGTTCCTGAAATGCCGGAGCGGCCCCTTACACTAGCCGCGGGGATGCCGGGCGGCCCGTTGGGTGTAGCGCGCGTAGAAGGCTTGCTGTGGTGACTTGTCAACCGGGTCACCTGAACTTCTTTGAACGTTTCTGGAAATTCTTCGGCAGCGCCGATCTTGTCCATCGTTGGAATTGCATTGTGGGTGACTGCACCCACAGCCCAACGGTCGAACGGTGCATGGCAAGATAGGGCGGATCACCCCTCTAGAGACACAAAATTGTGATGATCCCCTGAGTCCACTTAGCGAGGGTGCACGTTGCATGTCTTAAGAGAATACGAAGAAACCCATCAGCCACGACTCAGCCTGCCCGGGTCCGGTGGATGAGAAGACAGCGACGCCCGGTGCGATCGGTACTTGATGGCACAGATGACATGAGCTCCGATATTCCGAAAAATCATCGGATCCGAGATGCAGTATGTAGTCTGTTTGTGGCTCGTGCGCAATGGCTGAGCTTGGATAGACTTCGAAAGTCATGCTGGTGGAAGCAAATTCACGGTCCGACCAGACTTGGGGCCTTCGTACGATTGATCCATTGCAGCAATCAAGGACAATTTCTGTTCAATGGACTACACTACATGGCGAAGTCTCTATGTATCTATACCTGATTGTCACCACCTCTCACATCGACGCCCAGGAATTCAAGCCAGGCATCGTCTCCCATGACTTCGTCCGCAACCTCAAAGGCGTTGACATTAGGCCACATCATGGGGAAAACGCTGCCTAGCTGTGTCTGAGGACTCTCAGAAATCGGTTCGAGTGCTGTTCGTGTCATGTCCTTGTCGGATGATACCGGGGCATCGGCTTGGCTGATGTCGGGTACTACTTCTCTCGTTCGCTGGTGTTCGCTCACATCGAGCTGAGCAGATTCAGATGTTTCTGATACGTGCTGCAATTCCACGCCACCTAAGTACTTCCCACAAAGGTCCATGATTACCTGGTAGCACCTGGGGGCACTGCTATTCGATGGGCTGAGGGCCTTGATCGTGCACAAAGTCGTTCGCAATTGCATGGCCCAATTTGGTGCATCTGACTCGAAGGGACCATTCCGCAGGCAGATGCACGGTATCAAGGCGGCTTGGAACAAGAAGTATCTACAAAAAGAGAGAGCAGTCAGCCGAAGAAGTGACGAAAGCGAATGAAGACAGACAGAAAAAAGAGTACTTACAATGCATACCAAGCGGTCAGGTTGTTATGGCTGTTGTGAGAACAATATTCACTAATCATGCTAATCGTGGACTCGGCCTCCTCTAGGCAACGATGAAACGCAATCGAATCGGCCTCAGACTCTTCACTCAGCACACCTCGCACATTGAGAGCTCTTCGAATGACGAAAGGCCGGTACATGATGATGCGAAAGTTTCGCCTCCGCCATTTCATGACTGCATGAGCAAACGCATACTTTGGTGGTACTGTGCTTGTTTCGTCAAAGTACGGAGGGAGACTTGATTGCCATGGCTCCAAGAATTCTTTGTCAAGCCAAAGAAGTTCCTCTGCTGTTGGAAGAGGCTTCGAGATGACTCGGGAATAGATTTCATTTGTAGAGACATGAAACCGTGCCTGCACGCTGACCGCAGTGTAAGGCGTGACTCCGGTATTCTCGGCGGGATAGGTTTTGGAGTTGGCCGTGAGCTCCTGATGATTATCGAAATTAGAGTTTAGTCTAATGGTCCTGTGGCAATATGTCGTAACTCACCCTATCTGTTACATTTAATGGAAATGAGACCTCAACTCCGTCTAATGGCCACAGTATCGGTCGACTAAATGTGATGGTGGCCCCGACATCGAAGACGCAGAGAGCCCACCCTGACCAAGGAAAGCGTGTCAGTCTTTGGCTACTTCGGGTAGGACGTGGGGGGAAACCCCTTCAGAATGTGCTCGGGATAAAAATATCGCATACGTACAAATTCGGCGCCGCATTTCCATCTTTAACGGCGAGATGTTCCACCCAGGAAACTCCTTGTGGAATCCGAGTCCTGTGGCCATTCTCACAGCCAAACCAAGGTAATTGTACCCAGAGTTGGGCTTGTCCCTCTTTTGCTGGTAGTTTGAAAATAGAGTAATCGCAGCGACTAACGAGCTATTCCCCATCTCGAGGAAATTAAAAGATAACATAGACCTTGCATGGGAGAAGAGCTGAAACTCCAGATCACTATATTGTTGTGTCGAGCTGTAGACACCTAAAGCAGCGACGATATATGCCAGAATGTGCCAGCTACGCCCATGAGGTTGCGGAATCACCTCAGAGTATTGTGCGCGAAATGTGGGCTCGTGAACAATTGGGTAACTCACATGATATGTGGCAAAGTACGCGTCAATCATTGTGTCTGTGATGTGTCGATTCGGATCTGGCTGGGCCAATAGTGGTATATGCGGACGTGGGTGAGAGCTGTTGGAGAATGTTCTTGTCCTGCTGTTTGGTTCTAGGATGCGGAGAAGAGCAGCACCTGAAGCAACCCCCAGGTATCCACCGTCTTTCTCATCAACAGCCAGTGAAGCCATGCCATCTTTGATCGGGCCTTCTCCGCTTGTATTGAGAGCATTTTCAGATCCTAGGGACGTGGGGCTTGTGGCATCCAGCTCATCCCACTCGAAATCTTCCCGAGGTGGTGTCTCGACGAAGTCTTGCCGCCTTGACGCGGATACTCGTATGCTATGCTGAGTTCCTGCAGGCGAACCTCTAGATCCGGAATAATCTTGGTTGAGACTAGCTCTCCGCCGCTCTGCTCGAAGACCATCTTGTACTGGTGATTGCGGTCCTAGGGGGGCAGCTCTGTGAGGGACATCGCCAATACTTTGCTGGTTCTCGAGCGAGCTCAAATCTGCCTCAAGAACATCTGGGTAAGCAGGATCATGCGCAGCAGCGGCTGATGCGGGATTTGCAGTTGTATTGCTCTGTTGTCGTAGCCTTCTAATGAGTGCCTCGGCCTTTTCAAGCCGAGCTTCGACCTCTGTGAGATGCCTGTATCATTGTCAACTACCAAGTCAAGTAACACATGTAGCGTAAATCTTGGATCTTGTGATAAGATACATTCCTCGTCGCCGGCTATGCTCTTACCTTCTAGTCAGGGGCGTTCTCGCATGTTTTTCATATAGGCAATGCCGACTGTACTTGACGCAAAGGGAGCATATCGGGAGCACTCTGTCGCATCGTGCTTTTCGCCTGCGACACTCTGGCCCGAAAACATAAAGTTATCAACAAATTGTGCAAAGATGGCGCTTGCTCTACGGAAATGTCAACCTGGGACTTACCTTTGCAGCTCTGCTCCGCAACACCGAGCGCAAGGTCAGAAGTATTACCCACAGGGGCTGCCATATGGCCTGATAGGCAAATACATTCGACGGGAGTAACCGAGTCGGTGATATGAAAGCAATAGCGGCGTATACCAGATCCCTCTCTCTGTTCGTTCTCAGGCCAATTGGTGCGAGTTTCGCAAAAGGTGGGAAGATAGCGGGACAAGCCCAAACTTGGGGGTAGATGAGAGATATTTCCTTATTGGTATCGATCTGTACGCAAGAATTGGTGAGAAAATTGGCTTATGGATGATATTCAATCATTTATCCTCCATGTTCATATTCATTCAGCCTTTGGTGTGTTGGATGAGCGTGTTAATATGAGACCTTTATCTGTAAGAAGACTGTCCTTGTATTCCTGACTCCCCGCATCTTTTCTCCACGCGCTACAGAAGGCCCGGCCGTCTTTATTAGCGGGGTTCGTTTTTTAGGTCAACCCACTGGAATGATTCACTAACGTAGCTGCATCATTTGGTCTGTTCCTTCTGCCCTCGTACACTGCAACGAGCCATCAAAACACATCATTGTCACTATTACCGGAAAGCAGATGACGACGAAAGTTATGGTAATAAAATTTGAACCGCACCGTATGAGCAATCAGTTTCAAGGCTATATAATTTTCATCTGGCTATACTACCTCGACTTGGGCCACGGTGCCTTTGGTGTCGACACCCTTGACCTGCTCAATGTCCAACGCTTGCTCGCCATCAAAAATGACGGCAATTTCCTCCAAAGATCGGCCTTTAGTCTCTGGGAAGAAGAAGTACACCACCGGCAGGAATGCAGCGAGCAGACAGCAGAAAACAATGTAATACTTCCAGCCAATGTTTTCAATGCCAATCGGGTTGCAGAACGCCGCAATGACCAGGGACGAGTAAATCGAGAACAGTTCGACCGCAATGCCCTTGGATCGAATCGAGTAGGGGAGAATCTCAGTCGTGTAACCAAACAACAGCGGGGTGAAGGCAATGTCGTAGTGAAAGTAGTAGACAAACAGACAAACGACCACCACTATACCGGCCGACTTGGATCCTGTCTCAGCATTTACTGCAGAGCACGCCGTCCACACAATGTACGAAACCAACATGCCGACGCTGCTCCAGAGAAACAAAGTGCGGCGGCCCAAACGATCGACAAGAAATGCTGCAGACAGTGCTGCGCCAAAGTTGAAGATTTGAAGAAGTCCGTTGATCAAGGTTTGATCGTAAGTCGAGGTAATGCCGACCGTGTTGAGGACTAATGTCAAGTAGTAGCTCACGACGCCTATGCCGTTCCACTGGGCAAATGTGCCAACGCATATGACAATGATAGTCCTCTTTACGTTGCCGGATGTGGAAACCAGAGCGCTCCATCCTGTTGTCTCTGCCTCCTTTTCCATGTTTATTGTCTGAACGATCTCGGATATTTCTCTCATGACGAGAGGTGTCTGTTCTTCGCCGGAATGTATCTCGCCAGAATGATAACGTGACAATAGATTTGCGGCCTCGTCTGCGCGGCCTTGCGCAACAAGCCATCTGGGTGATTCAGGAACCCACCAAATGAAGCACAATTGCACAAGTGGTAGAGCGGCTTGAATGATGGATGGAATTCGCCATGCCCATTCACCTTCATATACTTGCGTTCCATACGTCGACCACGAGGCAAGAATAGCGCCTGATACATTGTCAGCCACTCAGATTTTCTCGTCATTCGAGACTACTGACCCAAATAGTACATAGTCCAAAATGCACATGTGTATTTGCCTCGGTGTGTGGGATATGCCAGCTCTGCAATAAGCATGGGACTCGGTTGTGTGACAAACATGCCACCAAACCCGACCACAAGTCGGGACACGATAAACATTGGTAAATTGATTGATGTTGCCTGGATTATAGTCGCGATGATTATCGTGAGGATTCCGGTAAGCAGGATGGGCTTTCGTCCGAATCTATTGACAGACTGTGTGTTAGACTACTGCAATGATTTACAAGAGTATCGAGACAGTCTCACATACCTATCTGACAAATCACCGACGAAAGGGATAGCCAGGACAGAACCAATGGACTGAGCTGCGTTCACAAGACCGAGCAAGACGCCCGCAGGCTGGCCGAAATAATCTTTCCATTGGTCAAGTGACTGTAGGCCATTCATGAGCGATCCTGGAGCGTTGTCAACGGTGCGGCACAATTATCAACGTTTGGAGCTTGTTCATACCATCGTATCCAGAAACAGAGGAAGACAATAGAGGTATGAGGAGAAGAAGATTCAATCGTAGCAGATGGGATTCTTGGAACCAGTACCGCCCGGTTTGTGGCAATACCTCCGCCAAAGCGGTTCCGACGATCTCCGAGTCTTTCATGTTGAATGACCAACAACTTGAGGCTTAGGCTGACAGAAGAAGTGACATCAAGTAAATGCGTTGACACAAAGAAAGTGAGGCGTATTTAGGCATGACATGCAGGAATGCAAGTATATATAAAAACAACTCATGCATTGTTCATTACTCCAAGACCATCTCGATGGCCTCGTCCCAAGCACACTGCTTACAGATCCACAGCCCCGGATCTACCTAGTCGTCGTCGTAGTCATCTGGGGTAAGGGGGGGGGGTTCCATGGAAGTGGAGTCCTCGCCATGGTTCGATTTGCGGGGGTTAGTGCCGGACATCAGTCACCCTCGGTCTAATACCTCCTAGGCCGCCCTCTCAAGACCGAAATCGCGAGTAATGGCACGGTCATGGGGTGATGTCATACTAGTGAAGAGCACAGAGGTGGCTTGAGCGGACTTTTCTGCTTGAAAGCGCGATTGATAGGCACTGATTATCCTTGTTTGCCTGGGTACATATCTTATTAGCTTATACGGACAGTTCGATGCCTCTTGGCGGGTGCCAATAAGATAATATCAAGAATGGAGGGAGGGGGGGGGGGTTTCATTCTGCTTTGATTCTAGGTTCACCTTCATAGTTACGAGTTACGAATGAATATGCACATCTGCAGATTGAGGTGAATCAAAACGATTACTTGACATTTGTCAAGCTCGAGTTATATCTCATGCTTGGAGGTCATAGACTTGAATCAGATTTCATCAATAAAATCCATCTACCTAGCTGTATATCCTCCATCAATTACAAAGTCGGCTCCAGTCGTGTATGAGCTGGCATCGCTCGCAAGATATAGGTAGATGCCCTTCAACTCTCTAGGATCAGCATCTCGTCTCATGGGAGTGAGGCTGAACCATTCCTCCTTCATCTCAAATGGGCAGTCTCCCGAGATCTCCGTGTCAATATAACCAGGTGAGACAGAGTTGATGCGGCCTCCCCATTTCGCCCACTCTACAGACATGGACTTTGCCAGGTGAATCACGCCAGCCTTGCAGGCATTGTAACAGCTCTGCTCTTGCGGCACATTGGCAGCATGACCGCTCATGGAAGCAGTGAGAATGGCAACGCCGTGACCTTGCTGGCGGAACACGAGTCCGGCGGCGCGGGCGCTGTAGTAAGCTCCGTCAAAGTCGACGGCTCGCACCCGATCCCAGTCTTCAACCTTGTCGTCCAGCGCGCCGGCCTTGGATGGCACTCCGGCATTGGCAATCAGCACGTCCAGGCGGCCAAAGTCTTGCACGGCTTGTGATACCGCGGCTTCGACGGCGGCATAGTCGCGCACGTCGACCTTGTAAGTCCGAACTTGGACTTTGAATTCCTGTGCAATCACTGCAGCGAGCTTCTCGGCTTTGGCGGATGTATTGTACCAGAGCGCGAGCTGCGAACCATAAAGTCAGTCATAGAACTTGTGACATCAGTTTCGAACTATGACCCACGTTGGCACCTGCTTCAGCCAGGCCCCGAGCAACTTCATATCCGATACCGCCTGCGCCGCCAGTGATGATCACAGTTCTCCCATCGAGACGAAAGGACTGGAAGATACTGTCTGCAATGGGAGGGTTCCGAGCTCGGATCGACTGCCTTGCTGCTGGCATGGTTTATGTTTGTGGAGTATTGTGGGACAGAAAAGTGTAAGAAAAGCCTCTTTGACGCAAACAACACGGAACAACCAAAATTGGTCGGGGTATGGATTATGTAAAGCTACCACATTTCTAGTTCCCTTTCGTGTGCTCGTACTCGTAGATATACAAACTAAGTGAAATATATGTAGACTTACAAGCAGGCAATATTGAAGGTCTCGTGAGGTTCGGGAGCCAGTGACCCTGGTGGGTATAGGTTGAGTTTCGTCCGCAACGGATCCACCCGACTTTGTCGTTGAGAGACCATATCCCACCCGGCATGCAAGTTGATCTGCCGGGCGGGCTTGAAGACGCCAGATCCAATGAACCTTTAATGTTACGGAATGAGTTCCAATGATGTCTAGCGCTCGTTTTTAGATTTTGAGCGTCGGACACGTCAACGGCGCATCTGCCTGAGGACTAGAAGAGCCTGTATTGCGCAATACCTCTACGAGAAAAAAAAAAAAAAAAGGACAAATATTTAACAAGGACTTTGAGGAGTAATTATGGGGAGCGGTGCACATCATAGTCATTTGTTGTGATGAATTCTTGATTTTTGCTAGATTGGCTTGCATATTATCTCTGAGCAGCATCCTCGATACTGGGTATTAGTCGATCATAACGATTTTTGCTGCTTTCCATCACCAAACGTCCATTCGGCATGTCATTGTAATCCGTCCTGGCCAGCGCCAACTCCATCGTCGGCTCAATTCCACTCGACAAATGTCTCGCCGCAACTCTGGACCTTGCCACAGCCGGATCGACGTCTAGCAACCATCTCTCATCCAGCAACTCCGCAATCGAGGCCCACGCACCCTCGTTGCTGAGAACATAGTTCCCCTCGACAATGCATACCTCTGTATCCTTGTCCACAACCAATCCACCTGGCACAGGATCCTTGACGGCGTGGTCAAATGTCGGAACAAGAAGATCTTGGTTGCCAAATGTGCTTTTTAATTGCTGTACCAGTCTCGTGGCGGCTGCTGCGTTGAAGGTCCACGGGGCGCCACGGCGAGCAAAGGCCTCACTGGCGTTTGGTAATGCGCTGAGCTCCGCCCGTGTCAAGTGAAACCCATCGAGTGACACAATGGACACTCGCGGTCCTGCCGGAAATGATTGGACTATTTTCGCGACTTTGTAGGCGAGTGTACTCTTGCCGGATCCTGGTGGGCCAGCCAGTCCGATGATGATGCGCTCGTTGCCTCTGGTGATGTTCGGATGCGACCTGGATGCTTCTGATTTGGCTTTCCAGAGTGCAACGATGTTGTTGGCAAGGTCCTGGTAGGTTGTATCCATTGCTTTCAAGTGATGGTCCCCAGAGATTGGACGTCTTGTTGGTAAAATCGGGACAGCGTCATGATGCTGCCGCCGTTTTCATGTATCTGTGAAGGCGAAGCCATAACAGAAGGTCAAACCACTGAGCACCTCAATACTCATTGATTCCGAGAATTAACAAGTGGACAACATCGGACGTCTGTCAACCAAAAATTGCTCCCCGTTGAAATGCCGACGATCTCCCTTCGACCGACCAATCGCTGCTGTGGGCGACGGGCATCCGTCGTCTCTCGGAGTAGGTATTCCACCCGCGTCATATGTGGGGATGTTCTTTTAGCGCACGACCCCGGCCGATGTGAATATAGTCCCCTAGCACATGGTTGGCAACTCACCTGGTTCGAGCCGAGAGAGCAACGATAATAACTGTCACTATCAGCTCATTCAAAGTAAATTCACTATTGACAAACAGTTCTTGTTCCAAAACCAAGTTCCTCAACAAGATATACCATCATGGCCGAGATAGTGAGTGCTCAACAATCAGACACGGATAGATGCTAATCATGTTAGAATCCCGCTTTCGTGCTGCAAAAAGTCAAAGAGGTCACTTTTGAAGACCGGGACGTGCCCAAATTGAGAGATGAGCACGACGTTCGCGTTCACATTGAGCAAACCGGAATTTGCGGCAGTGATGTTCACTACTGGCAGCGCGGTCGCATTGGTGACTTCATCCTAAACAGCCCCATCGTGCTGGGCCATGAAAGCGCGGGCACCGTGGTGGAGGTGGGCTCAAAAGTAAAAAATCTCAAGGTTGGAGATCGTGTTGCTATTGAGCCTGGTGTCCCATGCAGGCAGTAAGTTGTGTTTTGGACCATGTTGTGTCCTCACAAGAACTCACAAACTCCTAGCTGCGACTACTGCCGGTCCGGGGCTTACAACCTCTGTGCCGATACCGTGTTTGCTGCCACCCCTCCATGGGATGGAACTCTTCAAAAATACTACATTGTGGCTGGTGATTATTGCTACAAGATCCCCGACCACATGACGGCCGAAGATGGAGCCTTGGTTGAGCCCGTGGCTGTAGCTGTCCAAATATGCAAAGTTGCTGATCTCCGCGCCGGACAGTCGGTGCTCGTCTTTGGCTGTGGGCCGATTGGGGCGTTGTGCCAGGCGGTCGCAAAGGGCTATGGCGCATCCAAGGTGATTGGCGTCGACATTTCAAAGTCGCGGGCGGCATTCGCGGAGGGGTTTGGAGCTGACGGGGTCTTCATCCCCGAGAAGCCGGATGCATCTCTTGATCCAGTCGATGCGTCACGGGCAACTGCCGAGCGCATAGTTGATCACTTTGGGCTTGGTGAAGGCGCCGATGTTGTTCTCGAGTGCACTGGAGCTGCCCCATGCATACAAGCAGGCGTGTTTGCAGCAAAGAAGGGTGGTACCTATGTCCAGGCCGGCATGGGCCAAGAGGTAAGATGCTTTTCTTCGATTTTGCCAGATACCCAGTATTCTAATTCATATTTCTATAGAACGTGGTGTTCCCGATCACTACTGCTTGCATCAGAGCACTCAACATCAAGGGCTCCATTCGGTATACCACTGGTTGCTATCCTCAGGCAGTGGAGCTTGTCGCATCGGGTAAGGTCAAGCCACGGGCATTGATCACGCATAGATTCAAATTTGAACAGTCACTGGAGGCATTTGAAGTAGTGAAGAAGGCGTCGGAAGACACATTGAAGGTCATGATCGCTGGAGTACAATAGGTCCCTTATGCAGCCAAATTCACCTAGAACTTGTCAATGATGCAATTCGTCAAATATAGAGATACACCCTGTCAGCCAAGCATAATTCTCGTAGTTTGGACGTTATCCTGATGAAATCATCGAGACGTCTGTCCGCAAATCCATGATACACATTGGTGATGTCCTGGTCCATACTCCATCGAGTTGCACGCCTACAGCTTGGAGTTCTTCAGATCAAGACGCTCTATTCGTCGCCTCCTTGTAGTGACGCGACACGCGGGCTCTGTCTGCATCCATGCATCGATGCGGGAATTCACCTAAAACACGCTACCATCAGCCGGTTGTATAATTCTATGAGGGTGACAGTCGCCCTAACCCCGCAAATATGACCCCAGGAAAGGCGGGGTGAACGGGGTGGACGGGGCACTTGGGCCGGGACTATATGCCCGGAAAGCAGCCCTGTCGACTAAACCAGTAGGCTTAGGTAGGCGCTAATGGAGCCGAAATCGTGAACTTTACAGGGGTACAGTGTGCCTGACCCGGAAGGGCAGCGCAGACACTATTCCATACCTCCTAGGTAGGCGGACCGGACAATGACGACCAAGAGGTCCACACACTTGGGTCGACTCTCATAGAGGATCATGGCCAGTCACTCACCTACCTAAACTATTTCCAAGAGCAAGGTTGCTTTTTGTTTTCACGCATATCTTGTTCACTTAGACGACATTCCACTTTCACTTTCGATTTTCTAATATTGTCCTTCAAGCAAGCATACCTATACATACATACTTAGACGTCACAATGGTTCTAGCACCGCACCCCAACCCAGACAGCCCAGTGCTGTCTCATTTTAACCTTGATGGCAAGACAGCTCTAGTCACCGGTGGTTCAAGAGGTATTGGCCTCGAGGTCGTCCGTGGCCTTGTCGAGGCCGGTGCAAAGGTTGCCTTTACTTACTCCAGCACACCCCCAGCGGAAGCCGAGAAGCTCGCTGCCGACATCTCGGCAGCAAACAATAGCCGCTCCGTGGTAGCCTACAAGGTCAACGTGCGGTCGAGGACTGAGATTGAGGCTGCCGTGGAACAGACTGCCAAGGAGCTGGGCGGCGGCCACCTGGATATTGTGGTCGCCAATGCAGGAATTGCCGACCATATCCCTGCCACTGAGTACCCAGAGGACAAGTTCCGCGAGATGTTCGATGTCAATGTCAATGGGGCCTTTTGGACGGCTCAGGCGGCGGCTCGGGTATTCGAGAGACAGTGGAAGCAGGGCGGCGAAGACACGCCGCACCGAGGCTCCGTTATTTTCACGGCGTCCGTTTCAGCGACGCTGGTCAATGTCCCCCAGAAGCAGGCGGCTTATAATGCCAGCAAAGCTGCGCTTGTGCACCTCTCCAAGTCGCTCTCAGTTGAATGGGTTGACTTTGCCAGAGTCAACAGTGTTTCTCCGGTTCGTTACACCTAAAATCTCGAAATGGCTTGACCCAGCTGACTAACTGTCTGTGCAGGGATTCATTGATACTGACAGTATGTCCCTGTTTTGCAACGTTGCTGAGGAGTAAGCAAGCTGACATTTTGATAGTGCTTTCCGTGCATCCAGAGGAGTGGAGGCGGCAGTGGTTCCAGATGATTCCAGGCAGAAGACTGTGCAAGGCTGCTGAGCTCAAGGGCTCATATGTATACCTTGCAAGTGATGCCAGCAGTTATATGACCGGTAGGTGTAAGCAGCAATTCATCCACACATCATGCGCTAACGTGACGTGATAAGGGGCCGATCTGATAATCGATGGCGGATATACTCTCCCCTAAATCAGATAGAGTATGTTCATAGAGTCCATGGCGTTCAAATGAGGAAGACTATAAAATAATGCTCGAGAATGCTTCCCCAGAGTGGCATCTATGTAGCGCAATCATCGAAAACTGCTGGTGATTTTCGGTGAGAGATGGCACGTTACACATGCATACCACGTACAATCATGCTTATAGGGTCACTGGAGAGGGAGCCTTGCCCCAGCAGAATACGCTGAAGAATGCGGCGGGGCAGGAGGATGAAATATTACCTACCTATGTAGTCTTCATGGATCGTCGCAACTCTTCTCGACAAACAAGGGCAAATGTATAATCAGATATGTATTCGACTCGACACGCTATGGAAAAGGTCTGGTTTAAACTTCGACAAACACACTATCCGCCGGGTCCTGAAGATGCCATCCTTGCTGGCAATGGAGACGACTCGCAAGCCCCGCTGTGCCTAGGCCATTGTGTCGCAGACCTTAAGCACATAGACTTCCCCATCAATTCCGGCGCCATCGTACCATTTCTCACACGCATGCGAGTCTTTCCTTCACACATCTTGAATTTTGACTGGGAGCGCAAGCGCGGTTTCCTAACCTCTGCTGCGCTCGGCGCCGGTGCACCCGCTGCCGCAGCATTGGGCATGCTTACTGCCAAGGCCAGCATCAAGCTCGCGTTCCAAAGGTCAATAACCCAGCACGAGCACTATTCTCGCCTCGATACGTACATCGTACAGCCTACTCGCCTCTATGTCGAACAGTGCCTCGAAAGAGACGAGCTGAAGAAGCATATTGGCAATCAATCGAACTGGTCGTTCTTTATGATTACAGGGATCAAGGTTGCAAGAGCGGGGCAGCGGTCTGAAGAGATCACCAAGTTCGTAGAAGTTGGTGGGGGCCCGGAATTGTAAGTTTCAACGTTTCAACAGACTTCCCTCCTAGAAATCAACGCATATCGTTCTAATTATGTGCCGGAAACTCGATATAGACATGTACCCGGCGTGGCAACAGGCCAAGCTACAACCGAAAATGGCGTCGATAGGACAGAGAATACCAAAGAAGACGAGGTCTCGGACTTTATCTGGGCAATCCGCCTTGCCAAGGTGCACAAAGGGATTCTCATGACCGACTGGTCTCTTGACCCCTATACGCACCGCGCTACCTTCGAAGTAGGCGGCGGGAAGCAGATAGATGTCGCAGCTATTCTCAAGAGAGAAGGATTGAGCTCCTTCCAGGTCATTGAAGATGACGAGCTTCAAGAGGCTGTTGTGTTGGACGCTGGCGACTGGGCTGAGGCTTGAGAAGGATTTAATCACACAGTCAATTACTCGCAAGCCCGATCTGCAAGTTGCTGGATATATGCTATCTCCTAAAAGCCATGACGTGGTCCCAGCAGTCGGGTACAGGCCCAGTGATTGTGAGATTAATTGGCCTGTTCCATTGCCCTCTTCAGACTCTCTCGCACATAAGCTCTGTTCTCTTGCCTAGTCCCATCACGATGATGGACCGGAAGCAATTTCTGTGGCATGATGCATTTGAATTCGCCGGCCCGTACTGACATGAAATTGAATATGGCAATCATTCCGACCATTTTACTGACATCTCCCACCCTCACTATTGCCCCGACATTGTCAGGTTGTCGCGAAAAGTCAATAATGAGAGCCGCGAGGCCTGCCGCTGCCGCCGTGGAGGCGCTAGTTCCAGACACCCGCTGCTTTCCATCGCGAGGGTGCTCAAAGTCTTCCCCAAGTATGGCGAAATTGTGTGCATCCGGTCTTCGTTCTGGGTTGAATTTAGAGGCTCGATTGTATGTGTCGGTAGAGAAGACGCATATTGTGTACAGGTCGTGGCGCGCCGGGAATGCCACGGGACCCAGGTTGCCCCAGTTAGATGCAGCGGCAAATATGAGTTTGTTAGCGGCGCTGGCCTTCTGTACAGCATCCTGCAGCTTGGGTGAGTGGTACAAGAAGCCTGCAGATATACTGATGATATCGACATCAACTTCGGGTGTAATCGACCATTCTATGGCCTTGGCGGGTGTTATGTTAACTTAACGTATTCCGTTAAGCACTAAGTTGGTGTAAACATACCTGGGCCATCAGTTCCGGTTCCGTCCTGTCGTCAGTGTCATCGGATTGAAACACTCTGGCGACATATAATTCACAGCCGTCAAAAATCGACAGAATAATGCTCGCTGAAGTTGTGCCATGCCAAGTATTGTCACTCTTGCTGGTGGCTTCTGGATTCACAAAATCTTTGTAGCCTTTGATTTTGGGTAGATTCTTGTCTTTCGGGTCGAATCCCGTGTCGATGACGCAGACCTTTACAGTCTTGTGCCCACGTTTCTGTAAGCCCGAGGCCTCCATCACGCTTTTCAAGACGTCAATGTTGTCCAGCCATTCTTCCGAAGAGACAATTTTCTCGCTTGTCAACATTAGCATTTCATTGGACATATCAGGTTTTGATGTCGCTAGGTACCTACCTTAAAATTTGTGGTCCATCTTGTGTCGATGAGGCAACAAACTTGCGATTCTGACCCTTGGCCGTCAACTTCATCCAATTGGTCTGCTCAAGGACGGGGCCATTTGAGCTACGGAGATCAAAGGTCCAAAAGGTGACCAAATCCAAGGATCCATGCAGCCCGTGCTGCGCAACCTTCTCAATTACAGATCCAACTTTCCATGGTTAATAGAGGCCCAAACATCCTCTCGAGAGGACCGGCAAAGGATTACAACGCTTACATTCTAGGCAAAGAGATCCTGAACGATTAAGTCGCTTAAATAACAAGCGCGTCTGGGTTTTGGCTGGGAAATCTGGTTTGGAAGAGATAACCCGTACTTCCAGATCCTGATCGTCGTAGTGTCTTTGCTCTGTTATGTGCTGAAGTGTGGCAGATTGCCTATGGAGAAGACCATGAGATTACTTATCACTACGACTTCCCAGCACGAAAGTAGTGACGAGGGCATGGGTATGTACTCACTGGCGATAGATCTCTTTTTCAAATGCAAACGGCCCTTGAACGTAAAGCTGAGCTAGCTTTTGCCTGGTAGCTAGAAGGTATGATGTCCAATTTTCCACGTCTGGTATGGGTGTTAGAACATGATAGTATTGCTTGTGGCTGACCCAGACCTTGTGCATTATTGAAGTGAAAATTCATTGCGGAAATTCCGCGACTGTTGTCAACCTCGATCTTGGATATTGTCACACACAAGGGATTTTCAACTAATCCGCGCTTAATTACAGAGTGCCTGAAGACTGAAAGAATTTGTCAGCATTTCCCTTTGCGATTTCGATTCATCAGATGTGTAGTACGAACATCGTATACAGAAACAGTCTTCTGTCTCCGAGTTACCTCTGAGAATGCGTATCTCGGCGCTAGATTCCGGATAAAAGTCGCAATGATCCAAAGTATCTTTATTGGCTGTCCTCGGCCATTGAGCAACTGAGTAATGCCTTAGCTGTATCTGTTGTGGCTGCCAAGCTACAGTAGCAGTCCTCGCAGACGACGCGAACTCAAATCGCCACGGAAGACTGCTTGCGAAAGCTCCAGGAGGGCTGACTCTTCGTTAATGTGCTTCTTGTGTGTGTGAATTGACTATTTTGATAGTATCAATACATACCACACAGAGGTCAGCCTGAAAACATTATTACCCTTCAATTGTATTTTGTGACAATTTGTACCTGTCACGAAACCATGCGAGAACATAGACGCAATGCGCAGGGCAAAGTCCTCAATCTCACGGACATCTAGACAATCAGAGCGTTTTCAAATCGGAGAGTAATCGTTCTGTGAGGCATACCTGTCTTTTGAGTCTCGGAAATGATGATGGAAACGATTGAGTCATCTCGTGGCCTCGAAAGGACCATATGCCACTCACGCGTTTGGATAGGACGTAGGTGCTCAACGACGAAGGTGGCAGGCAGTACTACTGATGATTAGGTACATTCGTCTCCTCAAGTCGATAATCTAAGTTGTAATGCACTAGGATACTTTTTCAGATCCTACCTTGGTAACTGAGTTCGCCATCATGTGAGCCCTCATCTGATGGACAAAGACAAGCGAACCTCATACTTCTTGTTGAAGCAACAGATGCTATCTCGTGGAAAGAGCAATTTGAGCAGATGATCTTGTGTGTGCTCTCGGTCCCGTGGTCAGTTAGTGTGGCTTCACGCAACTCGAACGTCTTATGACCTTCACGTAGAAAAGTGTATGGCATGATGACATTCGCAGAACCCATCAACTCCTGCGAGATTGCATCAAGTCCCTCGTGAACAGTTTCGATCATGACTCCATCTTTGAGGTCTTCATTGCTGCGAATTACCTCAGCTATAATGCCATGCTAAATGACCCCCCTTCATCGTCGCGACAAGACTTACCATAGACTGAGGTTCGAAGCCAGAGACAGCTTGTTTCGAACATGAACCAAATCCTTAACCGCTTGGGCTTTTTGTGACATTTCATTCCTTACAGGCTCCGAAACGCTATTAGACGATCCATTTTCAGCCGCCATAGATAACTGACCGAATGCATTCCTACACTCGTCAAGAATAACCTGGGTCCATGTGCGACCTTCGAGAGGCTGGAGACGACGCAGAAGTTCTCTCATAGCTTCGAGGTGGGCGCGAACGTCCTGCATCTCGCTGAGCTGCGACTCTTCGAGATGCGATATATTTGCCAGCAAATCATTGCAAGTTTGCGCCAATACATCTCCCCTTAGCATGTCTCCATCCCTCTGTTGTGCCATGGCGGTGATGCAGCAAAACCATTTGTCAAAATGGTTCTTTAATCCAGCGCCTGACGACTGGCTGTTTGATTTAAGGCGGAGTCAAGGTGAGATGAAAGGTCGTCATCGCCCTGCTTATCTTCGCGGTCCTCGACTGGGCTCAGCAGACCGCTCTTCGGGCTCTCAGACAACATGCAGAGCTCCAATCGCAGCGAATACGGGGCCGACTTAGGCGAACCAATCGCTATTAAGGCAACTTCAGCCCAATCCTGCAGACTTGGCTGATCGGAACCAGGCGATGAAGCTTGAATGTCAGGCTTAGAACGCCCTGACAGTTTCAGCGATGCCTTTTGCTCCGCCATAATGTCGTGCGCGCACCACAGCCTTACGGCCTCCCTGGCTCTACTAATTCGACAATTCCCAAGCATCGACTGCGTCTGCTCCCAAATTCTCTCTGGCATTCTTCTGCTGACATTCGCTTTCCTCGTTCTTACTGCGCTCAGCTGACTTTACGGAAAGCGACACTAAAATCTGCTCTTAAACAACAACTCCATTGCATGCATCGAAATCACACTTATTCTTGCCGGCTCAAAGCAAAGCAGAATGGCATATCATCTCAGAGCTGGGCGATTGGCTTCTGGTATCCTGTTTGCTGCAGCTAATCCTCTCAATGCCAAGTTCGACATTCCGCCTTCGAGAGTGAAGGTCAGAAACGCATCACCGTACAACCCCACCCAGCTTGCGGACAGCGCCGGGCAAGATGTCGAGATCGCAGGGCATACTCGTGATGAAGTCGGCGTTTACTCCCTATTTTCAGTCTTTGACGATGCAACGAGTGCTCTTCCGAGGACGCACTCTCCAGCCAATCCTACTACATTTTGCCTACCAATCCTGAGCATTTCTGTCGACGTCACCATTGATGGAATGGTCGCACTCACAAAGCTCACACAAAGCTTTTACAATCCATCCGAATTTGTGATTACAGAAGCCCGACACACCTTTCCACTCTATGACGGTGCTGCTGTGACATCGTTCGATTGCAGCATTGGGAACGAGCGACGATTACAAGGTGTGGTGAAAGCAAAGGCGCAAGCAAGGCGTGACTTCGAAGAACATAGTTACAAGAAAAGAGAGGCGGCCGCACTACTGGAAGAACTTACTCCAGAGATTTCTGAAACATCTTTGGGCAATATTCCCGGCAAAACGACTGTTCAAATCAGCTTGACCTACGTACAAGAGCTCCAGGTCGTAACAAGTCAAACGGAAAAAGCCGAAGGTCTTGCTATCACTATTCCCACTTCCATTGCTCCTCGTTACGGCGCGCCCTCACGGGCAACGGCCCTACCAGAACTATCAAGCGACAAGCTGAACATCAACATCAAAGTCCTCGATAATGGAACTATTGACCCAAAGAAATGCCACGTAGAATCGCTCCACCCTGCCACCTACCAAGGCACTCAGCCTGTCCGAGATACCGTCGTCACAAATGCCGCCGACCTTTCCAGCCTGGATCTCACGAGTGAGAGCACGGATCAAGTCGAGCACTTGTGGCAATATTCAGAGTCTCAGCCTCCTCTAAGGTGTGATTTCATCATGGTTATACATATGCATGAAGAAAGTCGTCTTCGATCCCGCGCATTCATCACCCCTATCGACAATTTCGGCCATGCCGCACTCATGGTGAACCTTCGCCCGAATGACATTTTCGGCAGCGCTATCCTCCCGCATGAATTCAAAGGAGAGGTCCTATTCGTTCTTGACCGCTCCGGATCCATGGGCTGGACAGGATCAGGCAGCAATACGCTCAAGATCGATGCGATGAAGGATGCCATGTCGCTAGCGCTCTCTGGACTACCACTCGCCTGCAAATTCAATATCATCTCCTTTGGCAGTGAGGTGCGTGGCCTGTGGCTTGAATCGCATTCAGTTAGTGATACCGAGAGCATGACGGATGCCAGAACATATGTGTCAACTATCGAGTCCAATATGGGCGGCACTGATATCTTATTGGCTTTGACGGCAGCTCTTAAGAAGCGTGATAGCAACTCGACTAGTTCGACGCAAATAATCCTGATCACTGACGGAGAAGTGGAGCATGAACCGCACAATCCTATTTTCAAATTTGTCTTGGATAAGAGAAAGGAGCTTGTGGATAAGGTTCGGTTCTTCACTCTTGGTCTAGGCGACCGGGTTTCGCATCGCGTTGTGGAAAGTATCGCAGAGCTGGGGGGCGGTTACTGTGACGTGATCGATCCGGCTAAGAAGCCTCGTTGGGAAGACCGCCTGAATCGTATGCTGCTGTCAGTTATGGAACCAGACAGCTGGTCCTGCGATGTGGATCTTGGTGCTGGATATGAAAGACAAAGTCTGGCTGCACATCAATTCTGGGGCAATGATCAATCCGATAAACAAATGGCTGTCTTTGCACAGGGCCCTCATCCAGTTCCCACACTTCACCCATACAGATATAAATCACTGTTCTTCCTTTTACAAGTTGGGATCTCCAATATGCCGAAAACAGTGACGATCACCACAACAGCAGCCTCTGCAAAGAGAAAAGTCTATGCCCTGAATGTAGAGCCGACGTATCTAAAACACGACACCATCCACCCAATGGCAGTCAAGAGTATCTTGCAGAGCCTCGAAAACGAATGCAAGCGAGGGGTCGTCGATGAAGAGCAGGCAAAGACCAATGCGGAGTTTCTGGGGACAAGATATGCTGTCACTAGCAAGTGGACGAGTTTCGTCGCCGTGGCAGATGAAGACAAGGAACTTCCACATGAAGTCGACATTTACAAAGCTGCCTTTAGGGAAGCAAACATTGAAACTCCTCGATTCGAAATGTCTCAAGTTCATCGGAGAGTTAATAGGTTGGTTCTAAAGTCAGCATCATCAGCAAACTACGAACCGTATCACCGACTTGGGGCATTTTCTGGTCTGAAATTTTCTCGATACTCCCCTACTACACACAAATCTTACGAATCGAGACATAGAGATTCGGAACGAGAGAGTCGCAAAAATGAGAGAAGGGGCTCGGATGGAAGACTCGATTCAAGGAGAGAAGCCGATACAAAAACGCCAGATCCAAGTCCAGCAGAGGCAAAAAAACAAAAAAAAGATCTAGCAAGACCAGAACATGCTGACGATTTGGTCGAAATTGGGCTAGAACCAAAAGGTCATGACGACCAGTCTCCCATTTCGTTTATGCATCTACAGAGACCAATGCTTTTGTCTGGCGAAGATGGGCGTCCCCCCCCTTCAATGTCTTCCAGGCTTTCAATGCCTCCCGCGCCACCCGTGGTTTTGAGACAGCAAGCACCCTATGAGATTCAATCTCAGGGATTCGATCATGAGCGTCGAATTCCGCAGCGGCTCCAGCAAGGCGACAGTTTCCCTGAGGATATTAATTTTGTTGTTGGTGAAACGAGCATGAGTCGCATGGCGTGTTGCAGCGACGATAACGAGTCGGACGAACCCTGCAAAGATAGTTGTCCGGATACTGCATATGAAACTCACCCATTCACTCAATTACCCGTGGGTGCCATCACGTGGAAGCATGCTGCAAGATTCGAAGAACAAGGGCTGTTTGTCCTGCCGGGTGGGGTTCAGGCAAGCCTTCACAAGCACTTTTGCCCCAAGACTGTAGGGAAGATGCACGAAAGTCTGCGAGATCTGCCGCCTACGAAATCAGTCAAATCAGAGGAGCACCCAGTTTTGATCGATACATTGTTGATGATTCAGTACTTCAAGACGCACCTCGCTGACCAGGAAGACTACTGGAACCTTGTCATTGGCAAAGCCGAGCGTACAGTATTACTTGCCCTCGGCCTCGACGAGAATCAAGAGGAGCCTCTGGAGCCTCTCTATGATATGCTCTCATCTGCAATTTCTCATGCGCACTTCTTGGAGGCCGTCAAGGATTCATCTGTTTCCAAGATACTCACAGAAACGCCTTCGGCATCTCCAACGCCTGGTACCTGCTTGGTATGCGACATGCCAATTGACAAGAATGATGAGGAAACGGGTGCCGCATCTAGAGACTTTGTCTGTCTCGCTGATGAGTGTTATGACACCAGCTCGCATTCTCGAGTGCGTTACCCCAACTGGACAGAGTTTTGGGCACATCAGATTCAAAGCGGCCATCTGATATGTCCAGACGTGAGTGATGTACAAGGCGAAATCGTGCCGACAGAATAATGGTACACGTTCCAAGGCTCAAGTCCCAGATCTTCCGAGTACTTAACGGTCCTTTCTCTTTCTCTTTTTCTTTTCTTTTTCTTTTGCGTACATGTCAGCCATCGCCATGTCGCTGCTTAGCGGGCGTTCTGGAGTGGTGACGACCCAGTGTAATAGAAATCGTAGTTATGGATGAAGACAATAGAACCAGTAGATGGACATGCCTTTGCTTAGAATCTACAGCGTGCAGGACAAGGGTATTGTACACGGCACTTGGAGTAGTTTTACCAGAATGTCAAATTATGAATGCCTATGCTGGTACGTATAGCTTGGCAATACACTGACGAAGGTCTAGTCGTAGCACGGACAGGATCTGAATGCGTTCTTGGGCAATCTATCAGCATTTCCCAACCCGATATACGCGAATAACATCGTGGTCCAATCTCAAGTCAGATATCCAATCTTGTAGCCAAGGCTATCTATTGTTGGCGGGCACAAGGGTGTCGTTCGTGTATGCTTACATCGATTTCAGCGTAAAAGGCCGTGTCTGTAAAACGAACACTCTTCCCTCAGGGTGCAGGTACATCTCTTGGGTTCTCTTCCTCACCACAGCAGCAAGGCAGTGCACAGCGTGTATATTAACATGAAGATACAAGCCGCGCGCGGAATGTAGCCGCGGGCATGCCTCAGGGGAAGTCGTCGCTGACAATCTCCTGAATCAGTTGGACGAGACTCACAGGAGCTGAAAATGGAGATGTCAAAAGTCCCCGTGGTTTGCTAGTTTAGCCGACTTGTTTCTTTTCCTACTGTCACTGGAATATGGCGCCCGCGGGGGAGGGCGGGGTTTGGAGAAGTTGCTCAGGCCTGTAGGTGCGCCCCAGCGACCAAGAACAATAGACACGAATTGGCACGCGATTGAATGGTCATATGACCTCGTCCCCAGTGTGCGTGGATTGTTGCGAAAATGCGAGGATTGAGGCCCTCTTGTGGCACGGCGGAGAGGATTCCGATATTCAGCAGGACAACTGGCTGTAGATGCCCTGAAGGCCAAGCCACCAGTTAGTGCTAGTCGAAAGAGCACCGGTGCCGTGGTGGCCCGTGGCATGCAGATAAGCAAGCGCCCGGGCCTTGAAGCGCCACCAGACGTACCTAGAATTGGGCTACAGTGGTTCATAGGACTAGAGTATCTGATCTTTCACTGTTGCCTTGCAAAAGTTTGAAGTAAGTCGGAGTGAGTAAAATTCGGACAAGTATGCAACTGAATACATCATACCGCAGGATGCAGAACATTTGTAAGGGTAGTTCAATATGAGAAGAGGCAGCTTTTGAGGAATTCGCCAACAAGGGACATGTATTCTGAGACAGACAGATCCAAGAACAAGGTATATAAATCATCATTCTGTCAAGACATTTTTCTAGTAATTCCAACGAATGGCCCCCAATGGTAATGATGAAAGATTGATCTACATCATGATGGAACAGTACCTGGTGGAATGATAGCTTACCTCAAGGTAATGGCTCTGGTCAATTATGAAAATCTCAAGGGCAACCAGCAAATCATTACTTTTCACGGCATTGAGAGGGCATATCGGGCCGTAAAGGGCAGTCAAATTGCCAACCTGCCAACCCATACCGGGATGCACAACTATTGCAACATGCCAAGGTGGTATTTTACAACTTGTTGTCAAAGATCCCGCGTCGGTTAGCCAGTTGCCCGCGCTTACGGTTGGTTACCTGTGTTTAGCGAGATTCAGACGATGATCTTTTGTCTCCCTCATCGCCAATGCATCAAAACAGCTCGCATGCTTTCCATCCAAAGCTTTCGAGCTACAAAATTTCCGAAAAGCAATACTGCAAAACGAATTGTCTCGGATTGCGGCAAGAATTCTCGCTGCCACCTGCGCATACTGAACCTTGTTATGTTCGGCAATTGCCTTGCCATTGAAATGACAGTAACGTAACCTGCCAAAATTTGTCTCGAATATTGACACGCTTTTGAGCAATGAGCCACCATGACTGGCTTTGAGACTAGCAAAAGAAATGTGTCACGAATTTTGCTGCTTCTTGTCATCCCTTTTCCGCACTCGGAGAATCATTGATGACGGGCTTGGCAGGGTGACCACTGCTGCTCATCCCTTTTCTGAGTGGCTTTTTCGGGTTTCCTTGATTCCGCACGGCATCACCTCAAACTGCCCATTCAGGCGCAGCTGTGAGTTGGCGATGATTGCGACGATCCTTTCGCGAGTATACCATGATACAAACTCAATTCAGCTGGATTGTGAGACACGACTGTAGAAAACCAGTATAAATGAGTGCCAAGTCGTCCTCCAAGACCGCCAAGCACGAGGAGACACATCAAAATTATTCACAAGATCAAGATATCAAAATTTTCAAAATGAGAGCCTCTTTTATTACCGCTTTGGCCATCTTCCATGGTGTCATTGTGGGAGCGCTTACACCATGTAGCCCATCAAAGACAGTCACAGTGACACCAACTGGCTTTATCAATTGCCCAGCATGCATTGTGCCCACAACGACTTGCTCACGAGGCCAGCAGAGTCTCCAGCCATTCCCTACCATTACTCAAGACTGCACGGCCACTGTATTGCATGAATGTCCCTGCACGACCTGCCTGCCCAAGACAACCGCATGCGCTGCAACCACGACAGTCAAGGTGCCACCGCACTTTATCTGTGAAATCGCCTGCATCGAGCCTTTGAGCACTTGCAAGCCAGGCGAGCCTACGGGCCCGCCGAGGAGCGTCACGACTACCGCAGGCTGCACAGTCTCCATAGTCGGCAAACCGTGTCCCGGGTGTGCAAGCTGCGTCTCTCCAGATCCTACCGGATACTAGGCATGAGTCGGGCTAGAAGAAAGAGTTCCCCTATCTTTCAAATCGACAGCGGTGGCCAAATCGGGCTATAACATTTCAACATGAATTCCATTTTTCTTTGGGTATCTTATCACTGTTGGGCGGTGTTTATGAATAACAAAAACCAAAAACGTGTCTTGGTATTTGCGGGCACGGCTCTCCTTATTTTTCAAAAAGGTGACAAATGGTAGTGTGGCAATGGGCAACGTGTCCGTCCGACGTCGTTCTCGTCGTTCTCTGGTCTGCTAGAGTCTTTAGGATATATATTCAAACGAATTTCACTAATTCACTCAAGCCAGACTGGTTCGGGATTTGCTATGATCAGCGGATGCCCGGAGCGGTGGCGGGCACTATCGTAACCCTGCAAGATAGCCGTCTGCCAGAGATTGCCAATCCGGACTTCCCACTTTCAGTCAGCCGCGTGACAAGCATGCCCAATCTCGGACCTACCTGCCCACGATACAGTAGCTCAACAAAATCCAAGGCGCACCCAGGACACCACACACATGTTTTGGTCTGAAGCATGGTGATCTCATGTGAGGAGGAGGACCCTGCTTATGAGTTTCCACACCTTAGTACGCCAAGTTGGTCAATTCGGTAATTGATGTGGTCATTTGGGAGGGGAGACACGCGCGTGTCTGTGTTTTGGCGCTCGGGAATTTCAAACATTGCGCATCATACACTATTTAAGGCTTGGAGAAGGAAAAACGTCCTTCAGCCTGCGTCATCTGGATCCGGCAATGCCTTGAATTTAACCAGAGCATACTCCGTACAGTCGCTGGGCTCGGAGCCAATCATGTCCTTTATGTCGTAATCTCTAATCCGGAGTATGTGTTGTGGAGACACAGAGAGCAATAAGCACCTACCTGATGGATAAGTGTATAGCCAGTGGTAGGGCAAGCATTATTTATAATTGATGTGCACTAGTTTTGCGCACCAGCCGGAAGTGCACATTGCCCCCCCTAAAATGTGACGCCGAGGCGCCTTGGCCAACCGTGCATATCTCAAGAAGCCAGTCCCTCTAGCTCAAGGGACAGCCGGCGTTATGACGAGAGAAGGCCGCGCACGCCGAGACGCGCAGGCGGCGGACAAGACGGGAGAGGCTTGCCAATGCCGAGCAGAATTTTCCTTGGCTTCGGCCGTCTGTCCAATCCAGGGACTGCGGCTGATTGAGCCGCAATGGAAACAAGACAAGACTTGCAAGGGATGATTGGAGACTAGCTGGGCTCGGCTTTCACGATCTTTATTTTATATTGTCAAAAACATCTTCATAAGAAATCGCGGAATTTATGATGTTTGCCAATTATGTTGTCAATGAATCAAATAATGAAATCCCCAAGTCATGAATAAGGTGAAAACGGGTCCCCCTCTACTACTAGATGACGCTGGTCCGCTATCGCTGATGGACCGTCTCCACGGGGAAAAACACAACCCCGGACAGAGATTCCGCTCTGTGCAGTCGGGGGCTCGGGACGCGGCCTTACCCATGGAGAAGCGCAACACGAATAACAAACGACGATATCAAATTATAGATGGAGTTATGGATTTCAACAGCGTCTATTCGGCGCGTCCCCCAGTTCACTGATCCCCAGTCAATTTGCCCCGGATTATTTCCCCCAGAGTATGGGTATGAGCAGCATCTGTTGAGTTATGGGGGCCGTCATGGGGATGCTCCGCTCCGATGCCAGAGCCTGGGAGTACTTATGGATCACTAGGGCCTCGAATTTTTTCGCTCAACCTCCCTTTTGCTGTATGACACATTTTCGACCTCCCCCCCTTTTTTAAAAAAAACGACTCGACAATTAGACAACACAAACGACTCTTACATCTTCTGAGCGGTCGTGTTAGCAAATTTTCTTCGGGCGTGGCCATGGGCATCCTCACCGTCGTCGAAGAACGGCCGACGCCGCCGTCGGTCTACAACTGGCGCATCTACGTTCTCGCCGCCACGGCCTCGTGTGGGTCTTGCATGATTGGCTACACGAGTGCCTTTATTGGTACCACGATTGGAATCGACTCTTTCAAAGAGGAGTTTGGCCTGGATGAGTTGACGTCGGCAGAGAGGAATCTCATTAGTGAGAACATTGTGTCTCTCTTCGTCGCCGGTGCCTTTTTCGGCGCCCTCCTCACTTACTGTTTGAGTCACTTCATCGGCCGCAAGATCTGTCTGGCCATTGGAGCCACCATCTTCTCTGTGGGAGCTGGTTTGACCTGCGGAGCGAGTTCGTCGATTGGATTGGGCATTCTTTATGCTGGACGTGTCTTGTCGGGCTTGGGCACTGGTGTTGCATCGGTAAGATATTCTGACATGACTCTTTTTTGACGACCCAGTTTTTCCATTTTCTCAGCGAGACTGGATGACGTAATATCAATGAGTATATACTAATGAGCCAATCTTATAGAATATCATCCCTATTTACATTTCCGAGTTGGCACCGCCGGCGATCCGCGGTCGTCTGGTTGGACTGTACGAACTCGGCTGGCAAATTGGTGGTTTGGTTGGTTTCTGGATCAACGTGAGTTGTTTACACACTCCTTTAGCATATTGTCTCATTCACAAGACTAACTTGGCCTGTTTCCCAGTTTGGTATTGAATCAGGTCTTCCACCGAGCCACGAGCAATGGATCATTCCCTTTGCTGTTCAGCTGATCCCCTCGGGACTGCTCATGATCGGCTCCATGCTGTTGCCCGAATCTCCTCGTTGGCTGTTTCTCAAGAACAGACGCGAAGAGGCCATCAAGAATCTGTGCTGGGTCCGTCAACTCGAGCCCACCGACACCTACATTGAGGAGGAAATCGCCGGCATCGACAAGATCTACGAGATGCAAAAGAACACTGTCGGCTTTGGATTCTGGCAGCCATTCAAGGCACTGGGTTCTCGCCCCAAGCTCCAGTGGCGTCTCTTCATTGGTTGCATGTTGTTCTTCTGGCAGAACGGTTCCGGTATCAATGCCATCAACTACTACTCGCCTACCATCTTCACGGTATGTTCCCAACATTGTTGGTTGGCCCCCACTTATAACACAGTGCTAATTATTTTACTTTATGCAGAGCATTGGTATCAACTCCAACACTGTCAACTTGATGACTGGTATCTTTGGTGTCATCAAGGCCGTCGCAACCTTCTTCTGGCTGCTGTTCTTGGTCGATCAGCTTGGACGCAGAAAGCTCCTGCTCGGTGGTGCCATTGGCGGTTCCATCTGCATGTGGATCATTGGCGCCTACATTTGTGTGGTGGATCCGACCAAGAACCCTCAAGATCACCTGACCAGCAGTGGCATCGCCGCCATCTTCTTCTTCTACCTGTGGACGGCCATTTACACGCCCACTTGGAACGGCACGCCCTGGGTCCTCAACTCTGAATTCTTCGACCCCAACTTCCGTTCCCTGGCCAGCGGTGCCACGACTGCCAGCAACTGGTTGTTCAACTTTCTTGTCTCGCGCTTCACCGAGCAGATGTTTGAGGCCATGGGCTACGGAGTCTACTTTTTCTTCGCCTCGCTGTCCTTCCTCGCCTTCTTCTTTGCCTTCTTCCTCGTTCCCGAGACGAGCGGTGTGCCACTTGAGAAGGTTGATAGGCTGTTTGAGATCAAGCCGGTCTGGAGAGCGCACGACAAGCTGGTTGCCGAGCTCCGGGAAGAGGAGGCGGAATTCCGCTCCGACAGCGTCAAGGGCGAGGCCGTCCACAGAGACCAAGTCTTGAGCTCCGAGTCGGATACCGCATGAGATTTTTATAGAAAGAGGCCCACCAAACAGAGCCCATCATGACGATAGATTACGAGTTAGAGATAGATTATTAGATTTAGACGCTGCATATGACAAATTTGGAATTTTTCAAGAATTTAGCTCATGCAACTTGAGTGGTTTTGTACAGTGTCTGGTTGTGTGCAAAGAGCCTTCAGAGACTTGTTTATATGATTTGAAGAATCCGACAATATTTTAGTTTTTGCATAATGACGTCTAGGTCATGTTTCAAGAGGTATCGGGCGCTGTCCTAGGTGCTAGATTACCGTAAAGGCGCACTGTCGAGAATTGGAGAGGCCTAAAATAGGTATGCTAAAGAATTGCCGGCGTGGGGCTCGGCGCTACTTCTTCCTCTTACAAGCAACCAACAATTGATGATCGAATCCGATTCACTGACAACTCAAATTCAAATAAATTTCATATAACCTGCCAATTTCTTATCACGTAAAAGCAGTAAATCGGGGGAGAAAAAAAAAAGGGCTCACTATTGCGATCTCTTGGCTTGTCCTCACTCCGACAAAGTCTCAGCATGCCCAGGTTCACCTCCAAATGCCCGAACGAAGACAAGATAGACTTGATAGTATTGTTCTGGTATTTGCTTCAAATCTTGGAAAGTCTCTACTCCAGTCCAAACTATAGACCTTTACAAGTTTTTAAGAAATTAATAATCGTTCCTGACCGGTGATATGATATCAGATTGTGCTGCTGGTAGCTCATGGGACCAGGACAATGCGACCTTCTACGGTACCTTTCAGCATTGCCTCATAAGCTTCTTGAGCCTTATCTAGAGGATACTTTGTAACAATACTCTCAATACCCTTGAGCTCAGAGAATTGAATAGTATCCTCCGAATCGCCGCAGTGGCCACCTGGCCATGACTGGACGGACAGGCCTTTGCCAAGCTGACAGCTGGTAAGTAACTGTACTAAACGACGACGATGAAGCATGTCGACTCACCATGGAAAAAGTGTTGAGATTGATCTCCCCTGGAACTGAAAGAAGCAAGAGCTTGCCAAGTATGCCCAAGCCGTTCATCAAGTCCTGCAGACCATCGGCAGTGGGAGCTGTGGCGACGATGAGGCTGGCACCCCCAAGTTTCTGAATTTGTCCACCGACATCACCTTTACTAGCATCGACGTACTCGGAAGCGCCAAGCTTGCGAGCAAAGTCTTCCTTGCTACCATCACGAGATACGGCAATCACACGATAGCCAAAAGCAGCCGCGTACTGTACGGCCATGTGCCCGACCCCGCCGAGTCCTTGGACCGCCACGGTCTCGCCGGCGGGAATGCCCATGTTTCGGAGTGCGTTGAAAGCAGTCATACCGGCGCATAGTATCGGGGCATACGCGGCGGCATCGATGTGGTCCGGCACGCGGACGGCGGCTTCGGCACGGATGAGGACGTATTCGGCGTACCCGCCATGCTTGTTCTCGCCGTGGATAATCGGGTTGGAGCACATCTGGAGCCAGCCCTTCTTGCAAGCCACGCACGTACCTTGGGCACAAACTATTAGAGACCAAATCGATATATATTTTTCTTTCTTCAGTTATGACATACCATCATGGCCGCCATGCCAGCCAGCACCGATGCGGTCGCCAACATTCCACGACGATGTACCTTCTCCAAGGGCTGCGACTCTACCAATGATCTCGTGCCCAGGTACAATCGGGCTATGGTATGTCAGTTCCTGCTTCTCCTCCTGAATCAAATGAGCGTTTTATAGGAAACTTACAAGCCACCACCCATACCATTGTGCTGTGCATACATGTCAGAGTAGCAGACTCCACAAACTTCAACCTTGACCAAGATTTCGTCTTTCGACGGCTGGACAAGATCTACCTGCTCCATGGTCAGGCGCTCGCCCTGAGCCTTGAAGACCGCATGTTTGTACGTCTTTGGAAGCAAATACATTTTGTCTTGGACTTTCTCTGGCGATATAACTGCTGATAATAATGATGGCGAGGTCCTCTTGATGTTTGATTGCGTTTGAAAGCTCAAATTAGTCGAGAATAGATGGTTTGCTTGTCTAGTGAGCTGGTTATATATTCATCTCTAGGTAGTACAAAATCACTGTCGGAAAGGCTGATTTTAATGCAGCGATGCTCTCGCTTCTGGACTGTCTACTATGATGCTTTCTAATAGTGACCACTTGTGATGGTTCATCATGTTAAGTCCGATCGGCGTTGAAGTACTCAGATGAATCATATAGGCGAAGAATACAAGACCAAGCCAAATAGGGACCCGTGTTATGGCTGCACATGGCCCCTGTACAACAACAAACCGAGTGAAGAATACGTAAGGTCTCTCTCCAATGGCAATGCATGGCCTCTGAAAAGTTGACAAGCTCTTTTTCATGACTAAAACGAATGACTTAAACCGGGTATGAAAGAGAAAATCCCCCAAATGGACTGCAATAACCATCAAGGGAAAGGAATTTAATGCCTGGGATGATGAATTTATTCTTGGGAGCGATTAGATTTCAGGCCCTACTTACGTTCGCACACTCGCATTGCCCAATATGGTGAGCGTCCAAACGAGGTGGGCTTTAGGGAATACCGCTTTAGGATATAGAGCACCAGAAGCGGTTCCTTGCCCCATGACATTATCCGACGCGTTAAGCTGACAAATCTCATCGCTTGCACCTGCTCGCAGCAATTTTGACATTCCCTATCACGAATGCGCAGCACATTACCACTATCGCTCAACCCCATACTCTCCCTAATACTGAGGATTTGTGCTATCTAACAAAATACAGAGTAGACACGCGAGAAAACCCCAAGGATGCAATTGGGGTGTGCGGATACAGCAAGAACATAAGCAAGCGATCAGAAAGGGACGTGAAGTTGACGGAGGCATCATCGCATGATTCAGTCGCTTGCGATTGAAACCATGTTCATCACCTTGAAAAGCACGGGGCGGCGGAAAGCTCAAGGAATGGAACAAGTCGCATCGAGGAGTGCTGACCCACGCCGTGTGAGCACTGCGAATCGCTCCCGCACCGCTCCCATGACTCGTCAGCCTTGCCTTGCTTGCGTGTCCAAAAGAGTGCGTACTTTTATTTGGCCCACTTGAATCACAAACTTTCCAAGATGTAACAGGGGAAACTCATTTCAAGCTTCGTCGCTAACATGGTCTCTTTACAGCTCACTTGTACCGGACGCCTACATGATTGCGATAGATGCATATCAAGATCACAGGCCTGCATCTTCCCCAGTGTCCGAGGAGCGGATCTTAGATTCGACACTTTATCAAGAGATACTCGGTCAGCTAGTATGAATGTGATGCAGTCGTCTTCAATGCCGGCATCACGAATCCTCGGATCAGAAAGACTCGATCGGACCGGACCGGTAGAAGATGAAACGAATCAAACTGATCATACAGTTCCAGTGCGCCAATGTATGTACCATATTCCTATGTCTATTGCCGTGGGCCATCGTTTTATGATGGAAGCACAGTTGCCCAAGAATGACTTTGAGAACATGCAAAGCACTACCTACCTTCTACATGTGGCACAAGATACAGGCTAACAAGATACAGCCTCAATGGTAGCAGATGTAGCCGACCATGGAATCGCTGCACCCGATGCCCCCGTCATCACAGTTTTCAGTGTGCAGACAATTTCGTCTGATTCTGCCTTCTCAGAACAGCAAACGCTGGAATCGCCACCAGAGGAGCCTTCAACATCACGGAGTGACTCATCTTCACATGTAGATCAGGAATTTGCTCAAACACAGATTACCGAGTCGCCATGCTCCTGCATCCACGATGCTATACGCATTGTGCAACAACTAGATGACGACCACTTTCGCATCACAACATTGTCGCTCGACCAGGTTCTTTGGCTTCAGAAAAATATCCTCGCACAATGCGATAAGCCCCTCCAGTGTGACGCCTGTAGCAAACTTCCTTCAGTTTATAGCGTCCTCATAATCATTTGCGATCGTCTTACCGAGATGTTTGAATGCATCCACAAACGACTGAAGCGTGTAATTGTCCTGATAGCGCACAACACGGATAGTGGATCAGATTCGAGCGCCTCGAGCACTCGTGAAAATAATGGCCAATCCTCGAAGCAACTTTTCTGCAGTAACACTGGGCAAATGGCTGATGAAGCACCTTGCAGTCTTGAATTGTTTCAATCTGGACCTCAAAGCGGGTTTTCCAAAAAGGAGCAATTATACATGATGGAAGGTCTTCTCAAATTTCAGATTCATACATTCAAGGGCTTTCTGGCCCAGGTTGAAGCATTAGGTTCCTCAGTCACTAACCTCGCACGGCAATCGAGACATATTTCTCTCATGACAAGATTGGGCATGGCAGCAAACAACATCGCCGAAGAAGTTCAACGTAGCTCACGGTAATCGTCTCCATCATAGAATGTTCAAGTCATGGGCAAATGGGACACAATCAAACAAGTACTCAAATCAAAGTGCGATAAATCTGAAAGACTCACCCCAAAGGGCTTGTGGAAGCGTTCACTATCAGAGTATAAATATGGAAAATTGCCGTGGATGGAATCCTTCCCATATCCTTGACTGTGCACTAGCAATCAGAGAACCATGACTCTAGAAGTCACGCATGCAGATCGCAAATGCGACATGGTTGACTGAAGGTCTTGTCGGAGAATAATCAGACAAATGCGCGTATTCCTGGGCGGACTGCTGAAGCACACTTACCCCCACCCTACCAAATCTAGTAATTCCTATCAAGGCAATGCCTATTTCGGTAATGTGGGGACTACGCAAGGAAATGCTCAACAGTAAGAACCATCGGATCAACTTCATGATGAGTCGAGAGGCACATTGACTGACCCTAGCACCCAAGAATATCACAATCCTAATGATGATTTATCATGCTTGCGGTAGTCGCCGTCGGAGATAGTGCGATGACTTCTACACTCAATGCTACAAACATTGGCATTTGTAAGCATACGCTGCTAGTCTTTGAGTTGGCCATCATCGGAAGACAATGTATCTGATTTTATAGGTCTCTGGAAGTCGTATGCTTGTGATAGATAGATTCTGGGATCTAATCCTATGTCCTGATCAATACAGGCGTAGACTTCGGCCTCAGATAAAGTTGAACAAGATGGCATCTCACCCTCCAGGTGACTGTTGCGGTCAAGGCTTCAAGCACGAGTGCGTATGAAAAGTTTGACAATGACCTGAGCAGCTGCTGATTATCGCGACAGAGGCGAGCCCGCGGGCAAAATGATCACAGTCGCTTCAAAATGGGACGGGTACCTCGCAACGCCGCCCATGGGAACCGAGCACAAGGAAGCAACTGTCCTCTATATCCCCGACATTCTCGGCATCTACAATAACTCAAAGCTGCTAGCTGATCAGTTTGCGGCGAGGGGCTACCAAACCTTGGTGGTCGATGTCATGAATGGAGACCCGGCCCCGGCAAACTTTGACAGCATCCCGGGCTTTGATCTGCCGACGTGGATCTCGGAGGGAACTGACGGAAAGAAACCCCACACCAAGGATGCTATAGATCCCATTGTATCGGCGGCTGTGGCATACCTTCGAGAGTCACTTGGTGCCAACAAGGTCGCGGCGGTGGGATATTGCTTCGGTGCAAAGGTGCAGTGGAGATCTTTCCACGCTTTTTCTATATACGACACTAACAAAATGTTTTCTGCAGTATCTTATCCGTCACCTGGTCTCTGAAATAGATGCAGGTTTTGTTGCGCATCCATCGTTTGTCGATGAGGAAGAACTGGCTGCCATTACCAAGCCACTTTCTATAGCAGCGGCAGAGACAGATTCGATATTTACAACTGAGCGGCGTCACAAATCCGAGGACATTCTGACTCGGGTGAGAGTCCCGTATCAGATAAATCTCTTCTCTGGCGTTGCCCATGGTTTTGCTGTCCGTTGCGATTTGCAGCAAAAGGGCCAGCGGTTTGCTAAGGAGCAGGCACTGTTGCAGGCGGTGGCGTGGTTTGATCATCATTTATCGTAGCATGGTGGTTCAGCATATCAGTGATTGATTCAACTACCTTGTCTGTGCTCCTAGGCACTTTTACATGGTAAATTTTAAACCATTTTGCACCGTGTGTTCTTCTATGTCGTGAACGTCTCGTATCCCTTTTCGTCCTCCGGTGCTTGCTACCTTGCTGTTGGCCGCCACAACCAGCCCTTACGTCGATAAAGGCATCTACAGCAGTCATGCGGCGCAGCACCAACAGTTCAATACCGCGCTTCCCGTAGCGTCCGATGTATCTTTGTAAACTCCATTTGTCAGATCATTTCCGGAAAGTTTTGCCTAGTAAGAAAGGCAAACATCCTGCTTTCTTTACCCAATTCATGTCTGAAAATTTCCAATACAGGCATCTGCCCGCGCTCTTTAGAGCCGTGGCCCAGTGCTCGGGCACCATCTTCCCACTAATCAGTGGCAGCACCCGCAGCGTGATGGTCCACTACGCTACGGCCTAACAGAGCGTGTTGCAAATGTGCCCGAGACCTAGACCGTTTGGCACGTTGGCAACGCGCGCACCGCTTGCCTCGGGATACTCATGTTCATCCTTACGGCGCTACGATGTCCTCGACACCTTTTTGATCATCAACGGCAGGTATTTGGGCTTTGTGGGCTGTTACATTCTTTGCAACGAGGGGCTCGCGTCGACGGGGCTTTTTCGCCTTTTGAGCTCCCTGTTGTTTGCTGGCTTGGGCGCTAGGGACTTCACTTGTGAATATTGTCTGTCTTATTGCCTGTAACTACTACTACTACTACTACTACTACTACTACTACTACTACTACTAATGGACTCGGTTCAATCTTGGAGACTCCTACTCTCCCTGGTATTGATACTTGCTTACTATCGAGCCATACTCGTCGAATCTGACTGGCTCATACTTGCCAGGGGTTTCCTCCGTGATGAATTTGGGCAAAGTGGCGACAGTACTCGCAAAGTCTGGACACGTGAAGAATGGTATTGAGTAGCGGGGTGGTAGCCCAGGAGCAGGCACCTTGTCGAGGGTTGGAACCGTGACACGGTGCAGAGCCGAGATGAAGTAATCTTTGGTGTTTGATTAATAAAATAATTTGAATAGAAAAATCGTAAAGAGAGAGTATACGAATGAATACATACCATTCGTAGAGCGCTGCAGCATATCTCCGACATTCAGTACCAGAGATCCCTCTTCAGGCTCTGCCGACAGGTATGCCTTCGTCTTAGGGTCTTGAAGCTCCAAGCCCCCACGTTCATCCTGAAATAGCAAGGTAAATGTGCTAAAGTAAAGCTTACGATTAGCGGGCTTGGAGAGGCTCAGCATTGGAGCTACAGGCTCTTGATAGTGGACGCTCACCCCCAATCGTGATGAGCCGGCAGTCTGGCCAGCATCTCATTCTCCAATTTGTCCTTGCTGATTGGAGGATAGTGCAGCAGACGCAATTGACAGTGCCGGTCCGAAATAAGATTTAGCAATTGGCGATGGGCTTCAGTGTCGGGTTCAATCTCCAGGCCAAGACCAATGATTTGCAGCAGCAGCTTGCTAACGCCAGCTAGACGCTCGTACCATCCACTCATATAGGACCTGTAGCCGGGAAGCACTTCTTCTGGTAGCCAAATATTCTCTTGCACCGGGTCATGTTCGCTGCCGATCTCATAGCTCTCCTACAACCATGGAGTTAGTATCGGAATGTACTACATAACCTAGCTGGGTCCATATTTCCAAACCTTGTAGTCTGAAATCTTGCGCAGACCCTTGCCGACATCACCGCTGTCATTCTTGAGCAACTCAACGTCCTCCTTGGAGTACACTTTTTCTTTGCCGGTACCAGAATAGCCCCGATGTGGCATTGGACCTGGTGGGTTCCGGGCTTTCATCTTTTCATCATATGACAATCTGAATAATTTCTGCGTCCAGTCTAGGGCCTCGCGAATCTCGCCATTGCTCACTCCGTGCCCAGTGACTTTGACAAAGCCAAAGTCGTGAAGCACTACATCATCCATGTGCTCTCTCGATTTGTGTTGGTCCTAACCGATTATAATCACCTGCACCCAGGGCTTGAAGGTGGGCAGTCACTTCATAGAGTGACAACCAACGCGCAAAACCCATGGAATTTGGGATGCAGTATTCATTCAGCTCTTGAAATGCAAGGACTCGCCAAGGATAAAGACGTGCAGCGCGAGGGATCGATTCCAGTCTTTATTCAGCGCAACAAACCCATTTTCTGGTAGTGATGAGTACCTACATAACTACGAAACTGAACTTCAGGGTATTTCAGCCAGCCCAAGTCATACCCAATCATTCGCAAGACCAATAGAGCAGAAAGTAACTCATATATTGTGTGCCGATCTTCTGGGTGTGCTTACATCGTTGAATATCCTACTCCCAGCAGAAAGCATCTTTTGTTGGTACCTTCTTTTTCGCCGCCTTCTTTATCTTTTTTGTTTTGGAATATGTAAGGCCCCATACGTCGGGTGCAAGGTCCTCTGCAATTTCAGTCGTTTGATGCAGATCTATGCCTTTGGCCGTTGGTGATGCGTGAGACGAAGTTTGGACAACCACCGGAAGTGCACTCGCTGGCCGTTGCGTTTCAGGTTTCTCAGAAAGCGGGTTGAGATCACCAGTCTGGTAATCATCATCATCTTCTTCTTCTTGTCCCTCTCTCACAGAAAGCGGCACTGTATCTACCAAGACGAGAATTAGCACAAAAGATGTTTCTGCGCCAGTTCGTGTTGAAACTGCCTCTTACCATTGTCCTTGAACACGACAAATTCCTTGCAGACTTCTATGCCTTTGCTCAACACCACAACTTGCTTCATGAGTTGATGTCTCTGAGCGCGTGTGTCCTCGCTTTCACCAGCGATTCGAGCAATCAGTTCAGATGACATCTCGAAGATCTTGACTGGGGACAGTATAGCCGGAAGTGCAGCCAGAAGCACAACCTCGATTACCTGGACAGCAATATCATCCAGGAATCGCTTCATGGCAACCTATTGAGGGTTTAATTGTGAGTTAATCATTGTACGGGGAGAAACTTGCTCCTACCTTATAATACGCGTCCATCTGGTCTAGCGCCTCTGATGCCGCAAATCGATGCATGTCTGGCTCAGCATCATCCCCAGTCAACAACTTGAGCAGATTATCAAGGTTGTATGTGTCCGATAGATATGTATTGACATTGAGATCCGAGACACTGAAGAATCCTCGCAATACCGTCGCCGTTTGCGCTCGGCCTCTCTCTCTTCTGACACGCTGAATGGTATCTGTGAAGTAGTGATTGTATGTGATAGGATGACTCTTCTGATGAGGCGCCAAGATCTCTCCAGTTTTGGCATCGAGTTCCCTCAAAATTGTATCCATGGTAGGCTGCAATATCTTGTGAAGGATTGCCGACGACGTCCCGGCATCGGCAACATGAGCGATGACGTGTTTGAGGAACTTGCGACATGCCTGCCAGCATCCACGCACATGCCTTCGAGTCAACTCTTCCCACGGCCCTGCTTGTTCACGAAATATATCGGCGACAACCATGGGATGGAACAGGCCTGGAAGTTCTCGTCCACGCGAGGTGCGTATCTTCTCTCGAATGTAATCGACAAAGTCATCTCGACTGACATGAAGGCATGTTCCTAGTGCGCATTCGTGATTGGAATCAACAATATGACGACGTTGGCCCTGAGTAGCCAAGACTTTCGCGAAATCTTCATTCAGGTTCCGAATGACGGCCCGAATGCGTCGTCCATAGCTGTGGGTCGACTTCTCATCACTGAAGAAGAGATCATCCCAATTACCATCGACAGCGCTTCGAACAAGTCGCTGGAATGATTCGCTGATACCAATCAAGTGTCGCTGCTGCTCCTGCAAGGTTTCCCTGGGTACACCGAGCTTCTCGAGCCTTTTGCGAGAACCATCACGCTTTGTCTCAATCTCTTCAATCAAACTGGGTAGCTCTTCGGTGATGTGATTGAGGAGCACTTTGCTCAACCGGTTGCGCAGTTGGCTAATCCCAAGGAGTGACTCTGGCAGATCTGTCCAGATGCCCCTTGCGAAGAACTCTGCCTCTCGCTCGTCACGTTTCGTTAGTGGTTCGTAGGTGGCCTCAGAATCCTGATTTTTGAGAATGTGCCAGCCAAGACGAAACTCAACCTCTTGATTTCGAGCCAGAGAAAGGTACTGTGACTCGCTTCCAGAGCCTGGATGCAAAGTATCGGGCTTGGTTATGACACCAAGTGTGCGATTACCCGAAGAATCCGCAGACCGGGCCAGTTTGAGCACCACCTGGTTCGCAAAGTCGTTCTTGGCTGAGACAACAGCCAGAATGATACTTCGTGGCTCCTTCATGTAGGACTCTACGACCTCTTGGATGAGGCCCACGTCGGATGCCGACTGGCTCTTGGTCTCAGAGTGAATCAGCCCTGGCAAGTCCACAATGGTGAGGTGTGGCCGATCTGGTCCGGAAATTTCGACGCGGAGAAGATCTCTTGAGAATGCTTTTCCATGAGATGTGATCCCCATTGCTGACTTGGCAGCTTCAATCAGATTGGATAAGCCGTCAAAGCTTTTGAGTTCTTCGTGAAAGCCTGCGAGCGCCGTCTTTTCGACATCAGGCCTGGAATGGTGAGGTACGATGGAAACACTGGCACTCGCCTGAGGTGTTCGGCGCAAGACAAGCTCTGTAGGAAAACGAGTGCAGAGATTGCTTTTGATGGGAAATGAAACACCAGATATGGCTTCCAGAACAGAACTTTTGCCTGAAGATTGATCTCCGCAAACAATGATTTGGGGAAGGGAGACAAAATGATTGATGCCTTGAGAGCGGAGGGTGTCGATGGAGTCCATCAAGTCGGTACGTTCGTTGCAGCAGAGCTCATCCAGAACCCTGGAATGGAGAGTGGTAACAACCATGTCGCTGGTATAAGTTTGAGTGAAGTTATTGTTGAAGTAAGTGGTAGTAATGGAAGTTCAAGGTGAGTGAGGGTAAGCTTTGGAGTGAGAAGAGGATGAACCAGAGCGAGAGTAGCGGACCTTTTATGCTATTTCTGCTTCAAGAAGATAGATTGCCTTCACTTCATTGACGTACTCGCAAGCATCAACGTTCTACATCCTGCGTCATGAAGTGCAGCTCCTCAAATCTCGGTTCCTGTCCTTCAATTGCACCACAGAGAGGCGCGAGAAGCAAACAAAGCCTCTTGGTATTCCTTTTTATTTCCCAATAAATGTCAAGAAGCAAGTTCAAGCGTATGAATAAAAATTTCAGGCACATGAAAAGATAAGAAACAGATTCTGCCTTGTGCTTACCAAATGGCACATCGACACGGTGGTTCTAGTCTTTGTCATTATGACACTTTCTTCTATTTCATACTTTTCAATCACGCAGTATCTACAGCTGTTCAAAAGGCCTATGCAAGATACAAGACTGGTGTTTTGATTGCAATGTTCCTGATCTATTTATATTTTTACGACGACGGACAAAGAAGTGTGGTTGACTTGGAATGAAGCAACTTGATTTGTGTTACTCTGCAGAGATGCGCAATCCCGAGAAAGAAGACCCGCTCCAAGCAACAGTCCAGCATATACCGAGATGGTGGGCCTCCTGCAGCCGCCACGCGCTTGTGTGCATTGATAAGAGGGTCAATACTTTTCTCTGGTCAGAGGTCAAACGGCTTGGCCCTCAACTGCCAATCATGTCAAGAGACGCGATGAACATCGTGCGTCTATGCAGCGCTTATCTTGAAGCATTGACAGCAAATTGAATTGAGACGATGTGCTGAGAGGATGTCTGATAGAATTCCAATCATGTCGATCTCCTTACCTTCTCCAATTCGGGCTCTCGCGTCATCGCTCATGCAGGCAATCTCTCTCTCAGGGGCCACTCTATGTACATACCTAGTGCTCATATACCAGCACAACGCTGCGAGCATTCCTTTGCACCACCGACTCCCATCGGGTTATTCAACAAATCTGCTGTCATAGCATAATGATTTGATTTTCATTTGTTCAGTCCTGATCAAGATAGCGGTCAATGCGGAGTAAGTACGACATGTTCAGCGCCGGTGAAAGGAAGGCTGAGACTCTTTGGAAACTACTTTCAGATATTCCCAAGGCTTTTAAAGAAAGCCGTTATCATCGTTCAATTCTCCAAGTGACGCCTGTAAGAGCCTCTAGTTCTTCGACTTCGATATGAACACAACTACATCCTTGGTAGTCGGCCAATTGACTGAACACGCCTGGGATATGCTTCAAAACGATGGGCATGGCCGGCAATTTCAAGAATTTGAGTGTAACATCGAAATCTGTGCTTTGTGGAAAGCTATGTCGAATGTGGCGGGATTCAAGGATGGTGGTCGAAAAAGCAAACAGAAAGACTCGACAAACCTTTTCTCCTGTGCTGCCCGCTATTTGCACAACGCTGAGCCACTAAACAGTCGTGCGTTATTGACTAACATTGCTGCAATTTAAACCGCCCTCCGAGGTATGATTAGATTCTGTCAAGATATAGTCACGGCTACCGACAAGGCGCAATCTTTGACGCCACTTACAGCTCAGGTTGCAATCGCGACGTCTCACCAAGCTGGGTTGTGTCATACCGCAACATAAACGAAGCGCATCACTGACACTAGGAGCTCTTTAATACTCAAACAAACTTGGGGGAAGCATTTGAGATTACGATTTGACGTTATAATCGACTTCTCTGTTTGACCTGCCCCAAACTTGTTTAACGTCAAGTGCGTTGTTAGCATCTGTCAAGGCAATGGGTCATGTCCAACCAAACTGCAACTGTATCTCCTGTAAACCATTGGGGTTCAATTGATATGGAACTTTTGGTAGCTTAGGAATCTATTCCGGTGCCTTGCCAACCTAGAAAATATCCCGTCATACCAAATTAAGCCGTGGAAGATCTTCAAACTCCCGTGCCTCTGAATCCGGCCCAAGTTCTTGGCACGCTTGGCTTCTGACCGGGGCAGGCACGAAGCTTATTTGCCGGACCCTTACATGTATGACACTTGTATTCATGGCATGGCCAAATAACGCTCCAAGAGGTTCAACGTGTTCATTGATCCTGAGGATCCTGAGTTGACATTATAGTATAGTAGTGACATTCTTTCGGAAAACGCTTTATTCAACTGGGCGAACAGAAAAAGAATATTGAGTCGAGCCACGCAAAAGTGGTGTGCAGTACAAAAGAAGAGTTGGTTGCTTCCGCTTCCCCAAGACGATCTTAATCAATTTGATAAACAAGGGGTGAACCTCTTCGCCATTGCGTCTTCGGAATATACTTGGCTCGCTTCTCGTTGCGCCTTATTGGTGCAAGCCTACAAGTAGTCAGGCTCGGCTCACAACACAATCCTTACTTTTGTAGACAGTCCATATTTCCAATGCAATTGGTCTCAGTCGTAGGTCTCTTCAATAAGTGCCATTAATTAGACAAACCATATTGCCCGTGTGGCTGAAACTACGAAACACGGACATTTAGAAAAAGGCCTTTCTTTTTGATCTTGCTGGAAAAGCGAATAAGGAACAAGTGTTGGATAGATGCTTCATCACTACGAATGACTGCTACTTCATAAGGAGGTGTTAACGTTGGTCAGTCTATGTAGCCGCTATCCGCCATCGACGCTATATAAATATGAATGACGGAACCATTCATAACCATCCCATTCTGCTTCCTCGGTGGAGTATAAAAACCCCTTACTCAATTGACGAAAGATTTCTTCAAAGATGACCTTCTTCAAGCGTATAGTCTTGGTGGCGACTGTAGCAGTATCAGTGGTGTCAGCTGGGTATCACGTATCACCACCGCCGTCGCCAACGCCAACGCCAACACCGACGCCAGTCACATCAGACTGCTTCACTCTCTTCGCCCGCTATGCCGACGGCACACATGCGGGATTCTTTAATGTCTATGATGACTTCTTTGACACTAGGGTAGCTCTCACGAATTCGAGTGATCTGGCAACAAAACTAGGTCTGGACACTGGCACGGGCAGATTAATCGACTATGAGAGCGACCCATACCGTAATGGTATTATTGCATCAGCCGAAAAAGGTGGAAGTTTTTACTCTTACATATTCTTTGACACGTATGCAACGCTTCAGTCTCCATTGTCAGAGACTGCTGCACTCACATGCGAGCTAAGCAACAATGGCATACTCACCTGCGCTCAATCACAGAACCCCGATAATTACATTCAGTGTAAGCAATCGAACCCTATGGTTTTGCTCACTATGCATCAGAGAAACCCTAATAGTCTACTCTGGACAGTCCCTTTCCGATTCCGTGTCATGTGTCAGGAAGTGCCAGTCCGTTACACCGGAGCTTGTTGACATGGCGGAAATCCCAACATCATGAGAAATCAAGAAGCTGACATGATTGAACTCATCAGATTGCGCCACGTACCCAGCCCTCATTATCGCGAACAGAGACTCGGACATAATATTTGGAGACGATTGTGCTCCCGTAACTTTCTCTGCCACAGCAGCAACCAGCTGCGTGACGCCCACAACGACAGTCACTCTCCCACCACCTTCAACAATTACGACTACAACGGTGCCAACCCCTACCGGAGCTCCAGAACGGACATTTATATGTCCCAGCGGCGAGGAGCCTACGCTGTGTGCCGACGATTTCTTGGTCAAGTGCAGCGATCAAGTCTCTGGTGCCAACGTCACATGGTACGACGTTTTCAACTCCGTTTCCGAATATACCTGTCACGAGCTTTGTGTTCTCGATCCGGGCTGCACGGGATACCAGAGTTATTATGAAGAGATCGACTTGCATCATTGTTCCCACACACATGATACGTTCTCGCCGGACACGACATTTTCCTTTTACTACTATTTTTACACTGTGGGTGTGAGAGGATTTTGTCAGTAAATGGCAGTGGCACTACGGAATTGCTGGTCATTGCTCTCTTCATGTCTGTTTGTGGTTGAGAAGAATGACAAGGCCAATATTGGAGATGTCGCCCGCTGGCTGCCAATCAACTTTTCCAGGTTTATGTAGAACCTATATGAGAATAAACAGTCCGTATTCGGTTGGTTCGTTATCAATTCTTCTGCCGTGGAAATACATATCCGTTTCCAATTGCGCGCAGTGAATACAGTATCATTTGATGCTCGGATACTGTACACGATCAGTCGAACGACCTCCTCTTTGGCATACTGGCTATTTAAATACTGGCTCGATGACTTTGAAACTCAATTCAGGACTAGATATCCATACATTCTCTACTTGGGCCGATCCAAAGTTTGGCTTTTCCTGTTTTGTGATTGTCGGGGTCGCTCTTTGTCAGTCAAGATGTCTCCGCCCGTAGCGATCGGCAGCATTGATTTCAGCGCATCTCAACATGTAGACTCGTCAAAGCCTCCGCTCGCCACTATAGATGAGCTGATCCGGGCACGTGCCGAGGAGATGGGGGATCTCCCCATGCTGGGTTATCCAAATGAAGGCCTCCTAGACTTTGAAGAGCACAGCGCAAAGAGTTGCGACCTCTATGCCGATGCAGCAGCCCAGAAACTCAAGCAGCTCGGCCTGGCGGAAGTGGTAAGTACCTAGCAAGCTTTGGCGCTCTGCTGGCCGCCGCCGTCGCCAGCCATTATTAGCACTAACCATTGCGGGTCGATGCAGGATCCGTCCCTCACAAAACCGCCTGTCGTGGGCATTCTAGCGCAGTCTGGGTTCCATGTTATTGCCACTACCTTGGCGCTGTTCCGCTTGGGTTATACCGTCTTCTTCATTTCAACCCGGCTCCCAAGTCCGGCCATCATCCAACTCTTGAAATTGACAGATTGCAACACGGTTTTATCGACTCCGACCTATGATGCGGTTTTGGCAGAGACTGCAAAAGTGAGAGAAATCACCGTTCTGCCTCTTTTGCAGCATTCCGACTACTATGGCGTCGTGGCTCCCAAGGTCTCGCGGGTGTATAACCCCGAGGCAGAGCGCAAAAAGATTGCCATTATTCTCCATTCATCGGGGTCAACGGGGCTGCCCAAGCCGATTTTCCTGAGCAATGGCAATTGTCTCAGTACATTCGCTACCAACATGGGCATGAAGGCCGTCATCACCTCACCCCTCTTTCATGCGCATGGCGTTTTGGAACTCTTCAGATCCATCCACTCGAGAAAACCGCTGTACATAACAAACTTTAAGCTCCCATTGACAGGGTCCGGTCTCGTGCAGGTATTGAATCATATCCAGCCAGAGCTCTTGCATTCGGTTCCATATGTCATCAAGCTCCTGGCCGAAAGCGAAGAGGGCGTTCGCGCTCTTGCGGCAGTCAAGATGGTCCTGTATGCCGGGAGTGGATGTCCTGACAGTCTAGGCGACCTTCTTACTGAAAAAGGCGTCTATCTAGTGGGCAACTACGGATCGTAGGTCTTCCCAACTCGCGACTCCATGACATAGATCATTGTACTCACTCTGTGAAAGGACCGAAACAGGGAGACTCATGACCTCGGCTCGATATCCGGACGACAAGGATTGGAGTTATCTGCGCTTGATCAAGCCGTCCGAGCCCTATGTGCTCATGGACGAAATCTCCCCGGGTCTGTATGAATGTGTAGCTCTCGATGGTCTGCCCTCCAAGAGTACCATCAATTCAGACGACCCACCGAATTCGTTCCGAACGCGAGACCTGTTTACGAGACACAAGAGCCGTCCTGGCTTGTGGAAATATGCCTCCCGCTTGGATGATCGATTCACTTTGATCAATGGAGAAAAGGTCTTGCCTCTGCCAATTGAGGGGCATGTTCGGCAAAATCGTCATGTTCGGGACGCAATCGTGTTTGGTGAAGGCAAAGAGTGTCCAGGTATTCTGATCATTCCCGCAGACAATGCAGCAGGGCTATCCAAGGAGGAGTTCTTTGAAAAGGTCTGGCCCGTGGTAGAAGAGGCGAACAGCAGAGCCGAAACCTACTCTCACATTTCCCGCGAGCTGGTAGTCATCATGCCGGCCGATACAATCTTTCCCCAAACGGACAAGGCGACATTCATCAGATTGGCCACGTACAAGAAGTTTGCAAGCGAGATTGAGCAGGCATATGCCAATTTTGAGCCCGAACAAGGCGGAAGTCTGAAGCTTTCCGGGGAGGAACTTGAAAACTTCTTGCTCCTCAATCTCAAGATTAAAATTGGCGCCGACGTCTCGGCCGAGGATGACCTCTTTGCGGCTGGTGTTGACAGCTTGATGTGCATCCAGCTGAGAAACATTATCCGTACCAAGCTTGACCTTGGCGGGAGACATTCCGACTTGGGTCAGAATATCATTTATGAAACCGGTAGTGTTCGTGCGCTGGCGAAGCATCTCGAGTCACTGAGAGAAGGAACCTCCGTTCAAACTCATGATGAGCTGCAGGTAATGCAGGATCTAATTGACAAGTACTCTACATTTGAACAACACAAGGGCAATGGAAAGCCCCTACCAAACACGGAGGTCGTCGTAAGTAACTACCATGTACCATGGAAATGGGAAGATACCTTTGCATGTGTCTCGTTTCTGACAAAATGCATTAGTTGCTTACCGGGGCAACCGGTGGCCTTGGAGCCCACATGCTTGCTCAACTGGTGTCGAGACCGAATGTCTCCGCCGTATGGACTGTGGTGAGAGCAAAGTCAGATGAGGCTGGTCTCGAACGTATACTGCAGTCTCTTGCGGTCCGAGGTCTTGACCTCAGTCCCGAGGAGAAACAAAAAGTCATACCAATTGCTGGTGACCTCGGCCAGTCAGACCTAGGGCTCGGCCCCACGAGACTGGCTGATTTGAAGTCAACTCTTACCCTGGTGATACACAGCGCTTGGGCTGTCAACTTTAACATTCCCGTGCAGAGCTTTGAAAGTCAACACATAGGCGGTGTTCACAATCTGATCCAGCTGTGTCTTTCTGTAGACACGACCAACCCCGCTCGCTTCTTCTTCTGCTCGTCTGTTTCAGCCGGCGCCGGGTCTCCGCGTCCCGGTACCGTCAGGGAAGCCCCCGTGGCAATTCCCGAGTATGCTCAAAAGACTGGGTACGGAAGGTCGAAATATGTTGGTGAGCACATCACCATCAATGCGGCGCGCAACTTTGGAGCGCCTGCGCGAGTACTGCGCATCGGCCAGTTGGTCGCAGATACACGTGTTGGCGAGTGGAATGCCACAGAAGGGATGGCTCTCATGATACAAACGGCAAAAACGACAGGTGCTCTGCCACAGCTTGATGAGGTTGGTTCCCTCCTTGTTCTGTCGTCATTGGGCAGCTTTATGCTAACATCTTTGACAGCAAACATCATGGCTTCCCGTCGACCTGGCTGCGACCACTATTCTAGAGCTAGCTGGCGTCATTGGAGGTGGATCATTGGAAGAAGTCACAAAGAAGACCGTCGCAGATACTGACCTGGTCTACCATGTCCTCAATCCCAGGAGGTTCCACTACGCCAAGGAGCTGCATCCTGCTCTCCGTGAAGCGGGTCTGGAGTTTGAAGCACTACCGCCAGGAGAGTGGATGGAGCGTCTGAGGAATTCGGAAAAAGATCCGTCCAAGAACCCTCCGATCAAACTGCTGCAGTGGTTCGAAAGCAAATATGGAACCGGCAAGAGCGATAAGGCTGGTGGCGACCTCTTGTATTTGACGGAAAAGACACAGAGGGACAGTCCTACCTTGCAGAAGCTGCCAGACGTGACAGAAACTGAATATGTCAAGAAGATGCTGGGGCGTTTGCAACGATATTGGTAGAGCGTTTTTCATGCTTTGAGGACGACCCTATACATAGAACAATACAATACAAATTGCATTCAAGAACGCGATTTCTTCGCCCCAGTGACCACTCCAAGCTGCGCTTTTCATGCTCCTTGTACAACGACACCTGGGCCAAATTAAGGCGACGATGTATTATATCGATGACCGAGACAAACATTCATATCGGATTGTTGCTGCCGTATTGCCCCACAAGCATGCACGTCGTGATCGCACGTAATATTCCCTGAGATATGCCGTATTCCCGGAAATAAGACCAGCTCGGCCCGGCCAGTATACAAGTACATGACGGTCACGATGGAGGAACCATATATCAGATAGAAGGAAATAGAAATCCAGATTGCATTTTATCTTGCTCACAAAGAAATAAACAATCTGCCAGCACAAAGTAGTGGTCATGTCAACCCAAGCAGTTCCTCCGCTGCCTCAAAGCGCCGGATATGGCGTTGTCGTCGGGCTTGGCGCAGTATTTGCTCTCGGTAAGCTATTTCAGCCGATACTGCCCTCTGCTTTCATTCCAAAGAAGAATATGCTGATTCGCTCCAGGTATGATCTGGGTTACCAGAGCAATGAAGAAAACTCTCCATGAGGATAATCACTCTACAGAAACGTGAGCTCAAGTGTAAAGTATTACAAATTAAACACTAAAACATACTCCTCTAGTTTTATGGTGGCTAATCGCAGCGTCGGGACGGGCCTGACAGCCGCCGCCGTCATCTCCTCGTGGCTATACAGCACCGCGCTGCTGGGCGCGTCGTTGCTCACGTATCGATACGGCGTCGCCCTAGGGGTATGGTGGGGAGCCTCGGCCAGCACCACTGTGTGCTTCCTGTCCCTCATTTCCATCGAGGCCAAACGTCGGGCGCCGCACGCGCATACCCTTCTGGAGCTGGTCAAGAAGAGGTATGGCGCCGTGGCTCATGTGCTCTGGATCGTGTTCTGCCTCGTCAATAATATGCTCGTCTTCTCCAGCATGCTGCTGGGTGCTGGTACTGCCGTCACATCGTTGACGGGAATGCATATCCTAGCAAGCATATATCTAATGCCGGTGAGAAAACTTCCGTACTCAAAGAAAAAGTCACTTGCATCCTGATTTTGACTTATTTCAGCTTGGAGTGGCTATTTACACCTACTTTGGAGGTCTCCGCGCGACCTTTCTGACCGACTTTGTGCACACATTTGTCATTATGATCATTTTGTGCTGGTTCACGATCAAAGTCATCACCGCCCCCGAGATTGGCTCTATTGGTGCTCTATACGATGGTATAATGGCCAGAGATCGAGAGAGCTCGGTGGCTGGCAATTGGCAAGGCAGCCACCTCACCATGCGGAGTGATGGGTGCCTGTATTTTGGTATCCTCCATGTGATGTACGTTTCTGTGGTCCTCTAGACTTGCACAGCTTCGAAAAGCTGTCTTGCCCAGAATAAATGGCTAACTGATACCAGTTCCAACTTTGGCAGTGTCATTATGGACACTGGATTTTGGCAAAAGGTTGGTTCTTGAGACCTTGATGATAGCGTATTCAGAAACTGAAAATGAACATCTAGGGCTTTTCCGCCGACGTTGCTGCTGCTGTGCCGGGATACGTACTGGGTGGCGTGGCTTCATTTTCGGTGCCATGGACAGTCGGGACCGTAGTGGGACTCGCTGCGTTGGTCTTGGAGCAGACTCCAGCTTTTCCAATCTACCCAAGAGTGTGCCATTCCTGTGTCAAATTACCGGAACTGGTACTAATTCTGTACAGATGATGACCGAGACAGAGATCAGCAGTGGTTTGGTTCTACCATACGTGACCCAAGCTGTCGCCGGCCAAGCTGGCTGTGTCGCCATTCTATTGACAATCTTCATGGTACGCACTGTTTTGGATAGATTAACAATCATATTGCTAACAATGATATGAGGCATCGACATCAATCGCTTCTGCACAAATGATTGCTACAAGCTCAATCATTTCTTTTGATATTTACGGTACTTATATCAACATGAATGCATCCAACCAGCAGCTGATTCGATGGTCGCATCTCGGAGTGATCTTGACCTCGATTGTGATATCTACTCTGGCTACAGCATTCCACTATGGAGGAGTGGACATGTCTTGGCTCTTGTACGCCATTGGGAATGTGGTCAATCCTGGCGTCTTTCCCACTTGCTTCACACTCTTTTGGAAGGGCCAGACGAGAATGGCGGCCATTGCATCCCCGATTGTTGGGATTATTTGCAGCTTCTCGGTCTGGTTCGGCACGGCCTATGCATATTATGGAGAGGTGTCCATCACCTCCACCGGGGGTACAATGCCGTGTCTTTTCGGCTGCGTTACTGGTTTTTTGGTCCCGTTACCAGTGTCTGTTGCGATCTCCCTTGCACAGCCCGAGTCTTTTGATTGGAACATTTTCCAAAAGATCAAAAGGGTGCAAACGAATGGCGATACCAACGTTTCGTGGTCGAGTCCTGAAAGAGTACAATACATGAAGAAAATGCGATGGTGGGCTGCGTTCTGGTCGGTACTCACCATCACGGGACACGCGCTTTTGTGGCCCCTGCCCATGTACGGCGCAAAAATGGTCTTTTCCAAGAATGTATGAGCCTTCCCGATCAATATTTCGAGAGATTTTGTAGCTGACCGCGACAAAGTTCTTTACTGCTTGGATGGTGGTTGCTTTCGTATATCTTTGGTTTACTCTAATTGTCAGCAACGTCTACCCAATTCTTGATGGTGGCTATCGACAGATTTGGACCGTGGTTCGCGGCACAGGAGGCAAAGGCGCAATCACGCCGAACTCCCGGGAAACACCATCTCCCGAATCGCCGTCGCCGAAGGACCAGAAAGAAGCAGAGACTGAGGGCCAGGCTGTCTAAAATAGTACTCATTTGCCCGTACTTTATTCCAAGATAGAATAGCTATCAAAGGATGACGCTACACGAATCTTGCCTGTAAGACGGGCTTAATTGGCCCGTTTTTAGGCACCTATATAACCTTAGTTAGACGACTTGTGTCAAAGACGAAGCCTAGGGTAATCGCGACATATTCCACGCAGGACATTGTGAAGGAAGCAAAATTCACTGCAAAGAAAGTCTTGAGATGTTCCACGATGTTAGATTTCTCGGCCGGAGTGCAATTCATCAATATCCGAAGCATCCCATGCTAGCACCGAGTTACGAATCCCCGGTCGCCGGTGATAATCCTCTTACTGCCGATAGGTTGGGCGGCGACCGAGCACAGCGCCGTTGCTGTAGGAGACAAGGCCGGGGCCAAGGGCCGAAATGAACTTGTTCCTACTAATACTAAGTCCTCCACGTTCACCTAAAACTTCGTCGCACAATTATAGTCACCGGCCGGCCTCGCGACTAGTCCAACGCCCGACATGACGTCTGCATTTTTCACCCATCTATCACCACTGTTCTTGAATGGTATAAATGATGCCATTCAATCGTGAGATTTTTGATATTGGTGAGTACAGATGATTAGAAATCAAGTAATCAACACGCATAATGGCATCAATCAATAAACGACCGCATGTTCTTATCATTGGAGCCGGTTTGGGCGGCTTGACGCTGGCTCAGTGCTTGCGCAAACAAGGTATTACATTTGACGTCTTTGAACGCGATAACAGTGAGCAAGCCCGATCGCAAGGGTGGGCTATAGGACTTCATACGTATGTACTCTGTAACATCACTTTCCGGTTGAGCCGACATTCTCTGTCGCATTGCGTGTCTTGGCGAGAATCCCTGTGGTGCAACATGCTAATCAAGCGCTCTTTACCTTGTCTGCGCATAGTATCCTCAAGGAACTCGAGAATGCAGTACCATCGGATTTGCCCAATCTTCGCAAGGCTGTCAACCACTTAACGCCGCTGGACCTGAGTACGCAAATATGCTTCTACACGGGCGCAGTCAACCAGCGGGTAGGCGTGCAGGATACTCCCGAAACGCCCTGTCTGCGAGCAAACCGGCCCAAACTGAGGCAATGGCTCGCGACAGATATTCCCATCCAATGGAGCAAGCACCTAGTGCATATCGATAATACCGATGCAGGGCAGGTGACTGTAGAGTTTGCAGATGGCACATGCGCCACGGGAGACGTTGTAGTTGGCGCAGACGGGGTCAACAGCACCGGTCTGTTGCAAAGCTCTGAGACTTACGAGAAGAAGAACCATGACTGATAACGAGGTGCAGTGAGAGAGCATTTGATGCAACGCTCCAACCACGAAGTGCTCAACATTGTTCCCACCGCCACCATCATAGGCGACGTCAAACTGTCGGGAGCAGCCATGGAACGCCAGCTCAGCTTGGGTCACAGCTGCTACATCGCGTCGCCTGGCGTCAGCTCGAGGACCTTTGTCGGCCTGCAGCAAGTCGCCCCGGATGGACAGTCTGGCGACTTTTATTGGTTTCACATGGAGGACGATGCCGACGTGGGTACACCTGGTCACTGGCTGCGAACGGCCTCGCGCAAAGATAAGCTCGCATACGTCCAGAAGGCCCTCGCGCCGTTTGACCCGCAGCTCCGCGAGATCGTCGAGCTGACCACGGCCGACGGTATACGAGACGACGAGTTTGTCTTCCGAGACTCGGAGATGATCTCGAGTTTGCCCCGGGGAAGCATCGCGCTTCTTGGCGACGCCATTCACCCCATGACCCCCTGTAAGGCAAAACTCATTATAGTAGCAGTATCATGGAAGAAAGTCCGTCGCTGATATTATCTTTCCTGCAGTCAGAGGAGAGGGGGGCATACATGCCATGACGGATGCCATCTTGTTGGCCAAGGTGTTTAGTAGTAGCGCTCACTCTGCACCCTCACTAGACTTGCCCGAGATGATTGCGGAATATCACGAAAAGGTTACCAAACGCGGTGCCGAGGCCGTGAGAAAGTCGAGAAACGCCAACAGATATGACGGGGAGCGAAAAGTACAAATGTTTGCCTGGGGCTCACCTGCAGTGCCACTGCCACTAGAGACGATCGTGTTGAGTGAGCACCAAGAGCACCTCCAGTAAGACGGCATGCCTCTGTCTATTTCCTTGGCAAAGAGGTGCAAAAGAATGCGATACGATGTGCACAACGCGTTTTGATCGATGGCGTCGCGAGGGCCAGCCGAGTTGCCGATCGGATCTGCGAAGCTGTAACTGATCTACAGAGTCTAGATCGTCCTGTATCATAGATATCAATACTTTGACCTGCCCAACTCAATTATTTTATTTTATTTTATTTTACCTTGAACTCACATAATATCGATTTTTTCTTTCTTTCTTGTCTCCTTCCCTCCTCCCTCTGGGTGCACGTCGGAGCTCAACAAAAAGTTTCTCCGTCTTCTTATCTCGGGAGGATTGTGGATGCGATTGGATCTGCCTTTATCTTGCAAACTTAGAAAAAGTTGGTACATGCTCACAGTAGAGCAGCAGCAGCAATACATGGACAGTGGGAAGGGGTGGGATGCATGCACAACTCCTAGGTGAGAAAATCATCCGTCAATCACCTATCTGTGGCACCCCAACCAGATGGATATTGTCTTCTGCACCACCTGCATACTGCATATGTGGCTGAAGGTGATGTGTAGTATTTTTGGGAGTCAAGAGGAAGGAAATGACATGTAGATGCCGCCACGATTGCAGAATCTGTTGGGATTGGAAACGTGTTTGTTCTTCGCATCTCTATTTGTATGGTTCGTCTCAGTGGACATGGATGAGTGAGTCCCTTTGCTTTGGCTCAGCTCTAAAAAAATGCAACCTCCCACGCCTATTCCCACGCCAAGCCGGCTGAAAACACGAATGCTGCCAGGCGCGCTTGGCTGTATGTGTGGTTATCTGGGGGGGATCCCACCCCCTGGCTGGAAAAAAAAAAAAAAGAACGTGCTAACAGGTGGGAATAAGTTGTGTGTAGCTCTTGCTAAAGCGTGGCACAAATTCAGAAATTTGACCGAGATGCACAATTGCTAGTGTATGCATTTTATCTTATTTTTCTGCCTTTTGCATTAAGGCTGGAAGCGTCTTTTCTTCTCAACGTCGAGCCAAACGAGAAAGAAAGAAAAAAGGGAAAGAAATGGAGCTTTGTTTATAGTTGTTGGTTATACATAGTGGGCGTTTTCGTTACCCTGCACCAAAACGTAGTGGACCCGCACCAAACGAACGCCTCCCGATCCCGAAATGCAGCCCCAATCCGTCGCCGCACTGCGCTGCGGAGTCCAGCTTAGGCTTTGTCCGGGCAGATACGGACGCGCTGTTTTTGGGTTATAGGTAACGAACATGCTTATGGGTCTGTTAATAAGCGCAAGCCGCTCGTATCATTCTGCTTATTTCAGACGACAACCTTGACAAACGAAGAGAAGAGGGAGCGAAAAAAAAAAAAAATCATCCAATATTTTCGTCTCATGGCGTTTGGTGCGCAAGTCTAAGCAAGGTCGAGAAGGCATCTGGATCCTGGGTTACACAGATGTTCCTGCATAAGCGTGGGCTTTCTTCATCCACTTGCCTATCAGGCCAGCCAAGCAAGCCTAATCAAATCGCTGCGATTGCGCTTTTTTGTTCCTTTCGTGCTCGGCTAGGTGGGCTGGCTGCACAGACTGAGCTGAATCCAGGGAAGCGAGAATCAAGCACCAAGGCGGTTACATCAGACAAGGCGCTGATCACTTGTTCCGCAACGAGCCAAGAAATCTTGTACCTGGACTCGGCTCCCTATCCGCGCATAAGTGCCACCGCTAGCTGCCTACTACAACGTCGTTATCAGCAAGAGAGGGCTGTGCGATGCGAGGGACCCAAGGACCGTGGCAAAACGTTCAGACTTTTTTTGGGTAGTCTGTGTGTGTGTGTTCTGCCGACGGGATGGCGGCCCCCGGAAATGGTTTGGTGGGTGTTGTGCATCCATGACTAATGTGAAGAAGCTTTCAGCGGCTACACGGGGCCAAGACTTGCTATATGAGGCCAAGAATTGCCAATGGTATCCACTAGAGATTCTAGAAATGGGCGTGAAAGCTCCGACTGCCCATTGCAATTGGAGGGTCTCTAACTTTTTCTAGGTCGAGGGCTACTACTCAAAGCTACTCAAGAGCCGAAGACCACAGCTTGCTTATGCGGCGACGGTGCCAGAGCCGGCCGTTTTGACATGGCCAGACTAATGCAGCCCGGGGGCTTGACTCGGTCCGGGGCCGTATAAGGGGATTATGTGCGATCGACGCCATGCAAAGGCAGCAAGCCACAAGCATAGGCAGTGCATAGGGAAGGCAGCTTATCGTAGACGCAGCAAGTTTAACTATTGACTCGAGAGCCTGCAGATGAGTCGTTGAAGAAACATCCCAAAGATGGTGTCATCGATATGAACTGGCCCTCCATCTATACAAACCCCGAGCTCCGATGAGTGTCCGGTGGGTATAAGATGAGGTGGTTGGGCCTTTCCCATTTCGTCTATTTTGTCTCTTGTTCCCCAAGCAGAAGCTTCTTTATACAACAGCACAGTAGTCAGTCGTTGACGATTTAGACGCTCACTCTCTTTTTCGCTTCGTTCCCAAATCACTCGTTGACCGAATATACCCATTTTTTCCCTCCCAAGCGGAAAAAACAAAACAAAAAAAACAAAGAGCCTACCTCCCCAAGCTCACATCAGACAAAATGGCCCGTTTCTTTGCCATCGTCTTCATGCTCTTTGCCATGCTCCACGCCGCCCTGGCTATCCCGCATGAGAACGTCCTCCGGGGTCTATACTTCCCTCGTGCCAACATCACGGGCGAGACTGCCAACGTCACCTCCACCAACGCCACCACGGCTGCCACCAACGAGACCGCGTCTTCCGCTGCCATCAAGAGAGCCATGAGGAGCCACCCCATCGCTTTGCGCGTCCCCGGACGCGACTAGAATGTCGGCAACAAATCATGTGCCGTCCGTCTCAGTCCCAAGGGTAGAAACTACCATGAATACGGCGGCGCCAACGACTCGTACAGGGTTGCGTGGTTTGGATGAGTGAAAAAAAGGTCAACTATACGTGAAGTCTCAATCCACCCAAAGAGACTTCATAAGAAAGAGTAAACAACACTCAATACTACCACAAATGCCTCTACAACAATCGTTGAGTAATTGTTGCTACCATGTAGCAGTCGGATATAAAAGTTCGGAGGTCGGTCGCAGGAGCCGGATGCTCTCTCTGCACAGGGTCGGAGAGCCTTTTTTTGAGGGAAGTTGTGTGGAGGCAGGACACTTTGCAAGATATCGGAGCAACAGGCCCATGACTTTCTTTTTTTCACTTCTCTTCCCAAACCATTCTTGATGTTTGGAAGGGTCCTTGGTATGTGGGACTTGTCAAGCCGGGCTACGCATACATAAACATCAACACCAAGGACCGTTTTAACTTTTTCACTGTTTATATTTTATCAATTTCAACTGTTATTTTGAACTTTCACGTTTTGTATAAATATGCTCGTGATTCTCATTACATTAATCATTAATACCATTGTATAATGCTTCAACGATGATTGGGTTTACCCTTTTTCCCAGTCCCCGCAAGCTCGTATACCTCTTGATATCTCATCATCATTGCGACATGAGCGCCTGCAAAATGGCGTTGGCAAAGTCCGACACTGACGCGACGAGCTAGTGAAAAGAAAAAAGTTAGCAATGCAGTCGCGGATACAATAATTGTAGACTTGACCAAATAGAAGAAGAAAAATAGACTTACAGGTGTAGCGTCACCAATCAGCTCTTGCGTCTGCGACACAAAAGTCGTCGACAATAGGTCTCCCGCGTTGGTAAGCAACAGCACCACTTGCTCGACGGTGGCGGGCGTGATGAGCGGTGTGATCTCGTCCACGATGCCCTGGATATCAATCTGGTTGAGGGCGCTGAGGAGCGGCTTCACGGCGCTCACGAGGCCGCTCAGGTCGACTTCGCTCAGGGCATTGAGGAGCGGCGTGACCTGCTTGATGAGGGCGGGCAGGTCAATCTGGCTCAGGGAGGCGATCAAGGGGACGGCGCCGCCAATAATGGTCTGGGTCTCGTTGACAAACTTGCTGCTCAAGAGGTCTTCGGCATTGTCCACGAGGCCGACTAGGCCATCAACCGAGGATGGGGTCAGCAGTGGTGCAATCGAGTCAAAGATGCCTTGCAAGTCGATCTGGCCAAGCGAATTCAAGATTGGAGTCACCTGCTTGACTAGGCTAGCAAGATCAATCTGGCTGAGTGAGTTCAATATCGGCTCAACCTGGTCGATTAGAGCAGATAGGTCGACTTTTCCAAGCGAGTTCAGGAGTGGAGTAATCTGGTTCACCAAACCGACCAGGTCGATCTGGCTGACTGAGTTCAGAATTGGCTCGATCTGGTCAATGAGTTGGGACAAGTCAACCTTGCCCAGTGCGTTGAGGATGGGCTGGAGTTGGTTCACAAGTCCAACGAGATCAATCTTGCTCAGAGCGCTGAGAAGCGGGGAAACCTGGTCAATCAAACTGCCCAGGTCAATTGAGCTGAGGGCCGAGATGAGAGGTACAGCACCGGCAATGAGAGTCTTTGTCTCATCAACAAAGTCGCTTGACAGAAGATTCTCAGCATTACCGAGGAGACCGACAATACCATTGACAGAGTCAGTCGTGAGCAGTGGCGAGATGGCATCAAACAGTCCCTGCAAATCAATCTTGCTCAGGCTATTCAGCAAAGGTGCAACCTGATCCAATAAGCCTTGAAGATCGACGGAGCCAAGCGTGGCCAACAGCGGAGCCGCGCCAGAGATGAGTGACTTTGTCTCATCAACGAAATCAGAAGTCAACAGGTTTTCGGCGTTGGTTAAGAGTCCCTCAATGCCCTTGATGGAGTCTGACGTGAGCAACGGGCTGATGGCATCAAAGAGGCTCTTGAGGTCGAGCTGGCTGAGCTCATTGAGTATAGGCGTAACCTGGTCAATCAGACCCTGAAGATCCAATTTGCCTAGACTCTGGAGGAGCGGTGCGGCACTGGAGAGCAGAGACTGCACTTGCGATACCAGGTCTGGCGTAAGCAATGACTCTGCGTTCTCCAGGAGCCCGACAATGCCCTGGACCGACTCTGGGGTCAATAGTGGGGCCACAGCATCCAAGATGCCCTGAAGGTCTATTTGTCCCAGACTGTTGATTAGTGGTTGGGCACTCGCAAGAATGGTCTTGAGCGAGGACACCGTATCCGATGTAAGCAAATCTTCAGCATTGCCCAACAGACCGACAATGCCATTCACAGAATCCGGGGTCAATAGCGGCTCCAGCGCATCGAGGATGCCTTGCAAGTCAATCTTGCCGAGACTATCGATGAGGGGCTGTGCACTGGCCAGGATTGTCTTGAGCGACGTGACCGTATCAGAAGTAAGCAGATCTTCGGCGTTACCTAGCAAGCCAACGATACCGTTGACGGAATCTGGCGTTAGGAGTGGTGCCAAGGCGTCGAGAATGCCCTGGAGGTCAATCTGAGATAGGCTGTTGATGAGCGGCTGTACACTGGCAAGGATTTGTTTCAACGAGGTAACCGTGTCCGAAGTGAGAAGGTTCTCAGCGTTGGCCAGCAGTCCGACGATGCCGTCCACCGACTCAGGTGTTAGTAGCGGAGTAATTGCATCAAGAATGCCTTGCAAGTCTATCTTGGACAAGCTGTCTATAAGCGGCTGTACGCTTGCCAAGATGGATTGCAGTGATGACACAGTGTCGGAGGTCAAGAGAGCCTCGGCATTACTTAGCAATCCGACCAGACCTTGAATGGAGTCAGGAGTCAGGAGTGGTGACAAGGCATCCAGTATACCCTGAAGGTCGATCTTGGATAAACTATCGATAAGTGGTTGGACGCTTGTGAGAATTGTCTGCAGTGCAGATACTGTATCCGAGGTCAAGAGTGCCTCTGCGTTGCCTAGCAGAGTGACCAAGCCTTGAATGGAGTCGGCTGTCAAGAGAGGAGATAGGGCGTCTATCACTCCCTTGAGGTCAATGCCTGACAGAGATGCGAGCAATGGAGCTGCGCCGTCGATCAAGGCCTGCGTCTCGTTGACAAAGTTTGGTGTGAGCAGTGCTGCGCCATTGGTCAAGAGGGCTTGAATGTCTGCTAGGTTTTGTGTCGTAAGGAGACTCAGCACCACCTTGATGAGACCGGGGAAGTCTATGTCCTTGACCTCATCCACAATGCCCTCCAAGTCTAACGAAGACAGCAAGTCGATGAGCGGTTGTGTCTTTGTCAGGATGTCTCTGGTGATATCCGGGATTGGCGGCTGAAGTGTTGCCGACAAGTAGATCATGGCATCATGAAGAGCCTGCAGGAACTCATCGCTTAGCAGCCCCTGGAGTGCCTTCAGGTAACCGGCAATGTCGCCAAACTGCGTGATGAGCTCCGTGAGACTACTCAGGATATCTCCCAAATCCCCTAGCCCGGAAAGGTCTCCAATGATGTCTCCCAAATCATCAGTGGTTGAGGTATCAGAGCCAGAGCTGGAGCTGGAGCCGGAACCAGTGCTATTTTGCCGTGGATAGAGAGGAACAGTCCTCTTTTTGGTCCGGGCTTGTTGGAGTTGGTTGTTCTTTCTGAGCAACCCATTGAGCTCAGTCAAAGCATCTGTAAGATCTGACCGAGGAACCAATGCCAGATTGTGTTTTGCCAAGTAGGCATCGAGCTCTAGCTCAGATATGGAGATTGTCCTGGCAGCGCTGTCTGCAAGCAGACCTGCTGGGGCCAGAGCGGCCAGAAGAAACCTAGAGAACCTCATGTTGACTGAGTGAACTTGAAAGAAACTGAGGAAACTTTGGCCTTTCCACCCGACGAAGAAGAAGAACCATTCAAGCCTGGCAGCAGACTGAAAAGATCGAGGAAAACGCGCGACCTAGGGAGGACGAGAATAAAGACATATCTGCCGCCTCTTCCACACGTCGCTCGTCATGATGCCCACCCAAGCCATCACGAAGATGATCAATGTAGCCTTGCCAATTGCAACAAGATGCAGACGATCCTATCCAGGTTGGGAACTTTACCCGTAGGCACGACATGGGGTAATCACATGCAGTGGATAAGAGCTCAGGTCCTGAGCAGTGTATGTTAGCTCTAGCTTACCCCAGATTCCTCGGCTTCTTCCCGAAAAGGAAGTGCTTACGACCGGGGTGCCCCAGCTGCAATAGCTCAACTCGACTATATCCCCTGTCGAGCGTGTATGTGTGTTTGGTGGGCTGACAGGAATGCAGGTGACCTTGCATCCCGGTTGTGCCTTGACCGCTAAAATCGCGCGTTTTCCTCTGGGAAACATTTTATGTGCTCTCTCTCTTTTGTGGTGTTCTATATCACACTTGATATACAGCAATATCGATAAGGCGACGGAGAAGACTATAGCTGGGATGGAATAATCGACTTACACAGATGAATCGAAAGCCCTTGCTCTAGTTGTTAATTAAGCTTAATCAGGGAATTCCATGCGGCCTTAAACTAGTATATCCTCTTCGCGTGTGTGTGCCACCACCAGCACGTGTCCACTGCTGAAAAAGAATACCAAATGGGAATACGCCTATTGAAGCTATCCAGATCGAGCCATGACTAACATACCATTTGCTCGCGATGCCCCAGCCTCTTGTTCTAGCCTCGACAGGCCGCCTTGCCAACCCAACAAAGGAGAAGAAAACCCCGCTTTCTCCCCAAGAAGAACGTTGGGCTACCCGGTCAAAGTCTGGGGTATCGCGTCCAATAGGGAAACAAGCACGTCCACTAGAGGAGCGAGTTGGGTATAGCCCCAGAGGCTGAACGCACTATGATATCACAGCGACCGGCAGAGGAGCACATCACCATATCCGAATGTCGCGGTCGGGACAATTGGAGGTGAGGATCGGCATCCGGAAAAGCTTCAATATTGTAACCCCACTGTGCCGCACCCCCGCAACCCGTCAAACTCCCTATTGGTCGTCGATTAGTTGATAAGTGATGAGGTGAGCGTAGCATAGTATTCCGACCAATGGCGATTCAAGCAAACAGAAGCATGACCAGGTCCCTTGTTCTAGTGAATGCCCATCGACAAGGTTCAGATCGCGAAATGTAGAGGAGTTCGTGCGGAGTAAGGAAGAGAAGAAAAACCTTTCACAGAGGTACTGTAACTATCGTATCGAGCTGTGCACTAGACGTGGAGCTAGTCGTGATGATATGGTCGAGAAAGTGACATGATCTGCGCCATGTACGTTGTCTGCACGAGCGAGCCGCGGTTCAAATGTGCATTGTAGAAAGCATGGGATAGCAGGATCTTCAGACTGGCACCGCCGTCGCCATCGATGCTTTGCTGGCATGTGCTTGCGCTCGCTGTCAAAGTGACTAGCACTTCCTCATCTCCTCTTCTTCGCTCGTGTTTCCCTGCCTGGAGAGCGACTACGAAGTGAGTGTTCGAGATGGCACCGGTATTCCACGAAAATACATCGCACTTTGAGCCAGATACCCCGAGGACTTCTGTCCACGGCGGTCGTGGCGAGAATGCACCCGCAGCAGCAGCAACTGCAGGAACAACTGGTGCCGACGACTCTTCTTCAGTAGATCATGTCCAAGAGAAAGCGCCTCCAGCTGTTCCACTTACAAAGAGGCAAAAGGTGAAGCGCCATTGTGGAAAGTTCAAGTGGTGGTATCTGGCGGCTGCATTAATACTGGCGGCTATTCTTTTGCCAATTCTGTAAGTTCTTACCACAATTAATGTTCTATGCAATACCAAGTCTAACAGCGCAAAAAGCTTTTTGGTGATATTACCAGCCATAGTGCAGCGCATTGTCAACGATCAAGATTTGCCAGTCAATGGCGGCTCGTTCCTTGCCTTGTCGCCTACGCAAATGTCCGTCTCCCTCAATACATCCTTGGACACGCCATTACCAGCAAATCTCGATCCTTTGACGCTTCAGTTATATAATCACGAAACGCCCGACTTTTCACCATTCATCAGTCTTGATCTGCCTGCCGTACATATCGATGGAAATACCAACATTATTGTAACCAACCAGACAGTCACCATACAAAATCAGACGGAGCTAGAATACTGGTTCAATAACGTCTTTGATGAAGCTCAGACCTCAATGTCTGTCCGAGGTGATGCCACAGTTCGGCTCGGCGCGCTACATTCCAAGGCGCACATTGATAAAACAATCAGTGTTTATTCTCTGAACCAGCTCAACGGCTTTGGAATTCTAGAGCTGTCACTGATTTATCCTGCGCTCGAGAACGGCACCAATATCAAGGGAACGCTGAATCTACCCAACTGGGGAGCCCTGACGCTCGGTCTTGGTGATGTCTCGCTCAACTTGTACTCTGGCGATGTCAGACTTGGGCTCATCACCATCTTCAACGTGGTCGTGCCGCCCGGCAACAATACCCTCAACTTCTCGGGCGAGCTCTACCTGCACGATCTCGTGGCCAACTTTGGCAAGGTGCTAGATGCCCAAGCTGATGCCCTAAACGAGGGCAAGATCCAGATCGACGCGACTGGCAATGCGACCGTGGTAGACGGCGTGCACATTCCCTTTGTCGAGCACATTCTCAACAACAAGCGTGTGACCTCTTACACGTCGGTGATCAAACTTGCCAGCGACGTAATCAACAGTCTTACTGGCGGTGGCAACGCTTCAGTTGTAGATATTCTCGGCGAGGTGATCGGCAACAACACACTCATTGAGCAGGCTATTGGACATTGGAACACCACCCAATCCACCACGTCTCAGAAGACGAAAAAGTCCCTATCATGGGGCCTAACTGGCCCAAGAGCGTTGAACCTACTCAAGTTGGGAATGAAAATGACTGGAAAATTTTGAGTAAGGACTGATGCGACCATTCAGGCTTGCTAGATATCAGTGGTCGATATACACACGAGGCACATGACAAACTAAATGATTGACGCAACGCGTCATTAATGTTTAAAATAGTTTTTAAATATTTCAAGTAACGATGAAGAAAGAAGAAATAAAGAACCCCACGAATTGATAAACTCTTTTATGCCTTTGATATTATCACATGCTCCCCACTGCGAACAGCATGACAAGGGAATGCTGCAGCGCAGCCACCATGCCTTTCTCATTGGCTGCCACTCCCAAATGGGATGCCGCAGAGATCTTCTCCAATTCTTTTACAATCTGAACGGCTATGATTTGCCACTACGCAAATGAATAGTATACATACTGCTTCCGACTGTATCAAGATGATGTTGCTTCGGAGATCCATTTTCCACTCCACAGACCGGTCGTTCAACCCTTATAACCCATCTGTAAAGGTAAAGTGGTTTGACCAACGCTTACAAGCAATTAGCGCATCAAAAATTCTAGAAAAAAACAAATACTTGATCACGTACCGTATCCCACGGCCTGGCCGAGTTGACAAATCGCAAGTCAGTCCCTACCCTGATTCGTCCCTCCTTGTCATGATTGACGGTGGATGCATGGATCTAGAATAAATTGACAGTCAGCCTCGTGTTAGACCAATGACCAGGACAAGCAAGATCATCTGTCTCACCATATATGCCGAGTGTAACACAACGTCTCCTGCCTCGTAGGCGGTGACGAGCCATTTTCTACCGTGCTTTCTCCCAAACTTCGCCGGATCAGGACTCAACCAGCCTGTCTTCATCATTTGACTGTTAAAAGCATTTCGCACTTCAGCGTCATCAAGACCGGCGGCCTTGGCCTTGGCCGTGCATTCGCTCTCAATCTGTTTGCCCAGCTGGTCGCCTTTTTTGTCTCATCAGTACCCACAACCTGTCAATGACGCATGTGATTGGGATAGAATCACCGTCTTCAAGATATATAAGCCCGCCTCCATCCAGCGCGATATCACCAACAGGCACCCAAGCGGTCAGGACGCTCGGCTCGCCGTACCTCAGGAAGATTTGATCGTAGTGCACACCAATCGCTTTATTGCCAGGGGTATTGTTCCTCAACAAAGTCCGGCGTATAGGCAAAGTCTTGTCACCCCAGCCGGTAAAGTCGGCCACAAACTGGAGTAGCAGCGGGTGGTTCACAAGGCCGGGAGTTTTACCATCTGGAGATCCAATGTACCACTCGTCGGTATGAGCCTTGAGCGCGAGCTCCGTAAAGAGCTCCTCGTTGCTGGTGGCCGGGGCGCCGCTCCCCGCTTCGACGCCTACGCCGGGATAGTCTGCCTTGGCGCCGCCCGAGGCGTTGAAGATGCCATCGCGTGGGTCCGAGTCCGGATCGATCACGCCGCAGGGCTGTAGACGTTGGAAGTAGGAACCTCGGGCCGAGCAAACGTCTTCCCTTGGTAACAGCCCCTTAAGAAAGATGTAGCCATCTTCTCTGTAGCGTTTCCAGAGCACCTCGAGTGGCTCTGATGGATACGATGGCCGCAGGAGTTTGACTTCATCAGGCGCCAAGAGTCCATCATTCACATATAGAGGAACTCTATTGATCGTTGGTTTCTCGGACAAGGGTGTTTCGATGGCCATACTGATACGATTTCGTATTTTGGAAACTGGTTATTGATATGAGAGTAGTATGCGAAGTAAAAATGACTTGCGGCCATCCGGTTTATTTGATGAACTGCGAGTTGTTTCTCGTACACCAATATGACTTGCACCACCCCGCCATGTTGCGCGGTGATAGACGATTACCCTAAAAGTCAAATTGGGCAATACTTCAACGTCAAGATTACCTTGGGGCAAGGCCAAAGACGCCACCGGACTTACCTTAGGGCGGGGGATCTCATAAGCCCTATTGAAGTCAAACCCAAGTAATACGCTGTCGGTGATTGATGTTAGCTGGCGCTTCAATTCTTGTTTGAATCCGTATGTTGCAAGTGCTAAAGCGTGCCACGTCTGTCGGATATCCAGACGCACGTCAGTACCAAAGTCGTTCTCCCCCCCTCCATGGCACGAAGTCAAGATCTGAGCGACTGCGCTATTGGTATCATTTGTCCTTTGAGACATGCACGACAAACAAAGTAACTCGAACCATATTACCACATCTGTCCTGGCCTCTTACTTCTGCTTCCCTGACTCTGGCAAAGATGAGAAATGTCCTAATGTGACAATTATGACTATTACAGTTACAGCTTCAAGCTTGACAAGATTTTTACCAATGGTGAGGTACGTGATGCCTAAATTTATCAGGAATGCTTTCTTCCAAACATATCTGTAATATGATCAAAGCAAAGGGAGTGAAAAGAATTAAAGATTAAAATTGAAAAAAGACTTCTGACTTATCACCTTTTTGTTCTACTCATCGATATCTTCTTAGTATACTTCCCTCAAAGCGAACAAAAATCAAATACGCGCAATTCCATTCTTATAGATTTCTTACACTTAAATGATAGAAGAACCTCAATCTACGTGGATATCGGCAATCGTATGCAGACTGCTAGGCTATGTAAGTGATGAGGGAGTTGAAAATCTAGTGATTCGCCACATTGTCACCAGCTTGAATTAAACACAGTCAGAACTTAATTGATCGCAACAGGCGGATTGTCTAGGGGTCAGATTGGTCGCCAGCTTCTATTGCACGTCATTTATTTTTTCGGACAAGGCCAGCAATTGAGCGTAAATGGAATGATCACATCAACGGACCGCCTTCAATGAATACCGCAAACAAAGAAAGAAAACTGGCGACGAGACCAGACATGGACCTGCACGAACAAACACAGGCCGCTATGACGGTTCCAAGCCTTGTCCGTCATCCAGGGGTCTCATGCAAGCAAGGCGCTTAGATATCTGAATGCATGCATGGCAATAAAATCCTGCAAGAAGTCTCATTTCGGAATATCTGCCCCGTACGTACCCAGATGGTGGATCCCGCCTTGCATATGAGCATTTGTTTGTTTTTCTGTCACTCGAACATGAATCATTCAACATTTCTCGGCCCGATGACTTGGATACCTTCTTGGGCGTGTAGAGATAATCATTCATGTTCGGCACTCTGGAAAAGCTTTTTGAGATTCTCGGTGCCATGACGACTATTGACGCAAGCCGCTATAACGTGACACGTTGTGGATTTGGGGTGACTAGCACATGGGTATTTCCCTCACCGTACCTAGTAGTCAATGGCATCTTCTCTTTCTTTCTTTGTTGAATATCTGGGGATTTCGTACACAAGCCATCGGAATATTGGTAACAGGACTTTCTCAGTGAAAAAAGGTCCTGACATAATTAGAATTATCATGCATTATATTAAAAAATGTGGTTCAAGTCTTGCTAATCGCCGTATAGTGTAGGTAAATCAATCAATCTCTACGTATCCTTCGAGGTGTATCGTGGCGCCAAATCTGGGTGTATCCGTGCCAAACAAAGAGAATGCCATGGTGGCAAAGGACAGATATGCTCGTCAAGTAAGAGTAGTGGCAGTTGAATGTCGAGTTGACACAGCCTCTACTTCTTCTCAACCTTACTTCCCGAGCTTTCAGACCCCTCCGGACTGGGCAGCTTCTCGGCATATGCAGCCAGCTTGTCCTGCTCGGCGACTTCCTTGCCCTTTCTGCCCCGGTACTTCTCGTCGTCTTCTACTTTGTCATCAGCACCATTTTGTATCGTTTCTCCAACATCACTCTTCACCCCCTTGAGCGAGTCGCTGTCAGCATCATCTGCTCCCTTGTCCTTTGACTCAATTTCTGCACTTCGGATACTGCTGGCCTGACTAACGCTCGCAGACTCTGGGCTTTGAACGCGAAGACCCAACTTCTTCTCCAGGCCAGGATCTGCTTCATTGTGACCCTTCCAATCAGCCGCCTGCATCTGCGGCACCGTCTCACCCTCAGCGGGTTCCGTAATGACAACTTGATCATTGGCCTGGGGAGATCCAGCGAAGCGCCATACGACAGCCATGCGGTCAAAGGCACGAGTTCCTTTTTGCGAGGATCCCTTGATCCCATCCAATTTGTCCCACTCAATTTCAAATACGCCAGTCTCTTCGGGCTTGCCGTCCTGCTCGGGGCCGTTGCCTTCAAAGAAGCCGTTGAACCAGACGTGAGCTACTGCTGTCACCATGGTCAGGCCCATGGAGGATGGAGCGCGGTTGCGCCGCTCAGCTGTGATGTTCACATCACTGGTCGGTACACGAATGGGCTCTGTAGGCTTGAAGATGACGGCCTTGCCACCAGGTTCCGTATCCACATCAGCCTTGTCGAGCGACGAAGTGGATGAGGCAGATGAGCTAGATGATCTAATCTTCTCTGCCTTTTCCTTTTTCGATTTCGAGCGTCGAACGCTACGCGTGGATGAATTTCGAGAAATGGGTGAAATGAGCTTCGAGTAGCGCTTCTGAAGCTTGGATGGGCCAGAGCTGGGGCTGACGGGGCTCTCAACGTCCGACTTTGTCCCCGCAGAAACCGGATCATCTTGTGCATTCGAAGTCTTTGCGTCATCGAGGACATCTTGTTGTTGTTCGGACTTCAGCCCCGGTCCATCTCCAGAAGGATTCACACCGTAGCCTGCCATGCTGTAGAACGTATCCATAATGCCCGCGCTGCCAGGGGCATCTCCCTCGACAACGTGGCGCTCTTCCTTTTTGAATGTATGGAAGACCTTGATCTTCTTCCCCTCGTCAATAAAGCCCTCGACGGCGAATTTGACGCCATTGCGAAGTCCCCAGACGTGGACCTCGACAATCTCAAGCTCACGGTCGACGTATTTCTTACCCCCTTTTGTCCACCGGTCTACGTAGCCCACCCAGCGTAGCTGACTTGGTATACTGACGCCCGGGCCAAACTTGGGTCTCATCCTCCTCTCGGTAAACCTGGCCAGTGCTTGTTCCGGCGTCCAACCGCATTCGGATATTAGGAAACTGCAGGCCGAAGTGCCGCTTCTGCCTTTGCCAGCCTTGCAGTGTACCACAATAACCCTCGGGTTGTTCTTGTCCTTCCAGGCTTCCAGGACCTTGCCAATCAGCCTGTTGCTCTTGTCCTTGTCTTCTTGCCCCACACCGTCGTCGTCCAGATCGTTGCCATTGAGCCAGTTTCGCATGCTCGCCATGATCATTGGGATCAGTCGAAAGGGTGGTGGGTGGTGGTCAGGCCACGGGTAATGCCTGATACGGTTATAAACGGCCTCGTCAGGGTATCCGGTGCCTTCGGCACGGAACTCCCAAATTGCCCAATTCTTGCCATGCTTGGAGTCTAGGAATGCGACGAGTCGATCAAGGGGGTTTCGATATGCACGCTGAGGGTACGTGTCTGAAGGGCCAGAGCTGCAGATTTGTTTGAGTTAGCACATTGATCTTTCTCTATCAACAGTTCTAGTGCAACGGTAACTTACGTTGCTATGATGTTGTCCGTCACATAACATAAATCCAGACCAGCTTCGGGATGTCGTGCTCGCGGTCCTGCCACGATCTGGCGTAGTAGGGAGGCCATGGTGCGAGTACTCTGTAGAGGTGTGCGGAGATGTTTCAGAGACAAAAAAGATCAATACATATGATACCAAAAAGTATGTGCCAAGACCATGAAAGGAAAACCGGCACGCGGTCACATCTATTGTATGTAATATGTGCTCCCGAGCTTCTGGTTTGGACCAGACAGGTTTATGCTGGGAACTCAGTGATCGGTTGCAGATCCTCGCTACGTCATCCCGTGGTGGTGGGGGCCAAGCACCTCTGACAGGTCTGAGCATGGAGCCTAATTATGTCCATGTATATGGCCCGCGCTCAAGCTTCTTGATGTATATCGTACCTGCGTAAATCCATGACTTGTCTTTTTTGTCCTCTGTTTCATTACTCTAGTTATCAATCTCCGATATAAAAATCAATAATGGCAGATTGTGTCTTGAATATTATCCCAGTTATTTCTATGGCCAAGATCAGCACAGTTGGTGCTGACGTACCAGGCGCTGTGACTTTCGCAACTTCGACGTCATTCATGCACATAGTATGGGAGTACGCGGTGTTCCTGAATGCACGTGCCAAGATGATCATCGAGTGCCAGCACAAGAAATAAAGATGCTAACAAGCAAGCAATCAGTCAATATGGGAACCCAGCAGGCTGGTTATGACCACGATTTGGGTGGTGTAATAGCATAATCAAGATAATGTCATTCCGTATTCCAGGCGACAGCGCCCTATTCGTAATCGATACTCGCCCGCAGAAATCCTTGGGCCACCCTCAAAACTTCAGTCTGCAATGCTTGCTTCACCGACTCCCAAAGGACATTCCTAAAACCGAGTCCTCATGTAGAACCTCGACCTTTCGTACAATCCTGTATCACTGTTTTCATTGCTCCATGTTCTTGTTTCCCACGCTTTTGTGCTCACATTCGCCTGCGATCGCTCGTGACAGGCTGTAGGGACTTTCGTTGTCATCGTATCATATGCCCCAAGGCTTGCTGATACGTGCACCCTCAGCAGCGCAGCTGCAAATCATCAAACCTTCTGGATGGAATGACCACCCCTGGCGATCACTCGAGCACTTACGACGTCTTCTTGGGAACAGCACCGCCGTTGGTGTACTTGCTAATGTCGGTGACGTCGTGGAATTGACGACCACCAGACTTGACGCCGTCCCAGACTTGGCGCAAGACAGGGGGGGTGCCCTGCTGTCCAACAGCAGCGTCGATGCGAGCATTGAGCTGACCAACAGTGGATTGCACGTGAGAGCTCTGGGCGAAACGAGCGCGAACAAAGGCCGTGTACACGACAAGCAGAATCCACGAACGACTTTGGAACAGGATAGCAGCAACCAAGAGGCGGATCCAGAGCAAAACCTCAAGGGCAGAGACGACAGACATGGACATGTCGTAGTATGTCTTGACGAAGTTACCAATAGCATCCGCGATAGGGCTGCTGCTCTTGGCCCCAGGAGTTGCGCCAGCGCCCTGTGCCGGTGCTACGGTGGGGATGACATTGGCGCGGGTGTAAGTTGCAACGTGGAAGACGGAGTAGATGCCGTAGGGGAGGAGGGCAAGAGGATACTGGGGAGTAAAAAGCCAGACGAGCGCCATGGCTGGATATACGAGTCAGTTCGTCCGTAATGTATACATGGACGTGATGCGGTTGACCTACCAAAGTACTGGACATTCTCATCCGAGAGCAGGCCGATGGCACCAGTAGGGTATTTTGCGCCCACCTTCTGTCGGGCTCTGAAAGTCTTGTAAATGACGATACCGTATGTCACAGCGGCCGCGACGAAGGATAGTCGGTAACAGGTCTGGGCCGTTCTCGAGTAGTAGTTGAATCGGAGCCACGAGAGCGAGTAGCGTAGGATGGAGACCAGTAGGACCAGATGTCTGTTGAGCTTCTGTTAGTCTTTCATGTTCGTTTGCGCTGTTGGGTAGCAGGGCACAGGGTCCCAGCCCAGAACGTGGAAAGGTCGAGGTGCGTGTCTCAACGGTGCGCTCAAGGCGCCGTGGTTAGATGTACATACCCGGTGAACCAGCCGACTGCGATTACGACACATGTTAGCGACGTACTTCAAGAGCTGGGCACACAACATCCAGAAAGGGTTGTATCAGGCAATACGTACATTGAAGAGTCTTTGCCAGGGCAAGAATACGCTCCTGCAGAGGCAGGCTGGGGGAAGGTGGAGGGGCCATTTTGCTGCCGTTGATCTAAAAAGCTCTTGAGAAGCTTGATGTATGACTAGAAGATGTCGTATAAGTTTGCGCTGGTGAGGAGAGTTTTGTGAAGTTCTCGTCGCGTGCGCAAAATGGTGTCTGATGCCTGTAGGAAGACGATTTGGAAAGCTGATGAGGTGGCTGGATAGATAGAGGGCGGGAAAATGACGAAGGGTGGGCCTGTGCCTCGTAGCTCGGAAAGCGTCCCGCCGTGGTCGGTGCGTTCGGTTTGCGGCTACTACAACCAACTAAAATGTAGCTGGGGAATGGGACAAGGTTCGAGGAGGAAGAAGCAGCACGTTCAGCCGCGGTGGAGCGATCGGAGGGTTAGAGAGTCAGTCTCAGTGAGTCGGTCGCAAGCCAGCGGGGGGATAAGGTAGTGGTTGCTGGCGCCTATGGTTGATCAGGGTTCTATGAGGCTGCTGGCTAGCTGGTACCCTCAGGTGCAAAGCACTGTTGAGATCTTGTTCTCGAGTAATTGAAAATGAGCAAGGGGAAAGAAAAAAAGATTTGTCTTGTCGCATTTACCAGCGGCTCAATTATTATATTGAAACGTGCGATGGTTGATAAAAAAAAAAGTATCCAGATTCCTTGATTTGCTGCTTCAGCCTCAGCGGGAGCCTGGTGCAACTATGTCATATGTGCTGCGAAATCACCACCCGAACCACCTAGGCCTAGACCTTTCGTCATCGTTGTGGTAGTGCTCCCCACCAAGATCTAGAGTCCATCTCTCTAAATCTTGACATTTTCTGATTGCCCACAATTGGCAGTAAGACCCTTTAATGGTGTGTGGTTTTACAACATCTGCCCATTTCAATTGCTACTCATGCTGGATTTATTTGCCATGCAAAGGCAAGGTGAAGTGAATCATTCACAAGTGTGTATTGTTTCCGTTCGTAATGTTTTTCATCATGCATGCTGAGGAAGGACTTGCACACCGCTTCGGGTGGTGGCCACCTGCAGGTGTAAGGTCTTTAGCCATCGGGCAGAGCCACAGGCTTCTGGCTGCTACAAGACATTGATCGTGGTTGAAATATGGGTGCTAAATCTCGAGACCAAGGGGTCGAATGTGGAATTGCCCCTCTGTTCGGCATTGGGGGGGCCTCCGTCGCAAGTCTCGTGAAGCTAACGGCATCCACTGTAGCGCCGGCGATTTATTCCATGGAGTTTTCCTTTCCCAAGCGTAGCACCACCACCAACACTCGTCAAAGCACATGCAGCCACCAAATAACTGCTGGATTGGAATTGAAAACGATGGTGCAAACCTTTCCCACTCGTGGTTCGACCAGACATTATAAATCTTTATCATTGTAATGCTACTAGCCCGTCATGGAGATCATTTCCATCAAATGACACTATTAGTTATACATCTCATCGCTTCCGCCTTAGGACGAGGTGCAGTTGCTTTGAATGATCTTCTCGATTGAGGAAGCATTTGTTCCCAAAACAGCGGCCTCGGCAATCCATGCCTATTCGATTCGTTAGCATTACGAAAATGGCAAAACTGTATATTCCTAGGGGAACCAAACTTACGTCGAGATCTTCCTCGGATGGGTTCTGCACTCTGCTCAGGATAAAGAGATCATCCCAAGAAGGGGCCTGAACAATGGCGTAGTTGGGATCGTACTCTAATCAAAGGGTATTAGACATTGTTTCCTCTCTCATATTATCACAGCCAAGATTGACTCACTTTGCACAATGTAGTTGGGACCAGGGCAGACGACACCACCGCCAGGAACGGATGGAAAGCTAACTTGGAAGACGCCCTTGCTTCCGTATTTGCTGTCCACGATGCTCGCGGCTCCGTCGATTTCATTGGGAATGAAACCCAGGATGCTGCAGGCATTGTGGACACTCACGGTGCCGTCGTCGTTCAGGGCATAATCAGCCGTGGTACACTGGCAGCCTGCAGTGAAGAGGGCAAAGGTGCCGGCTACCTGATACCAACGGCCCAGGTACTCGGAGAGGTCATCAGGAAAGTTGGGGTCGGGCGTTGGGTAGAAGCACGATCCATCGTAAATGGCCGGATTGACGCCAGTCGAGTTAGTGGCGCGCGGCATCGCTCGGTGCGCGGGAGAGGCGGTTGCGAGCGCCGCCAGTGCCGGAATGAGGAGCTTGGAGCCGTGCATCTTGACTTGCTTCAATACAACAACAAGAACTTTCAAATGGTGGTGTTGTGATCTACACCATTTACAAATGTTGCAATCGTGCCTGACAACATGGCTCTTATAGACGTTGCCATGAGCCTCAGGGGTGAATTGTCTCTTGTCTCTACTCTAACCCGTTTCCAAGGCCAAGTTGGCGATCGCGATGGTAGTTGGAGTCGCTGCGGCATCGCCGCTGTCGTTATTGTTCCGCGGTGCGAGTGCAAGAGTGGGCAGGTACTATGTGGTACGTGGGCCAAGCAGTGCCGATTCCATTCCAAGCGGTTCTCATTACAGGTGCCAATTCGCGACCGGATCGGCGCCCTACCAAATCGAGTCAGCCCCGCCCCCGGACCGTTACCATCAGAACAAAGTCATGAATCATAGTAAGAGTTTTGGTAATTAATATATGCCCAGGATTGTTCTACTTCAGATCAGTTAAGCTTTTTCTCGCTTAGTTTTGACATGAGGAGAGCGGGAACCGTTGTGGGACAGGAAGTTCGGAAGTTCGGTGAAAGCATATTTGTTTCCAACAAGCTGTGAACATATTCCGCACCCCTGATAAAAAAAATAGACCATGGGCTCGGCAGTAGTTGGATGACCCCAAGTGTAATTTTGCCCCTACCTCCATTTTTCAAAGAGGTGCAAGAGATTCTATGACTTATGCAGTGGGCGAAGAGTATAGTCACGATGCTATATCTGGGAGAACATAAATGTTTGACACCAACACTTCGTATAGGACCAATTGTGTTAAATTTATATAGCAGCGTTGCATCTGACCACAAACTGAGGTCCGCAAATACTAGCAATTAGAAGACTGCCATGTTGATAGCCACCAATAAGCGACAATATCTGGCAATGTAGATTGTCATGCATTTGCACATTTGGCTTGTTTTGGTGTCTTAGACTCTTGATCAGAGCGCATGCTTGCATCCGTCATTATCACATGTTCGTTGCAAGGCAGTTTGTTGAACAGTTCCTCCGACTGCCGCGACAAATGCCTCGACTACAGAGCTATAAGTCCACCGTGGTCCTCAACACAAAGAACCACTTTATGCTAGACTGTCTCTTCATCTGGTCTCAAAATAATAATTATGCATATGACATTCCACTCGAGCTAAGAGCCTATGCCGCTAGCCCCCACTATAATCTGTACACACGGACTCGGCCCGCAAACCCACAACACACGATATTTCATTATAGTTTTTGATACAGTGCGTTTCCAGCATCTCTAATCCGCACCCACAATGTGGATATTTGCAGTCATGGCTCGGCTGGTCTAGAGGTATGATACCTGCTTTGGGATTTGTTTATCTTAAAATGCAGGTGGTCCCCAGTTCGATCCTGGGGTCGGGCCTATTTTTTGTCTTTTTTTGCATGTTGTCTTCTTGTATGACGCTTTCATCAATATCCGTCCATCTCACAGAAGCTGGGTTGGTGAGAAACGAACGTTCCCTTACATACTCAGTGGGACGTTGCTCGAGGCGCTGAGAAAGATCATTGGGTATTCTTTCACTGCAATCTCCACACTGCTTTGCTCAGCTACAGCGTTGAATACTGCGATAGGATGGATCAGGAGACGTATTCGCCATTGGCTTCTACAGCAGCGCTGCGAAGACCTAACATATAATATGTACTTCTTTTTCTTTGTCATTCGTGCCCCACAGCATGGCTAAGGAGTGTGGTACCCTTCGGGTGACATAACGGGAATGGTTATGAAGTCTGTTTGTTCACACAGTAATCTCGTACATGTAGACAATCTTTAATTTTACTCTTTTTTTTTTATAGATAGGTCGTGTCATTATTTTATTCTCGCGAAGACTAGTTGTGAAGGAAAAAGGAAAAGAAGGGAGTAAAGGAGCATATGTATGTTATAGTTTTAAAGACCTTTGCCATTTTCCTTTAGCTAAAGCATAAGCATCGGCGAGCACTCGTATATATTAAAGATTACAACATGTAGTAATATGTTTTTGAAGACAGAGACTATAGAAATATCTTTCTTAAAAAACATAATATTTTTTAGTGTAAAAAAAGATTTCAGTAACAAGGCCAAGTCCACTATTAATTCCATATCTATGTCTATATGCACTGTGCAATAAACGTGCACTTATATATATCAAGGTCCCCTTGGATCATTCTGGCTTCTCCTCATTCATACTCGGCTCCGCTGAACCCTAAAGAACCTCCACATTGCCTCAGGAGCTTTCGCAGACAATGCTGCCAACTACAACAGTATTGGTGGAGAGATAGGATGGCTGGCTGCTAGTAAAGGGCAGACCGCCAGTGCCCTCGCCGTCGGTGGCCTGGTACGGCGTGCAGGTGACGCTGGTCACGTCGACGCCAGTAGCGCCTGTGAGGTACAGCGTTGAGACCTCGTCCAAGGCGTCCGAGTTGGTGTAGATGGGGCCGATGGGCACGCTGATGGTGGTGTTGGTCAGTCCACTACCAGCACCGCCGTGTGAAGCCTCGATGACAATGGTTGCAGTGGCAGTGGAATCAACGGGGGCGGCGATGGCCATGCCGGCAAAAGCGGCGGCAGAGACGAGAACGGAAGCGGTACGCATTTTGATGGTTGTAGGTTGGTAGATGAGTGATTATAGTGTAGTATGGCGAGTAGCAGGACGAAGCTTATTGTATGGATATAATGATTTTGTTCAGTGTGAGTATGTAATGATTGAGAATGACCCTTTGATGACTGAGGACTCGGTCCCTTTTATCTATGATTCCAAGTATTCAATCCATCCGTGCATGTTCAAACACGAGGCGTTGGTGCTTCGGGTTAAGACTAGCTGTAAGCACTATCATCTTTAGGTGGTTGCGCAGCCAGCTAGAAGACGGCCCGTATGTGACGTTAGAAATAGGTCTTGGCTGTACAGCGCCTGCATGAAGAAGGGTGGTGGCGCAGAGCCAAAGCCGTGTCAGGGACGTTGTGATTCGCTCCCAAACCTGGGGCAAGCAATTGCCACGGGCCGCTGCATATCGAATTGGTAACATACCTAGATTAGGAGCAAGCCAGCAAAACCCAGGGGCGCGGGATCATACCCCTACCCATCTTGCCATTTAACCTTGATGCATTCCCGAGAATCTGGGGAAGACGGTACGCGACAACCCAAATCATTAAAGTTTGACGTCGCGCAGCTTTTCCTATGATATATTCTGTAATTGAGTAAATGTGTATAGAATCCGAAGCAATACGCAGAATTTGGTACGAGCGCAGGGCCTTGAAAACTAATGGTGTCATACACGATCGTTAGCGAGATTTCACCATGACCGGAGCAAAAGCACATACGGTCAATTGCGCAGTAGGTATTCAAAAATGACGAGGCGGCCGCTATTGTGACCGCAAGCATGCTGTCACGTTACGTCCTACGGGTCTGGGAGTCCGCGAGGTAGTTAAGCTAAAAGTCGCCTCAATTCTTCTCAGCCCTAAAAGTTAGTCGACAAAACCAAGGATTATAGCCCCAAATGTGTGGTAAGATTCAATCCTCCTCGTGTCCATTTATGTAATGAGATGAATGATGATCATCGGATTTAGTGTGAACAAATTAACAGCACTTCTAAACTTGACCAGCCAGCAGTCTGCTTACTCTCTATCACGCTCGTGGTCTGACATTGTCTCATATGATGCTTCACGTCTTGAACCATTTTCCCGAGGAGGAACGTATGAATTGCTTCATGCTCTCAACATCACATATTGATTTTAAGCCAAGGATACAAGCATTCATGAAGTAGATTGACTTTTCATCTAGCCTTTGATAGCATGTACCACTGACCATGAAGCCCGAGTCTGTTCTCATTTTGCTCCACCACGTATATCCCGGGAACAGTGCAGTGAGATGCTCATGAACCCCAAACGATTACCGTGGAAGACGTTGGTGCGATAGTCACCATGGCTGCCGATATCTCAGGTTTTCAAGGTTGAGAGGGAATAACATTGGGCACCTGAACCGCATTGCACTGTTGGTATATCATGTGCGACTATTCACGGAGCGGTATTAGTTGTGTCAGTGCTTACCATGTATGGATCTCCCTATCTCCCCCGATCACTTCTCAGAATATGCGTGGAACCTCTTGCATACATTCTTCTTGAGAAAGTCGATCACGTGACTATTTCTACACTTACCCCGCCCCAGGATGATCTTTTCGCTACCTGACTTTGATCTCTTTGGCTGGACGGAGAGGTATATATCGGAAACTTTGAGCCGGCCCCTCCAATGCAGTCAAAACGAGAGCCATATCGCCGGCTCGACATAAGAGCATCAGAATTCCGACTTCTCATCTTACAGGCTGGCTCATGGGATCAAGACCTCGTTTGCAATCTCAAAATATCTTCTCACCCAAAAGATGAAGAATTCGAAGCCTTGTCGTATACTTGGGGAGACGTCGGCAATTTAGTCCCCGTCACTGTCAATGAAGCATGCATTGGAATCACCACCAACCTCGAAATTGCACTTCGGCATCTGCGCAAGTCCGATCAACCTCGTACGCTATGGATCGACGCGCTGTGCATTGACCAAGAGGACACGGAAGAGAAAAGCAGCCAGGTGCAGCGTATGGGCGAGATATTTTCCTCGGCCAATTCAGTTCTCGCTTGGCTGGGACCGCCAGAGGTGAATAGTGAGGAGGCGATGCAAACGATCGAGAAGATTGGCAACACCCTTTGGTCCATTGTCTGCGATGGAACTGACGACGAATCCATTGGCGATGATGGATTTGCGTATCTTAGCCGGCTTTCGCCAGCAGACTATGAAAAGCTGGGGCTCGATATTTCAGCCATGAATTGGAATGCCATCTGGGCGATCTGTGAGCGTCCATACTGGCATCGAATCTGGATTATTCAGGAGTTGGCACTGGCCGGCGGCACTTTTCAAAATGCAGCGCAAAATAGATGTCTTGTCGGCTGCGGAACATCATGGATACGACTCCCGATATTCTCCGCCTTTGTTTTCATATTTGGTATAATGAGAGGAAACGCCCGATGGATGGAGGATAATATGAGTCCTCCATTGTACCTACTGACGACGAAAGGTGCTCCACCGGTTGAGCAAATGTTTCAGATTATCTGGAGTCTTGATGACATTTTCAACGAAGATGGCGAGTCTCGTATAAAGCGATCTCTCAGCCATCTACAGAGAATGTCCCGAAAGTTCCAGGCGACGGACCCGCGCGACAAGCTATACGCATTTCTGGAGCTCGCTGAAAGCCAGTTGGTCACTCCCGACTATACCCTCAGTGTGTCCGAAGTCTACTCGTCTTGGACCAAACTTTGTATCCAACAGGATCAAAATCTTCACTGCCTGCATGGCAATCGCGAGTTATCGAATCCATTTGGTCCATCCTGGGTTCCCGAGCTCTATAGTCAATTATGGGACGGTTACGCTTTCGAATTCGCCGCACTCGACGATAAGATTAAGCGCAGTGCTGCCTCAGTATCATTTGGCGAGGGTGGGAGTGTGCTAAAAGCTCGAGGCATTAGTCTTGGAACTCTGGACCGCGTGGTCGGGCCATTTACGGCAACATGTCATAGTAGCCAAAATGAGGAGAAGACACAAGTGAAAGTCATACCAAGCACATTTGAGAAATTTGCCGAGCTTGTCAATCTGTATCTGTCTCTACCAAAAGATGTGCAAGAAATAGCATGGAGGGCATTCATTCTTGACACGGATACAAGTAATCGAAATGAGCCCAAGTCTCCAGCACCTGACAGTTTCTACCACCTCTGGCGTGTGCTTATCTCGCTTGAGCCGCTCCCCGACTCCTTTTTCGAGTCTCATCTGGCCAAGGAAACTCAATTGAACAGATACCTGTCGCCCTTTACTGAGAGCTTGGATAATGCATTGTACTCGGCACGGTGCTTCTTCGTCACTAATGGTCTTCGCGTCGGACTCGGACCCAGGTGTACAAAGTCTGGGGATGAAGTTGTTTTGCTCTACGGAAGCCCTCTCTGTTTTGTTCTCAGACCCGAAGGCGGACGCTACAGGCTCATTGGGGACGCTTTTGTCCAAGATGTGGCGCCAGAATTATGGTCTGATGGTTATGAAGGCCCAGGACTAAATGTACAGGAATTTGAGATCCAATAGGATTGATAGATAGAATATTGTTGCAAAACGAGCTGATTGAGGAATGTTCTCCATTTTATTCATGTTTCTACCCCAAATCTTCAGTTGAACTTCAAATGGTTATTTATGATCACGCGCCTACCTAGGTTAGTACATAACTATGCGCAAGAATAAGGTTTAAGTGCCAACTACAAAGAACGCCCAATCAAGTTCCGGCTTTCATGCTCAACTCGCAAGCTTTTATTCTAGCCAACGATAAGTAGTGCCAACATTGTAGAGCTCCCAAATAGCCGAGTGGCACAGCAACTAGTGCTGACATGTTTGCGTCTGTAGGACTAACCAACGATTGGAGTGCTTAGAAAAGCTGCCATGATAGACCTGGAAAAAAGAAACAGGATTTGACGTTTCTCCTGTATTTTGCTTAGATAGATTTGATCTCGTGAAGAAAGACCGCAGTACAATATACTTGATCATAACAGAAATGGCTCAAAGTATTCTCCAGAAGCAAATTAACCTTACGCAGACATCGTCGCACTCTTACACAATCTCATCTCATCGGGATTGGAGTGTGGGACCAGGTATGTGGCCCGCCATGTCGAGGTAAAACCTTTGGCATGAACCACGATCTATGCGTACATGCTAAAGTCTTTCCTTGTCAGCTCTTCACGGCGGTTCCGTGGCTGCCACAATTCATCATGCAGCCTCTACTCATCTTCGCACCACATTGGCAGCACAAAACCAACCCGACATTCTGACGCTGCATTTTCAATTTCTCAGAACATGTGTGCTCCAGGACAGCGTGATCGATATCACGGATCTGAGACTCGGCGCTGGCACCAGCGATATCCAATTACATCTCTCGCAAGACGGCCAGGTCAAAGTCATTGCTCTGGCCACGGCCGTCAACTTTGACAATGTCAGCGGCCCCTCGGCGCCGACGGCGTGGAAACTGACACCACCGCCCGAGCCCGTGGATTTTGACAAGATCCAGACACAAGAGCCCGATGAGGATTGGGTATCGACCATTGTCGACGGCGAACTTATACCGGTCACCAAACGCATACTGTGCCTCAACCCACGCAAAGGCTTTCCTATTGACGGCGTCTGCGACGCGTGGACCTCGTTTCTCGGCAACGAGCGGATGGACGCGACGTATCTGACCCTCATGGCCGATATCATCCCGTCTCTGCCAGACACGCTGCTCCGCAACGGCGGAATATACGATGCCCGGGCCAACTTTGCGCAGATTGAAGCGGCAGAAAAGAAAAACCCCGGCGCCCCGGTGGTGCTGACGAACAGTCTCAAACAAGCCGCGCAGGCTACCGTCTTCAACCACACGGTCACCCTGGATATCGAATTCAAGCGCAGACTTCCCAAAGAGGGTATCCAATGGATCTTCACGAGGGCCGAGATGCGCATGCTGCAAGCGGGCAGGGGTGATCTTGATGTGACGATATGTGATGAGAACTTGGATATACTTTTGCTAGCACGTCAGGTTATTCTCGTACTGGATGCAAAGAGAAAATTCAGAGAAAATAAGTCAAAGGCAAAGTCATCACTTTGAGACTAAGGCAATCAAGGTCGAATGTGGCTGGTTCGAGTGAACACGAGAAACAATCGAGGGTCCATTGCCATTCCCCTACGCAGTTGGAAAGCCATTCATGCAATACAATATTGGTACAATGCTCAATTATTTTATACATTTCAAAAGGAGTCAGATTGTACAAAGCTCGTGATGGCTGTGTCCACGTCGCTCAGCTATATTATCATTTTCCTATACTGGAACTGCCTCATCCCAAAAATCCAGATCCAGTGTAGGGCATGCGCTGTCATAGCTAGAAGCATCTACGAAAGTGACGGTAGCAGTGTTGTTGCTGGCAACGAGCCCCAGCGTCGCCGCACCTGGGAGGTAGCGAGGCCAGCCGAGACCCTCGGTAGGACCATTGGCTGCATCAGCCGCGAACCATTTCCAAGCACTCGCCATGGTAGCAGTAATTTCACCCTGGGCTTCGGCAGGTGCCTCCCCGCTGACAAGCTCCGAGTTGCCCGTGACCATGTGTATCTCTACGCCGTGGTAGGCGCCGCTCGAGGGGGGGTCGTAGAGACGCGTGTTCTCCCAGTCCGCCATATTGCGAAGGCGGTAGGTGGGAATGCCAACCTGAGTTCTGTAGTAGCCCTCGGCGGCAGCGGCACAGGTAAATGTCTCCTGCTCGAATTCCTGCCACGCGGTCTCGTTGAGCGTGTTGCCCTGGGCCAAGGCGGAAATCCTGTAGAATCCAGACTCGTGATCCCCATGAATCTGCAAATACGGTATTTGGGCCAGGTCACCGGACTTGACACGAGAGACGTACTCTTCATTGGTGAACCAAGTAATGTTATCCTGCGTGGCTTGGAATTGCGGTTGCGAGCGAGCTGGCGAGCTGGTGGCAACAGTAGGGACCTTCTTGACGGCTGCAAGGATTTGCTGGAAAGTAATGTTCTCAGACCTCATACACTCGAGCGTGAGACCGCTGCTGCCGCAACCCAATGTACCTGAAACATTGTACCAATTGCTCTCGGCCAGTACAAGCGTGTTTGTGGGAAAAGAAAACTGGTTGCCCGAGTGAGAGGCGATTCCGGCAACTATAGGCTTGTCCTTGAATGCATACGCCCAGTTTCCGACGGCAGCTGCACCGGAAGACTGTCCGAAGAGCGAAATCTGATTCGGGTTGGCCCCAAAAAATTCAATATTGTCGTGTACCCATTGTGCTGCCATGTGATGATCCAAGAGACCGACATTCTGCGTGCCCTCGGGAGCTCCGGGAAATCCAAAGATGTTCATTCGGAAATTGAAGGTGACGAATGCAGCATCTTGAGCTGCCACAAAGTTTGCGCCATTGTAAAAAGGTGTATTGGAAGTACCAGAGGTGTGCCGTCCACCGTGAATCCACATCAGCACGGGAGAACTGGCATTCAGTGCGTCGGCCTTGACCCAAATATTGAGTTTGAGGCAATCCTCGCTCTGGGTATGGTTCGTGCTTGTGGTTGACACGAAGCTAGTGAAAACATCTTCATACACTGCCGTGGCATTGGGATAAGCATAGAGTGAGGAAGGGTTTTGCGGGCAATCAGCGCCCTAGGATGTCATATTAGTCATTGGCATGGCCGGAATAAATCATGGGAATGACGCCTTGCAATCACTTACCCAAGAGTCGGCAACAAAGTCTCCCGCGAGGTTCTGCGCTTCCGGGGCTGCGAATCGCAAGCTGCCCACAGGAGCAGCTGCATACGGGATTCCGAGGAACTCGCACACCTCTGGTTGGATGCTACTCCGATGACCAATGATTCGCCCATTAGGTGTTTTCACAACACAGTCTGTTACCGAGGCCCCATGTACACCATCCGCAAGAGCAGCAACTAGAGCGGTGCCTAAAGGCGCCCAAGATGAGAGACTGCCGATCATCTTGACTATTGGCAATACTTTCGCCCACGCTGACCGTGTTTTTGTCGGTACCAATTGGCACCTTTATTCAATGTGAGACAGAAACAGAATGCCCGGTACCGAGCTCTAGTTTGAAGAGGCTGCGGGAAGGAATCTGGAACTTTCAGATTGTCGCCATCATCTCCTTAAAGCATACATTCAAAATTTCGCATTTTACAGCTCCCTGTCGGATGGGGTCTAATCGGCTGCTATTTCCCCCTATACTCGATCCTAAATGTGGGCAGTGGATTTGCTGGGACCAATCGGACGCTTACGCCGAACGTGGGCTCCGTATGCTGATCCCCTTCTTGCGAGATAATTTGGACTGGGGTTTCGGACCGATGTGCGAATGCATAATAATTTGGGGTATAAATTCATCTGCTCTGGAGAAACAAGTGCGGTGGTCATAAGAGCCCGAATGCCCGACAAGTGGGAGAGAGGATGAGATATTTATGGTGTTGATTGTTCGATAGGAACAAGAACTCCCGAAGTTTCGATCCCACGATGTCTTTCTGTAGCCGAGAGACCCACATCGGACCGCTGTCTAGCTGTTCTGCAGTCTAAGGCCACCCATGTCGATGCATGCAATGCCCTGTTCCTGCTTTTTGCTTGAGACAATGGCTCATGAGCACATGTTTTTCTCTTGCATTCGTTCGCCCCTATCATCGTGTCTCATTCAGTCATTGTGTTGAAGAATTTAAAGGCTGATGATCTCTCTCGAGATGGATTGCTATGCTGCAATACCATGTCTTTCGTCCCGAATTCTTTTGGTGTTGGATACCCTACCGATGAATACGATAACCACGGATACCAGCTCTTTATCACTGGAACGACGTTTGTGATTGCAGCGGGTCTTTTTGTCGTCTTGAGGCTCTGGGCTCGCTATCAAAAGGGCAATGTTGGTTCCGACGATCTGTTTATTCTTGGTTCTCTGGTATGTCAACGGCCCTCTCATTGAGTATCAGCGATTAATCCTTCTAGTGCTTCTCAATCATATTGACAGTATGCATGAATCTCGGTACGTTTCGCTGGCGTCAAGACCAAACATTGTATTTCCACTAACTTTCGCCTAAAAGCCGTCGAAAATGGCTACGGTGTGAGCAAGAGTAAATTGACAAAGCCTCAAATCCGCGAGGCCTTGAAGGTGCGTTCATAATTACTGATGACAGCCTCGTACTTTGTTCACAAAACTGTTCATAGTGGTTCTTTTTTGCCCAGATATTCTACAAGATCGTTGTGATGCTCACAAAAGTGTCACTGCTGCTGCTATATCTGCGCATCTTTGTCTCTAAGCAATTTCATATTGCGACATATGCAGTTTTGGGCATCGTCGGATGTTGGTCGGTTGGCTCGATTATCGCGACTATATGCCAGTGCATCCCCGTGCAAGCTAGCTGGGATGCCTCAATCACTGACAAAACTTGCATCGACAGCGACGCCGCTTGGTATCAATATGGCATCACCAATATTCTGACCGATCTTATAATACTCGCCCTACCAATCAAGCCTATTCTGGAACTTGAACTAGGTCGCAGGGAGAAACTGGGGCTATTGGGGGTATTCTCATTAGGTTTTCTGTGAGTAAATGCGTCTCCCATGGTCACCTAATTGCTCTCAAAAACTAACATGTATGAATGATAGCGTATGCGTCATCAGTATTTTGAGAGTTGTCGTCGTGGCAAATTCAACGCAGCTCAAAGCCGATCAGACCGGCAACTTCGTCCCCAGATCAACACTGACCCTCGTAGAGGCAAATTTTGGCATCATCTGCGCTTGTCTTCCGTTGACACGCCAGCTTCTACGTCTTCTCTTCTCCCCCAAATCCAGTGGCAAGGCACAGTCCTATGAGTTACCAAACACTGGTTCGAACCCACCTTTTGCTCATCCGGTAAATTCAGAGACGCAACTTGGAGTCCACGAGGCTGAAGGAGAAGGACAACGCCCTGACTCGGCTCCAAGCCGTGGCAGTCTCCTTTGTGAGCAAAATACCAAAGAGTATAGTCCATAGCTCAAAAATTAGTAAAATCCTATCGTGAGCGATATTTTCTAGTCGAAGACCCGTGCATAATTATATTTGATTGACTTTCTGTTTAAAATCGAAATGAAAAAAAGGGCCAAAAAAACGGACAGACAAAGAGAGAGAGAGAGAGGAGAAGAAAAAAGAGAAGAAAAAAGAGAAGAAAAAAGAGAAGAAAAAAAGAGAAGAAAAAAAGAGAAGAAAAAAAGAGAAGAAAAAAGAGAAGAAAAAAGAGGTACATATATGAAAAATAACTGAATCTACTCTGGTAGGCTATCACAATTGGGATTAGTTTATCATATGACGCCAAGTACGCAGACTTCGAGACAATTCTCAAATGGTTTGTGTGATACTCATGATTTACTGCCATTGGTAGTTATATACTTTGTACATGGCCAATCATATGATCCGTGAACAAACCTCGAATGAGCTGTCAATCATCGGTGTCGGTAGGGGTTGTCTCTGCCCAGCTGCCTGAACAGTTTGGTATATAGCGCATCGCTCTTATTACGTTTACAGTGCGAAATTAACGCAGAGGCGGAGAGACATGATACTAAGTCATTGTGAGGGTGTGAATGGAATTGTAATTGAACCTGGTGGGTGCTTGCTGTCTTCCAACTTCATGCATGTCGATTCCGTCGGCGTTGTCGGCTTAGGGGCCCTAGTGCTAAGCAGCCCCCCTGTAAAAGAATCTCGGCCAGTATCCAACGCAACCCATATGTATCGTGAGCAGATTGAAGCTGCCTACTTATGAAGTTGAAACCTATTATACTAGATCATGTTATTTATACGGGTTGTGCATATGTATTTTACATACGTGTATTTATTGAAGATGACCGCATGCAGATGGGGCTTGAAATAAGCATTCGGAATCCTGCGATGTCGGGAAATGGGACACCATCAGACGGGCTTCCGATGCTAGTGAGGGATTCCTGCTTTTGCCAAGTGATAGGGAGTGGAGATGATTGATGTTATAGATATGGCCATATTAATAATGGCCCAATGAGACCCGATCCCGAGATTTCCAACCACGGAGGTGGACTGCTGCCAGTGACAATCTGCTGGTAGACAACCTGCGATTCTTGAAATGTCCAAGATGGTTAGCCAAAGTCCAAATCTATTCCCCTCGTATCCCCAGCAGAGTCGTCTGACAACGATGCATCCATGTTGTGCCAGTCAGATTCGCTTATCTGCCCCAGCATCCATGTCCGGGGATAGCAGAGCCGACACCTCCGCAGATAAGTATAAGTTCAGGCGCATATCTTCTTCTTCCTCCACTGCTTCTGTGTGATCAGTCTCGTTCACGATTGAGACCGCGACCGGCCCCGATGAAGCTGTTGTCATTGATCAGCCTGGCCACTTTGGCTGTGGCGCAAATTGTGCCCCAGGGGACCACTTTGAACTTGGATGGTGTCAACTATTTTATACCGCCCTTCTCCGAGGGAAAGATCCTGACGGGAGCCATTCAATCTGCCAACTTGGCAACTGCATTCGACTTTGCACCCATCACGATTGTTGCGGAGGATGTACTACCAGACAGCCTCGGAAGCCTGTTCTCTAATTGGACAGTCGACGACGATGTATGGCAACCTGGCTTTACCGGAGCTGTCGTAATGACAAACAGCTCGGGCTGTGGGACAATAAACACCAGCTATTACTCTGGTGTTCAATCATCGGTCTTTAGTCTTTCGGGTGCTCTGACAGTGCCGACCGGCCCTTATTTCCTCAACGTCTTTAGCGGAGAGGTGCATCAGGCATATCGCCTGTACGAGGATTTTGCCGGTGCTTTTCTGGAGCCACTTTTACAGCAACCAGATGGCAAGTTCCAGACACTGTCAGCTCACGTACAGAGCAGCAGCTCTTTGACTATTGGTGTGCCTTCGCGACTATACTTTACGCGTACAGCGGAGAAGCCCCTCGCCGGTGTCCGTGTCGGCGTCAAGGACCTATATGATCTAGCCGGTGTCAAGAGTTCAAGAGGAAATCGAGCTTGGTATGCGCTATACCCACCAGCAAATGTGACGGGGCCCGCCATACAGAACCTAATTGATGCTGGGGCGGTCATTGTCGGCACACAGAAGCTGTCGCAGTTTGCCAACGGCGAGAACCCTACTGCCGATTGGGTTGACTACCATGCGCCCTTCAATCCACGTGGCGACGGTTATCAGAGCCCTTCGTCGTCGTCCTCAGGAGCTGGAGCATCCATTGCTTCATACGAATGGCTTGACCTGGCTGTGGGAAGTGACACTGGTGGCTCCATTCGCGGCCCGGCGGGAGTCTCTGGCGTCTTTGGAAACAGGCCAAGTCACGGTCTTGTCAGCTTGGACTATGTCATGCCCATGTCGCCGACTCTGGACACTTCCGGCTTCTTGACTCGCGACCCGTATATCTGGGGGGCTGCGCAAGCAGCAATGTACGGCGACAACTTTACTTCATTTGCGGAGACTGCACCGAGTTATCCTACGAAGATATTCACCCTTGACTTTCCCGCAAACGATACCGCCGAGGGACAGATGCTCAACGAATTTGCCATCAATTTGGCCAGTTTGCTTCAGGCGACGCTGACTGCGTACGATATCGATGAGCAGTGGGCTGCAACAGGCCCTGCCGAGGTTGCAAGCCTCAACTTCACCGAGCTTCTGAGCACCACGTATGCTGCATTGATCACCAAGGAACAGATTCCCCTCGTGAGGGAGCCGTTTTATAGCGACTACGCTGGTAAGCATTGTCTACCCTGACGGGTCCATGTATGCTGTGACTAAACGAAATTCAAGCTGTACATGATGGTCGCCTGCCTTACATTGATCCCTCGCCGCGTAACCGTTGGGGATGGGCAGACACCCAGCCCGACTCGATCCTCGACGATGCCAAGAAGAACAAGACTCTGTTCATGGACTGGTTCAACACAGAGGTCTTGGCTCCCGTCGATGATCCTCTGATGTGTTCCTCTGGAATTCTTCTCCACACACAGAGCACTGGTAGCTTTGGCGACCGCGACGTCTATGGCGACGAACCTGGGGTGCCGTTGGGCTGGTCCCTAAGCCGGATGACCATCTTTAGCGAGGTGCCCGATAGTGTCTTCCCGCTTGGAGAGGTCGCATCGGCTAGTGACATAACGAATCATACAGAGTATCTTCCCGTGTCTGTTGATATCATGGTCGCCAAGGGATGCGATGGACTCATTCCGAGGTTGGCGCAGGACCTCGTTAGTGCTGGCGTCTTGTCTATCCCAAAGCCCGGCGGTTCGATGACTGGAGGAGCGATTCTGTTCTAATGTTTCCAAGAGTTTTCAAGAGCTCCAAGTGCTAGTAATGTAGAATTAATAATCAAAAAGAAAAGAGAAGCAACACAATGTTGCGATGAAAAAGGTCCGTCAGACCCGCGAATATAAATCTGGCGCGTTGTCGCAATCATCTGTACCCTTGACTGCCTATAGCCTGCGGGCAGGCATCCCAGCTACAGGAACGGTGCCTCGTACATTTCGATGCCACTTCCTACCTGCAGCCCGCCAACTCAGCTCTATTTTCTGCATTTAAGCGATGCATTGAACATATTGGTTCCAACATTATGAGAACTGTAGATTTACGGTCATTTCCATTGCGTGTTGCCATTGATGTCTTCTTACCACCGCTCTCAAATTCATAGCTTCCCACCCCGCTAGTTCCGTGGCGTCTCCGCCAGACCGAGACAGTCACGGTCGCCGTGGTGGGGGTTATCAACGCCTTCATCACCCCCACCACCAATGCGGGTGGCAGATACCGGGAGCATCTCTCCTCGATTGACCACATTTCATCATCATCACTCGTAGTTATTGGCATCCCGCAATACTTGAGACTTGTCCCATTCGAGATATCTCAGACCGTCTCCGTAGTTTCGTCTCTTCACGCATCCAGATTGTTTCCTATCCAAGATACCTGTCATTTAGTACCTGGGCTGCTCTTTGCTCCATCCATTTGTTGCTAGTCCCCTAAATTGTTCGCCACCGTACAAGTAACGGCATTCGAGGCTTGCATCGTTGACTGCGGAACATCACATCATCGCTCGGCAGTTCCATCCATGATTTTTCGACCTGGCCTTTCAACTGATATACGAGTCCTGTATTAGACACCACAAGTCCATCGCAAAAAACATCTCCGACTGTACAGCATTCAGTCACAATGGACGGCCTGCCAAACGAGGTATATCGCTTGCGATTCATGACAACGGGAGGCATTTTGCTGATTTCAGGCAGATATTGATACACGTCCTTGAATTGTTCCCAACGCAGGCTCTGCTGCCCCTGGCGCTGGTGTCACAGCGGTTCTATGGGCTAGTCTCCCGCCTACATTATGCTCGCCTCGTCGAGGCCATCGCTTTGCAAGACCATGAGTTGATACTGGAATGTTATCACCCCAGCGCCAAGATCTCAACGCCCTACATGTTTTGCGACTATCTAGGCACCGATGGTCTTGAAGCCGTCGGGCTTGATCCGACGCTCACCAGCATTGGGAATCTATACTCGCGATTCAGGCCCGTCTTGAGCGAGGAGCACAGGCGGCCCCGCGCTCGACATGCTACCAAATCTGTTCTCGAAGGCAAAGAGGAACCAATTGTTGAGTGGCCGACGCACGATATATACCTCGAACCGTCGGAGCTGTTCTCACAGATTTGTACAATCATCAACATGATCAAGGTCGGGCCGAAGCGCGGCCTATTTCTCAGCTACGTGAACGTTGTCGAGTGCGTGATTAGAATATGGCGAGAATGGTTGGCAAATGAATCATCAAAGCCGTCATCTTGGCAACCTGATTCTCCTTCGGATCTGGCCAGCTCTGCTATTGTGTGGACTGATTCGTCCAAGAATTATGGTATTCGATTGAAGGTTATCGAAAAGCCAGACGTGCAAGCTCCGATCTTGGTCGGTCCGGGCGAGGACCCTCCAGTTTCGTATGTATTGGAGTATCAAGGTCAGACCAGCTTGCAATTCTTCCCCGATGTTCTAAACAATTTCGCTAACTCGTGCAGAACTCCTCGTACGCTCAAATCATCTCATTCAGGCCATGGAACAGTCGGAAGCGCAGCAAGTTAGTAGCGCCAGCAAAGCAGTCATCATAGCTTCAGTGTAGCACACAACATCCGATGGGTCCATGCTATTGCGTCATTGATTCCAACCATCTCCCATCGCGAGTAAATGTTGCGACAACCAAAATATCTGCTCTGGGAATCTTTGCCTCATGGTGCGCGTAAAACATAACGCAAACATAAAATTTATCTTAATCCACGCCCCTTGCAGGATTTAGCTCACAGGTTATACACCTACATACCTGGGTTATCCCTAGGCGTCAGCACAGCGTAGGCCCCGGGATCGAGATGACAGGCCCCAATTTTTTTCCCGCAGATTCCCACCCAGCGCAGCCCAAACAAATGCAATGAAGGAAGCCGACAAAGCCGGTCAACTTGAACAAAAATTGGCCGCGGGCATAAAGAAAAATCCTCAACCGGTGAAAAAAAACTTCCTCCCATTTGATATAGCCAATTGGCGGATCAATTATCGTATATCGGTAAAAGATTGTGACCCCCTCGTCCAAGCCATGATTCGTCTAGGCCAGTCCCGTGCTATTATACCAGCTTCGGTGGTGCTGCTGTTAGGCGCGCAGTCCTCTCTTGCACTGATTTCTCCGATAGATCCGACTGCGCGCGCAGCTACGCCAACATTGGGTGAGACCCCCGGAGATGTTCCAGAGTATATCATCCGTCATGGTAAGCACTACACCAAATTTGTGCAATTTTGCAAAGCATGCGATTAGGCCATATACTCACCCGGACTTGAACACAGCACCACTAGTGTGGCTTCATTCGCAGGACCCTTTCAGGCCATCAGATATACTACAACATGTGCAACATACTACGCCAACAGTTGGCACAGAGCCCATTGCCAATCTCCCTGAGCTCGATCTTGATAATTTGGATTTGCTCAACGACAGGCCTGAAGGCAATCCAGTCGCATTGACAGCCAACGAAGACATTACAGGCTTGCCCACCTGGCTGTATGGAGAAACGCCGAATGAGGCAGGCTTGCTGTCAAATGCCACTGCCTGTGCTGTCATTCTAGTAGAGTCTGGGGAGAATGCTGGCGATGTCGACGCATTTTACTTTTACTTTTACTCGTATGACCGAGGTCCCAATATCACCCAGGTGTTACCACCTCTCAACGGCGTGTTAGGGAGCCGAATCGATACTAATGCAAGTTTTGGTGATCACGTTGGGGATTGGTAAGTCATTGAAATTGCTCCTCAGTAGAAACCATCGCTGACTCTACTTCCGCAGGGAGCATAATATGATCCGCTTCCGTGGGGGCAAGCCTACTGGTATTTACTATAGTGAACACTCGGACGGTTCCGCATATGATTGGGATCATGCGGCTCTGACTATCGAAGATGAACGGGTATGTCCATGAAAGCATTTTCCAACATCGCGCATCACTAATAGCAATATTACTTCAGCCTATAGTATACAGCGCGTATGGCTCACATGCGAACTGGGTGTCGCCTGGGTAGGTTCACCACGCCACATTCTCAACAGAACTAGATCGTAGCTAAATCAGTCGACATGTCTAGAAACCACACGCATGATTCCGTCTTGGTGGATTACTGTGATGCAGGACTTCGCTGGGACCCCGTCTCGTCGGCATACTTTTATCATTTTGATAGCGATACGTCGAGGCTAAGCCGCATATTCCCTACTGGATCAACGGAGACGTCAAACTTTACCTCGTTTCTCTATTTTTCTGGGCGCTGGGGCGACGTTCAATATGCCGATGATGATCCGCGTCAGAGGACAGTCCCGTACTTTGGCTTGAAACGTTACGTGACTGGCCCGACCGGACCCCTCACGAAGCAACTTGTGAGAAAGGGACTCTCGCCCGACCATAAGGAAAAAAGGCCATGGATCCAACGGGCCGTCGCCATCTTCATGTTGCTCTACCCATATTTCTTCCGCGGGTGGAGAGCTTGGTTATCGGGGCTGGTGTTCCTTGGTGTCATTGTTACCATCATCCTTTGCACTCGACGTGCCATCAAAGGGTATCTCTCCAGGAGGCAGGGATACAGGAAAGTCAATACCGGGGCAGATGTACCACTGGAGACGCTCGAATTCAGAGACGACATTACGCATCATAGTCAGGTGAATTAGAGACCTGTTGACTCTGACACCTGGCGAATGATCGAGCCTTTCAGCGCTCTTCCAACTTTCCCTCCTTGGACTCGGAACCAAAGTTGGCAGGAAGGACACCAGGCTTGCGAATACCATCTGATTGTGTAAGAAGTGCTCATAAGAGACATATCCACCCACGGGCTCGGCCTTGACACCGACTTTAGCGCCAAGACTTGGAGAGACATCCTTGCCCTCCAGACAGCCAGCCGTGGCTGATGCCTAGAACTAAACCGGCTGCGTGGGTTGAAACCTCAAGTCTTCCTCCATCAAGTGTGAAGTATCTGCCATCTCGAGATTGTGCAGGAAATCATGTCAGATCTTGGCGCAGGTGGCGGTTTCATGGCCAACAGCACGCAACTCCTGCCGCGGCATCCCAAACACGGCGGGGCCCATGAAGCTAATGTTGACGGCCGTTCAGTCGGCGCCGAGAAACTTGTTGGCCAAGTGTGTGGTATCGGCCCATTTCTCTTCGTCCGCGAGATCGATGCGGTGCATGCAGTGGGCCATCTGCGACACTACGCTGACGCATTCATACGAAGACCACAGGGCGTAATGTTTGGAGTCGACGGTGTACCATCGGAACCACCATACAGTCATATCAGCATTGGTACTGGGAAGCTTGTCAGCGATGCCACTTGTCTCGAGGTATCTGGCATGGCATACCAACCATTCTCACACACAAGATAGCCTGGCTCCAGGGTGAAGCGTTCAAGAGTCAAGATCCTAGGGTCCATGACAGTGCGGATATAGATATTATATTCATCATTAGCATTAACTAGAATCTCATGAGATTTGCATCATTACTACGTCCACAGGTCCCAGTTTTTCAACAATTCTGCAGAGTCAACACCGCCGTATCCCAGCGGCGTCTGCGGGCCCTCGTACTCCAACAGCTGCCCGGCGGCACACTGCGAGAAGCTCACCTTGGGCTGCTGCTCGAGGTAAAACTGGTCGTACTTGGAATCCAGAGCCTGCGTCAGGTTCTGCACGTCGCCTTGCGGGTGCAGCGTCTCCCACGGTCTCGTGCATACGCGTCCCTTGCAGCCCTTGAGGGTGAGCAGCAGCGCGTCCAGACGGGCCGTCAACTTTTCGGCGTCGTAGCCCGCAATGAGACCTGACTGGCCGTAGAGGTTTGTGTTTTGATAAGGATCCGTCTTTTTGGGGGGGTGAGCATGGTCAGCATTGTCGCGCGTTGAATGAGAGTTCATGGGGGTCAAAAGCCATACCTTGAAATCAAAAAGCTCGTGTTCGTTGGAGCACCACACCGTGTACGAGAGGTCGAAAGCATCAGACACTACTCGAACGTGCTTGTAGGTGTTGTTGGGCAGGGCTGAAATTAGTATTAGTATGATACTAGGCGAGGACTTGTGGGTTGCCGCTGGGGAAGACTCACTCGATGTTACCCAGTTGGAAATTGTCCCCTCCATGATGCCTTCTCCCCAGTACTCGACATTGACATGCTCCGACTTGGCCACAGTCCGGGCTTGGAGGTCCGTAGTCACGGGTATCGGCTCGCCATCAAAGTCATCGTGCAGGGTGATGTTGGCCAATGTGAAGAGAGTTGGGACAATGTCCGTGTGCGTCGTGGGCTGGTTGTAGGCTGCGCCCTTGGCGACACCAGGGCCACGCACGACAAACGGGACATTAATGTCCTCCTCGATACAAGTCGTCTTTCCTGGTGGCAATCTGTGTTGGCCAATGTGGAAACCATTGTCAGAGGTATAGATGATGTATGTGTTGTCTAATAGGTTCAATGCCTCGAGCTTTTTGACGACACTTTCGACCAATTCGTCGACTGCTTGCAAAGACTGGATACGCTTCCTATAGAAGAGATCCACATAGGCCACTTCTGTGTCGTTGAGCTCGGGCAATGTGGCAAAGTAGCCGACAGGGCTCCCCTATAGTGAGTTTAGCAACTGTTGGAGAGAGTTACAAAAGGGGGCGCAACTGCTTACCTGTAGTTTGTTGAAAGAAGGCGATCGAGGTGCGGTCAAGTTCTGGAAAAGGTTCGCATGCCTATCCGCCGGTGTTGGCAAAAGGAACTCGCCCGACAAGGAAGGTTTCATTTCCGCATGAGGTCCAATTGGGGTAACGCCCAGAAAGAATGGCTGACCAGCGACGGCGGCAAGGTCAAGATACTCCAGGGCCGTGTTAGCTATCACATCTGTGGAGTAATTTCCAGGCAAGTAGCGCAGTGTCGAGTTGTCTCGCGACATGGAGGCGTTATAGTACCAGTATGTTTGTGGATCAACCAAAACTGGATCAAGTCAATCTCAAGTAAACCAAAGAAGGATCGAAGAATTCCGCTTACAGTCGCTGTCATTCCACCCTGCCGGGTACGGATTGTTGTATGTTGTTGCCGAAAAGCCGTTCATGAGCTTGCCAGTGTAGTAGGTGTTGTAGTTTGCTTCCTGCAACCAGACAGGGAGATATTTCTCGTGCAGTCCATTGTTGATGAATTGCTGGTAACCTCCATACGGGAGACTTACGTCTGTCACATTACTATATCACAAATAATCAGCGTCCATGCCGAGAAAAACGGTTCACGAAACAAGGTACTGACGTGTTGTGAGCAGCACGGCCGGTCAACAAGGAGACCCGAGATGGGCAACAAAGGGAAACGGTGCAAAAGTGCTTGTTGAATATAGTTCCTTCATCCGCAAGATACTTTTGAACCAATGGCATGTGGTCCAGAGAGCTGAGATGCAAGTCTTGATCATCTGTCATGATAAAGACAAAGTTCGGCTTGGTCAGTGTAGAGTTGCCAGTAGAGTTTACACTGGCGGATGCCAACGTCGACAGGCCCATTAGGGCGACCTGCTTGGCTGAGACCATTGCTGCGGAATATTGAAAAGACACTGCAATGAAAGAAGGAACAAGGACACTGTTATTCTTGGGTGAGAGGCATGGCAACAAGTCGTGTATATTTATCCCCAGCGCGTGCCTCGAGCGGAGTGTGCCGCGTCTCTATGAATGATATCGAAGCCTCTACGATCCATGCTCTTTTCTGGGATTTCGGGGCAGTGGAGGCTACTATGGCCTGCTAGCCCCGAAGAGCCCGATGACACCATCGCCGGGTATAATCCACCGAAGCCGAGTCAAGATGGAAATTGCGCTGTGATACTTGGGCACGATAGCCAAGGTAGGTTAGAGACGTAGTAGTCGTTGGGATGCTTCATGCAAACAATGGCTATCCCTGCTGGGTTTCTCGAACGAAAGGAGGCAAGAAGCCGTTAATTTTTACCGTAATACCAGCAATTGAAAGAAGATTTCCAGGCACAAGATACCACAGTTCCAGGGCAATGATGCAGCTTGTCGTTGTTCGCCTCTCGGGGGACCCTTGGTACTTCCGTGCTGGCGGGCGAGTTGCGGCCCCGCGAGAAACCCACAATCCGGGTTTAGCGCCAAGCACATCATCGTCCCATGGGATTCTGTCATCTTAGACCAATGGTGGCCTGCCCTTTTGTTATCGATAACTCCTTTTTGGCCTTTATAGACATATGGAAGCCTTGGGGATATCTGTTTGCTTCAAGGCAAGTTCAAAACTTGGTGTCATTTTAGAATCGGTGAACCCAAAATCTGATGGGATCCCGGAGTAGAGCAGACTCCAAAACCAGGATCGCCCAATAGTGACGGATCATCTAGGCTGAGACTCCTTAGCAAGGTCGTTTTTAAAGTACCAATTGGTTGTAATGACAACTTCATCATTATATGATTGTATTTCTGAGAGATGAAAAGGGTCTGCAGTGATACAAGCAACTTGTGCAAAGCAGTCTCAAAGATGGACCGCAAAGTACCCGATATCCTGCCAAAGCCATCCTCACTCGTGCTGTCAACAGCGGACACGCCAGCGAGTTATTGCACCTAGAAATCGTTAAAAGAGGTTCCCTAGGCACCATGAGGATGCATCTCTGCAGTATGTGAATGCTGTTATGATACAGCATTCACTTGGCGGTTTTCTCTACCTTGCAGGGTCAATGCGGTTACCTGCACATTTGCTAATCTCCATTACTTCCCCTCATTTATATACTAGGCATTTCCTAGCACTGTTTTATGATAACAATAATAGAACTTGTAAGGTGGTTATGGACGATAATAGTGGGGCATGTTCCCAAGCATCATTAACAATTGGCAGAAGCATCGGAATACGACACTTCTTCCAAAGTATGATCGCCCTGCCGCGATAGTTTATTTTTATGGTATTGAGTGTATGGACCTTATGTCTCGCCCTTTGTTTTTGTCTTTCTTTCCCACCATCTAAATTGACTCCCACCATATTGCTTTCGACATGGCCTTCGATTTGCGGCAAGACTGATTTTGTCCTCTGCTAGACCTGAATCTTCCTGTACTTGATTAACTTGGAAGACATGAATGTGAAATAATCTGATATGCTGCGTGCCATTTCAACCCCAGCATCTCTCTGTTGGGCCCGGGATGGCAGAGACAGAGGTGCTCTGGCTATGCGAAAGGACGCTGTCGCTTCCCTCATCCATGCGACGAGGCAAACTTGCATTGTGAGCATCGTCGCTAACGTGCATCGTTCAACGCAAAGACACAACTGGTGATGACTACATCATTCGAACAGCAACATGGACTAATGATACTGTAGACGAAGACTGCATCCGAAACTTACGTCATGGGGGGAAATAATGATATGTCAATTGCCATTGTATTGCTGACTGCATCACATGAACATCTGTATGCGATGACTTGGCACGTGGGCACCAATCAGAATTTTGAAAGATCCAGCTTTGGAGGAACAAGAAAAGAAACTTGTATGTCAACAATGAGCCAGACTAAATCAGTCAAGTATCGATCAAATTACTTCTAAATAAAGTCGTATCATGGCCTTTAATCGCATCTGTCCACTGGTATCTGAAAGTTGCAAATTGTAGATTAGGATCTAGTGGTGATCGCGCTGATCGCCGCAGGTACAGCTCGACTCACTGTATAGAGATAAGACATGTGAGAGAGAAACAAGCTTTTTCTTTCATCCGTTCAGGAAGCAATTACCGTTCGTCTTTCCTCATGCGCGAAATTGGGTGCAGGCTTACTGGACCCTTTTTCTTACTGAAAGGGGCAGGTCAAGAAAAGTGGGAACACGACGACTATGACGACCGGGTCAGTCCGCCGCCACCAACTCAGTCGTCTATACTTGGGTGGTTCCTGAATTCTGAAATAAGAGCTTATTTTTTCTGCCTTTTCATTTTTCAATTGGTGTGTGCTGGTATTGAGATAAAGTCACTCAATCATGGCTAGTCTCGTGGCGCTGCTCTTGGCATTTTGCCTGGGGACGAAGCACGCTCTCGCCGCCGGGCTATGCGATGCTTCCACTTTTGCTGGAGTGCTCCCGGAAAACGCGACAGTCAGATCAGCAGATCATGTTGCTCGTGGTGGAACATATGGCGATGGTCTTCTGGACTTGAATTATCCGATCCAGCCAACTGGTCTTCCAGAACTTTGCGCAGTCACAATCTTGGTCAACACCTCTTCGACATCATCCTTCAGGTTTGGTCTGTTTTTGCCTACCGTTTGGAATAACAGATATCTTGTCGTTGGAAATGGAGGTTTCGGTGGCGGTATCAACTGGCTAGACATGGGAAATGGTGTAGGTTACGGGTTTGCTGTCGTGTCTACTGACACTGGGCATAATTCCATTTCGACCGACATTGGCTGGGCCCTAGACAATCCAGAGAAGAAGGAAGACTGGGGCTGGAGGTCTATCTATGGGACCACCAATCTGGGCAAGGCTCTCGTAGAGGCATACTATGACAAACAGATCGCCTACTCTTACTATCACGGATGCTCAACAGGCGGTCGACAAGGACTTAAACAGGTGCAAATCTCCCCCGACAGCTTTGACGGTGCCATCATTGGCTCTTCGGCATGGTATGTAAGCCATCTCAACCCTTGGGTCACCAAGGTTGGGACGTACAACTTGCCCTTCAACGCGCCCAATCACATCAACGCAAGTCTGTTTCCGGTCATGGCTGCCGAAGCTGTCAAGCAATGCGACGCGCTGGATGGTGTCGAAGATGGTATAATCAGTGCTCCATCTAAGTGCGCTCCAGACTACACAACAATTTCATGCGACAAGGCTGGAGCAAATGTTTCTGCTTGCTTGACAGAAACGCAGATCCAGACGGCCAAGAATGTGTACGCCGACTACCGTTCGAGTTCGGGAGAATTGCTCTACCATGGTCTGCTCCCCGGATGCGAGAATCAGTGGTATCTGGTTCTCAACCAGAACGATACGAGCCCATACGGAATCAACTATATTCGGGACTTTCTGTACGATGACCCGTCGTGGTACTGGACCGAGTACAATGATAGTGTTGTCTACGATGGCGAGAGGTTGAAGCCCGGCCACGCAACGGCAGACGACTACGATCTTTCCGAATTCAAGGAGCTCGGCGGCAAAATGGTCATCTACCATGGCCTGGCCGATGGACTGATTCCACCAGACGGAAGCAAGTATTACTATGAGCAGGTGGCAGAGACCATGGCAGATGGTGATATCTCAGGGATCCAAGACTTCTTCCGCTACATGGAGGTTCCTGGAATGGGACATTGCTGGTCCACATCCGTCGGCGCTCCTTGGTAAGTTGAGTAACATGCTTGGGCCGCGGCCTACGGCATCGATTGGCCAGAGACAACCTACTGATTCTTGGTACGCAGGGCTTTTGGCGGCGGTTCGCAAGCTGCTGCGCTAGGTACCAATGTTTGGTCTGTACCGGGATTCAAAGATGCCCAGCACGACGTCCTTTTGGCTCTGATGCAATGGGTTGAGAATGGCACAGCGGTTGATTCAGTCGTAGCAACCACGTGGCAAAACCCGACGAACGCATCAACACCAGTGCTGCGGCAAAGGCCGCTTTGTGTGTACCCCAAGGTCGCAAAGTACGACGGGGAAGGGGATGTCGATGAAGCTACGAGCTGGAGCTGCGAGTAGGTGACCAACGCTCGCTGCGCTCAACGTTTGGGCTGGACCTGCTGATGCGCCATGGGCAGCGAGCCAGAGGTGAAAGTTTTGCGCCCCTTGCCGAGTATACCGCAAGATTCAGAGCACATTGTTAAGGCGGTTGGACGTGCCTGAGGCCATGGTCTCGCTCGCCCTAGAATCTGTCCAAACGTGGTCGTGGGCAGGTTTGTTTCAAGCTCTAATTCGAGGTCTGTTAGCTCCCAGCGTGGTTGGGGTTTCCCATTCCCGTTGCAGGCAGATATTCTATGGTGTAGTAAATAGAGAGTCATCGTGCAATCGTCACATGGCGATGCTGGCATCATCCAATGCTAGGCGATCTTTGCAATGAAACGGGATGTGATCAGGGGGGTTGTCACGATTTCTGTCAGCCCTCAATGTCATCCATGTCGATGCGTTACGCAAGGACGGTGGATGTTGCCAAGGCTGGAAGGCAGATAAGCTTGTGTTTGGCGGCATCCATGGATTCTCGGACTGACTGCCAGAGAATTGGATAAGCGAAGATGTCCCGTATTTTCCTGTGTTAGTTTTTGGAGCATCTTCATCTCAGTCAATGTTCTCACACTCCTCGTTGTGATGGCCATCTTCTTGATTGCAAGAAAAGTTGTTTCGTTGTAGTCTGGAGAGATACGTGTAGAAATGTCACTCTTGAAACATGCACTTGGGGGATTATTCCCTCTTATTCCCCCTGGCACTACCTTCATGTAGCGCTAGTTCTGATTTCTGACAGTGGGCAAACAGCTACTAGGTATTTACAGCGGGTCGCCTTAGGGCGTGTTTCTTGGTCTCGAGCCTCTCGACTTTCCATCTCAACAAACATCATCTCAAAATCACCACTGCATTCATTTCTAAACATTTGGTCGGTTGCAGCTTCGATGATAAATATTTGATTCCTGCAGTGATCAGACCAAACAGAAATTCAATGTACTTAGTCATCAGTGAGCCTCCTCTCTAAAATTAGAGGCAAGAAGCTCACATCGGGTGCGACACGTGCCCCGCCTCAACCGAGTTTCAAGCGCATCTCCTGCAGCGCCGCGACAATGCGATCGGGGCCTCCCACATCTCAACGGCTCGAATGCCGGCCGACTCACCCAAGTGCCGCAAGAGCCGCAGTATCCTGACCTCCATTTCTCTGTGCTCGGACCTTTTCGTTCATCCTGTCAAGGCTGTCTCTTGTCGCAGACACGACAGTAATGGCTGGACCACCTTCCATGAGTAGACGCAACCCAACTAATCGTAGTCGTTGCGCATGGCGCGCCACTTTATGCGTAAGAAACACTCGTTTGAATTCTTGGTGGTGAACCAGGAAGAGGTGGTGAGAGCCAAGTCCACGTATGATCTTCCGCCAGGTCTCTTGCGACCCCACCAAGTGTATTCACACAACGGTATTGTTATGCTTGTCATGGAAATTCAGAATGCCGCACACATTACATGCATACACGATGGAAGAGCTCCCAGTGATCTCATCCTGTCATTGTTGCAGACAGACGCCGCAAAACCCTCCTGCAGCGGTTCCTGCATGCGGTCCTGGCGCTGTGCTGCTGGCTTTCTTTTTACATGGACTGAACTGTCCCCATTAATATTGTCAATTCTATCCCTCTTCTTATCCAAATCGACCTGTTGAAAGTTGACCTTTCCGGGTATTGCCAGTCCTTACTGTCGCCGGGTGCGCCTTCGAGTACCTACCTACCTTTCCTTCAACATATAGCTGGGCTATCGCTTGTGTTTATTCTTACGGAAAGGCGCCGTTAAAGCATCAAAACGCTCTAACAGTTCCGATCCTTTATTTGCTTTTTCTTCTTCTTATCTCTTTTATAATAGTTGATGAATTAATATTCGAATTTATCCGAAGGCAATAATCAGGAGCATGAACCCAACGCAAAAGATCAGTGCCGGCATTGAAATGTCGCCAATTGGGGCCAAGGACGGCAGAGAGACACCACAACTGCCTCGGCTGGCAATTCCCGCCTATAATAAGACGAATCCGTTTTCTGCCACCTCACCAACGGTTTCGGCAACGATATCACAGCTAGGAGATATCATTTACCCAGTATGGACGCCCTCGTCAGCCTCGACAACCAAATCCCCGTCTTTACGCGGAAGCGGGCTGCCACCTTGGACACCTATTGCCGCAGGAAAATCGCCCCAGATCGCTGTTGGTATGCCAATCAAGGCTGTGCGACCTCCACGACCAATATCGAAAGACCCGCCTCGTCCCGGTACTGCTTCCACAGTCTCAAAAGACCCCCCTCGACCTGAAACGGCTGCTTCGATTAATAAAGAGCTACCTAGTCCTTGGACAAGCGCTTCTTCGATTCACAAGGAGCTTCCTCGTCCTATGACTGCTTCTACAAAAAGGTTGACATTATCACGTTACAACAAAACGCGGCCTATCAAATATGGAAATTGGAAAGATGGGGAAATTGAACTCGTACCACAGCCTAGTGATGACTCGGAGGATCCTTTGGTAGGCTTTGATGCGCCGAGTTTGCTGGAAATATTTGCTGACCTGTACAGAATTGGCCGTTATGGCGCAAAAATCTGAACTTTTATGCCTTACTCCATATGGTCGCATTGGTAGGCGTCTCCAAGACCATGTTTGTGACGGTTCACAGCGAGGTCGCCTTGAGCAACGGGGTCTCTTATACAGCCGCTGTAGCATTGACCGGCGTTCCGCTCTGTGTGTCCGCTCTGTCGGGAATGCTCAGCTTGGTGATTGCCAAGGTCTTCGGGAAGCGACCAATCTACCTCGCCTCTACTTTGTTCATGTTCATTGGTACAATGTGGGGTATGTACGTGATGAATAGCTTTTCTCAAAACATGGCCTCGCGCGTTTTTCAAGGACTTGGCTGGGGCGCTTTCGACACCCTGGTGTTAGGTTCCCTTCAGGATACCTTCTTTGTAAGTTGCACATGACTAGCTACGCGAGGAAGTGTTCAAAGACTGACTCGTCCAAGGAACACGAGCTCCAGCCTCGGATATTGGCTGTTCAAGCTGTCTCTATTGCCGCTACCTGGGGTTCCCCATTGCTTGGAGGCGTCGCATCAGTTGGGCCCAGGGGCTTTTGCCTTCAATATGAAATCTTAAGCATATTCCTTGCTCTCGGAACATGGGCCGTTGTATTTGGAGTCCCGGAATCCACCTTTGAACGGAGCTCCATCTCAATGTTCAGCCGCGATTCTTTGCAGAGTAGACCTCGACTGAATTGGCCATGGATTCGATTCTCTACAGAAGCTGCCAAGGACTACATCAGTCGCATGCGACCATGGTCATTCAAGGTGTCCCTGATGGACAGTACGCTACTTCTCCGTGCACCGCGGGCCATGATGACACCTACCATACTGCTGCTTTTCTCTGTAACTTTGCTTCCCTATGCCGCTCTTTGGGGTTTTGCCAGCTCACTGTCGCTTCTCTTTTCCGTCATGCCATTTATGCTCTCGACAACTAATATAGGCACCCTTCTCACCGGACCTTTTATCTTTGCAACGGCGATCATGATCACTCTTGCGCTCCCGTTGTACACTGCCAGGTTCACCAGTACTATTCTCTCTACCACACTGGCAGTGGGCGCCATTGTGGCTTCGGTCGGCACATTTGGTTTCGGACTCTACATTGAGGGCTCCATGGTCATGGCGGCCAACGGTACGAGAAACTCCCTGGGCACCATGTGGAGCCTAGATGCCGTTGGTGCTAACATCAGCTTTCCCGTGGTGTCATTTCTACTCGGCCTGCTCGCCGCTGGTTCATTGACCCTGGACGCCACGATCCGACCCATGATTCAGCGCTCCATCTCCTTCACTTCGGTGAATTTGTCAAATGCGATGCGCAGTACTATCGATATGCACGCCGGATTGACCTGCCTGCGCAACTTGGTTGCCGGTGCGTTCATTATTGGGCTGCCTAACGCCGTGTGGGCCTGGGACGGTCTCAGATCTGCTGCTTTGGGCATTGGCATTGCGCAGTTCTTTGTTGCAGGTGCTGTTGGCTGTGTTTGGTGGCAGTGGCAAGAAAATGTATGGCGATTGGATGGAAAGGCCATTGGGGCAGTTGACGCATCTGCGCTGGTGCTGGAGAAGAGTTATTTCGACACCAGCTAGAACATGTGTGGAAGTGAGTGGGAATACTGATGATGAATTTGCACCTGTCTCGATGACAGGCTTTACTTAATAGCTTTAGGCAAATACTACACTCGTAGGAATACTAAAGATAACATTCGTTTTCTGATACCTGTTGTTTGATCTTTACAAGATGGCATCTATGTTACAAGACGTGTATAGCGTCAGTCGAGTTCCACAAAGTCTCCTCGAACTTTATGAATAGACGAACAACCCGGTTTCTCCCTGATTGACTCTAGCATATTTAACTTACTTGTTTCTCTCGCCGAAGTTCTATTCAAGCTTTCACCGACATTTCTCATTAAATGTCTTGACAAGCTGACTAGCACTTGAAAAGACGACGATATAGATCGACTTACTAGTGTGCTTGAATTCTTTAAATAATCTAGGCAGTTTTGAGTCACTCAATAATCCAAAAGCATCTCGGAATGCATTTTTGTTCGTATTCGTCGTTTACTAGCCCTCATTCCTTTAACGTGTATGACGTGCTGAGTCCCATGCGCGCACGAGCTTGAGCCTTTTTGTACAGGGCAAACTAGTTTGCAGGCGAAATACAAATTATAACCTCACTGTTCAATGGTTAAAAGTAGGAACAGACTGCCAGAGCTCTGAAATCACGTGCAGACTACATTATTGATGTTTAACGCCACCGAATAAGTTCATTGCTAACACTTTGATGCTGGGACGGGACACGGTTCAAACAATGGGGTGCAACAACAGCCTTTTTGCTAGCTGAGTCCCAGGTAGCTAGGGCTATAAACCATAGAACACAAATATGAGCATTCTGTCCTTCTTGCACACGGGATCGAATTGCCCCGTAGTGTCAAATCATGACAAAAGGTTTGCACAACAAGCTTATGAGGCTGATATTGGCATACAGGAACCCTATGCTTATGCGTTGCATTCCGGTATTGAGCTTGATACCGTTTTAGGAAGGTGGTTAACGTTGCTTCGTATGAATGGACGCTTCTTTTGCAAGGCGAGTCCAATAGTGCCCAGGATACCGGTAAGATGGGAGCCTAGAAACGGTCACAAAATTCTGTTTCTTGGCATTGTGGAAGGGTCCTCTAGGGCAAAAATTCTTCATAAAGCAATGCAGGTGTGGCACAATTCTGGCTGGGAGTATAGGCGAACGGAGATGAAAGGTTCCAGTAGATATCGAGCAAGTCAATAGTCTGTGTGTCCTCTCGAGCTGGACATATACTACGAATTCTGGAAAATAAACACAAATATCCCACCGAGATGCCGCAAGTAATGGAGGACATTCATGTTGCTTGCTCGAGATCTTCTGCACATACCAATCAGACGACTCGGCGCATCCATAGGCTATCTATCGCTTTACAAATAAAAAAGCGCATTTCGCGCCTCGGAGAAGCTTTGCCAAGACCGACAGCGTCCGCACTGCTGCAGGGTAGGGAGGAGGTAGGAACTACCGTCCGATGATGACGACAAGGTGCGGTGCAAGGCAGCGACGATGATCATGACTGAAGAAAAACGTCCCTGCTGTGCTGACAGACAATGCAAGTACGAGGCTGGGTGGTGGTGATAACTTGCGTGCGCGCGGGGTAATTTTGTCTATCATCTCACGTCTTGAAGTCTTGGCTCTATACAAGGGTATGGTGAGAGGAAAATCACGACCCAAGTATATAAAGGCCGTATTCGAAGCCGATCGTTTGAAAAGATATCGACGACTCTACCCATCTCTTGACGATCAGTCTGCCGACGCAGCACCAGGTCAAACCTTAAATACAAAGATATGATCATGCCGAGAAGTCGTACAATCCTCACCGCCGTCTTGGCGGCGTCCGGGGCATGGGCAATTACGCCCGAACAGATGCTTGCAGCCAACCGCTACTCAGATGCGGTTCCGAACCCGGCCGGAGTAAGTTAGCCCCTCTACCGTGTCACATAATTCCGAACCAAGGTCGTCTGATTAGCGAGAAAAAGGACTTTGCAATTTTTAGTGTAACAAATTACTCCTTTGAGACCAAGGAGATAGCTTCAGCGTGGAAGCGCCTCGACTTGAAGACTGGAGACATTTCCATCTGGCCGGCCAGAGACGAGCTCTCAGAATTCGTCTTTGTTGGCGACACTGAGATTCTCTACGTCAATGGCACCAATGAGGAAGGAGATGGTGGTGTCAGTCTCTACACTGCCGATGTTGACAATCTGGAGAGCGCCACCCTTGTTGCTTCTCTTCCTGCTCCATTCTCTGGCCTCAAAGCGGCAAAGACTTCCTCAGGAGACATTCATTTTCTACTCTCTGCTCAGGCATATCCCAACGGCACGGCATACAATGAAGCCCTCGCCGAGACACCAGCCAGCACAGCCAGGATCTACACGTCAATCTTTGTGCGGCATTGGGTAAGTGTTGCCATCTAGTGTAGCATCCGTGTAACCAGGGCTGACATGGATCGATTAGGACCATTGGCTGACGCCTTACAAAAATGCCGTCTTTGGTGGTGTGCTCCAAGGCGGCCTGAACGCCTCGACGTACACCTTTGATGGTGTGCTTACCAACTATGTAACGGGCATCGCCAATGTCACATCGGCCGAGAGTCCTCTGGACAACAGCGGGTCCGGCGACTATGCCCTCTCCCCCGACGGGACCAAGGTGGCTTTCCTTACCAAGGATATTGACCTCCCAATAGCCAACTATACCAGCAGTCAGATCTATCTCGTGTCATTCTCAGGATCTGCCGAAGATGCCGTGCCCATCAATGCTCGCGGTAGCACACAGTATCCCGAGGCACAAGGAGCTTCTTCAGGCCCCGTCTTTTCGCCTGGAAGTGACAAGATCGCCTACGTGCAGCAGAATGGTATTTACTATGAATCGGACCGCGAAATCCTCTACGTTGCCAATACCGATGGTTCCGACTTCAACGTAACTCGCTTGGCCGGTAACTGGGATCGCTCACCAGATACCCCAATCTGGTCCAAGGATGGCGAGACAATAATCGTTGAAGCCAGCGATCTCGGACGAACCCGACTGTTTCCTATTCCCTTGAGCGCAGGTGATGATTACGAGCCGGCAAACATCACTAACGAGGGTTCGGTGGTTGCTTATTATGCCATTTCCGACGACACTCTACTTGTGTCAGACGCCTCGATTTGGAGCAGCAGAGACTTTTATAGTGTGAGTCTCAGTGGTGAAGTCGACACGGTCTACTTCCAGGCCAATCTCGTCGACCCAGAGCTCGCCGGGCTTTCGGCTGCCGACGTCTCAGAGTTCTATTATGAGACCAACACAAGTGTCTCCAAGCAGCAAGCTTGGATTATCTACCCAGCTGGATTTGACGCTTCCAAGAAATACCCGCTCGCCTTTATCACCCACGGTGGACCGCAGGGCTCAAACGCCAACACTTGGAGCACAAGATGGAACTTGAAGGTCTGGGCAGATCAGGGATACGTTGTCGTGGCGCCGAACCCGTCCGCCAGTATTGGTTGGGGCCAGAATCTCACGGACGCCGTGCAGAGTCGCTGGGGAACGTACCCGTACTGGGACATCGTACACGCCTGGAAATATGTCAATGAGACGCTCGACTATGTAGACACAGTCAACGGGATACACGCGGGCGCATCTTTTGGTGGCTACATGAGCAATTGGTATGTAATTATTCCATTCTCCAAATCATTTGTAGAGATGAGTGAATGCTAACACACACGTAGGGTCCAAGGTCACGAGATGGGACGCTGGTTCAAGGCCATCGTCACTCATGATGGCAGCACCTCAACGCTCAACCAGTACGCTTCCGAGGAGTTGTGGTTCATGGACCATGACTTTAAGCGACCGTTTTCCTCTCCAGAGGATTTCCAAGCGGGCAGCCCCTACTATGACTGGAACCCGCTGCTCTTTGCGGACCAGTGGGCGACGCCACACTTTGTGGTGCAGAACACACTCGACTACAGACTGCCCGAGAGCGAGGGTATCCTGCTTTTCAACGAGCTGCAGGTCAGGGGTGTGCCTAGCAAGTTTCTCAACTTCCCGGATGAGAACCACTGGGTGACGAACCGCGAGAACAGCTTGGTCTGGCACACGGAGATCTTCAAGTGGATCAACTACTACAGCGGGCTTAGCGACGCTGACAGTCCCTACTGAAGAGTTTAAGGTTAATCAAGGTATTCAGGAAGGCAGCATGCGCAGCCAGGTCAATCGACGTAATAGTAGTATAACATGATTTTATGACCTTATGATGCTATAATACAAAGTAGCATTGCCCGCGATGTTGGAGGCCTCGCATGGCGTCTAGTGAATGTTAATTGACGTGAAGAAGATTTATTTTGATGTCCAATTGCCCATTTCCCTGCTATCCACAGTCTGATGCATACCCCGGACGTCTCTGCCGGTTGGTGCCCTGCCTGAACAGGCGTTTGGGCGGCCTTGATACAATATGGAGATGGGGACAACCTACCTAATGCCTTACTGTGTACGCATCAAATCAGGAACGCTTCCTTTCGGAGTGGGAACCATTTTCTCGGCAGGCCGGATGATCCCATTTGGCTCATTGGGCACCTTTTTTGCCCCTTTTTCCCATCCCACGGGAAAGGCCGAGCCCATTTAGATTCCAGTATTTTTCTTTTTCTTTTTTTGCCTTTTGGGATCCCCACGTGGCGCGTAAGGGGCCATGCGCTCCCCTTGGATTGATTGCCCTTTCGGCGGCGATCACTAGCGTTAGTGACCCACCACTCACTCACCAGCTTGAGCCCATCGTCAATCGCGCGTGGGAGGAAAGAAAGCGCAGGATTTATGACGAAGGTGGCCGGGGGGACAGAGAGACAAAGAGTCAAGTTCCTGCTGCTTCTGGGTGTTTTTCAAGTGTGAGAGAATTGTGTGCTGGTGTGCGTGGGTTCGTGGCTCAGTCGCAGAGAGGCTATGCCTAGGTACGTATCGGGAGCGAGAGAGAGAGAGGGAAAAAAGGTGGCGTCTCACGTGTCATTGCTGACGAAAAAGGGGAGAAGCTCGTGATCTGAGTCGTGCATATTAACTTGATAGACTAGGAGGCGACACTGGCGGCCTGGGGGAAGAAAAGCTCCCTGCTACCTACAGTATTTAGAGGGTATAGAAATGTTATACTGCCCTGGTGAGCCTTGTCTTGAAGGCAATCCAATTCTATCGCAATGCATTGGGGGTCAAATCGAATACTCCTGCATTTCCATTTGCTCCGGAGTGGAGTGATGGCACCGTAGTGGTAGTGTCCCTACCACGTACCTCAGTAGCTTGCTTGTCGTGCATCGGACAATATTGTCTCGAGTGCTGCATGATGATCGTGGGTCGGGCCAATATGAATATCAAACACGGACTCATCATGTACTTTGTTCCTAGATACCAAATGAAAGCTGCCTCTTGTATTCATCTACACTTTACACATTCTCACTACTACTCATGCATGAATGGTTCTCTCTATATCTCGTCAGCAGCAGCTACCCGACGCCTCGTCAAATCTCAAACATTAATCAATCTTTTGAGTTACCACTGCAGTAGCCTGTGACCTCCATGTATATACCTGGTGCACGGGTCAAATTAGTACTAAAGAACCTGTCTTGGTTTTTCAATATCTCGATCCCATCTCAAGGGCGTCACCATGCTTGAACACATTTTACCAAAGTGATTAGTAAAATAGAATTGGTATTGATAGTAATTATTCATCTAATTGTCTTTCAAGTATGGACTCATCATACGGATCATACGGATTACCTGGTATAGCTACTGGGTGCACTACGTACCTAGGTATGCATCACGTACAACCATTGGACGCTGGAGCGTATCCACGTCTACTGACATGGAAGTTTCGGTAATGCGGGGTTCGATTCATTGCCCCTCCACCGCTCAGCCCGGTTCAACTGCGAGCAAAATCAAATCGACGCTGCAGCTCGGAGCCCTGAGTGGGCTGAGGGTGCCGGTGCCCACTGAATCGGGGCGCCGCTAGGGCTGTTCATTGCCCTGGCTGTCTGCACCCTGTCTTGCCTGCTTGGTGGTGGTCCCTTGGGAGAGAGGAGAAGGGGAGGAGAGAAATCAGCTTGCAATGTCCATGCAATTCATCCCCCTCCCCGCCTGGGGCCGCTCATCACCACCAATCTCGCTGTACTGCTGTACCCTGTCATGACTGGTCAGTGATAACCTTCTTTGTTCAATATTGTAGATTTGATAGGTTTTCATTTGTGTCTTGCCTGAATACTAGGTTAGTAGACGAAATCACTGTGTTGTTATTATTAGAACTGTCCGTCTTTGCACCTAACCTACCGTGCCTAATAATCTGGACAATCAATGGGCATATCACAACCTGCAAGTGATCCATTTACTTGTGTTCGTGTTCTTCATATCGCCTGCTGCCTGTCTGTAATCCGAGATCCGTGGAACAGTCTACACATCAAGCACATTCACTTTCAATATCGTCTTCGTAGGCGGCTACGTTGCATGCATGCCTATCACTTGGCAAAGGCAAAACGATTAAAAGCCAGCATTTGAACCTCTACTTTTGGTACCTGCCGGGTCACAATCTCTCATCAGTACGAACAGAGAGCAGCTCCGGTACATAACTGGTTCGCAGTGCCCGTTGCTCAGCCCCCTCCTGAACGAACCTGGGCGGCGGATCTGGGGCTAGAGCATGCCCTGGCCCATTTGAAATCTTCCCCAACACGAGCGAGAACCCCAGGTCGTACCTAGTAGTGTAGCATGTAACAAGAGGCAATAGCGGTTACCCAGCGTGCCAGGTGCTGTAACAGCTAAAAGCCACCGGTACTAGTAGAGGTAGGTAAGTACCTAGCGCGAACAGGGAGGAGGGCACCCAGCAGCAGAAGTAGTCCAGCTCGAGTCCAGCCGCGCTCCGGCGCCAGCCAATTCGCACAACATAGCACAGACTGTCCTTCCAATCACTCCTACTGGGCACCCACTACGAGCCCGCTCCGTCCGTCCCAAAAGTCCAACCCAACCTGCTAACCAAACCAAACCAAGCAACGTTGAACCTGGAAACGCGCGCACCCTGGCTCATCGCCTGTCTCTCTGCTCGCTCCAAAAGAGATCACCACCTCCATCCTACCTAGAATCCGACATCATCGCCGCTGCTGAAACGTGTCGATCATCGCCCAATTCTTTCTCTTCTTCTTGCCTTCACTTGTGTCTTTCATTTTTTCCACCCATCCTTCGCCGTCGACTACTTTGTCACGAACTCATACATCCCTTTCAGATCACAAACCCCAGTCCTAACCTGCCTACCTGACCCGACTCTCATTACTCGCAACGGCCCACGACCCCGCCATCGAATACCCTCAATCCGCTGCGAGCGAACCACGACCGACATTTCCACACATTTGCGTACGGCAGCAAACACCCGTCAGCATGTCGTGGAAACTTACCAAGAGTAAGTTCAGTCTGCTACTTGACCAGAATCATGGTCCTCCTTGCCTCGCGCTATCCATTGCCAACTCCGGTCCGCCGTTCTGAGCGGCTTGGCCTGTGATTGATTACCAATGTTTTTCGGCCTCGTGTGACCACGGATAGGCATCGCGCAGACTACAGATTGAGAAGGAAGGAGACAAATACTGACGTTCTATTACAGAGCTGAAGGAAACCCATTTGGGTCCTCCCTCCATCTTCTCTAGATCCGGCTCAACATCTACCATCACAGACAAGGATGAAAAGCTAGGAGCGCCCCCAACCAGCTCCTCGACTCCTGCCCCTCCGGACAATGCCATCGGTATGTTGGTTCGTATATCACGACATGCGCATAGTCGTGAATTCAAAGAAGCGAATTGCTAAACATAATTCTCCTCTAGCTGCCTCAGAGGCCATGGTACAACAACCTGTTCTGACGCCACCGAAGCCCGGTATCCTCGTTGTCACACTCCACGAAGGTCAAGGATTCTCCTTGCCCGAGCAGCACCGACAAGCTTTTGCCTCATCAGGTCATCAGGGCTCCGTGTCAACTGGCAGCGCGCTGAGCGGCTCCGTGCGGCCAGGATCGAGGGGTGCCCCGTCCTCCTTTGTAAATGGCCGACCTCAGACCTCGGGAGGCGGCTTTCAAGGAATCCCTACCAACCACGGCAGATTCTCTAGCAAATATCTGCCGTATGCCCTGCTGGATTTCGACAAGGTTCAGGTCTTTGTCAACTCGGTATCAGGCAACCCGGAGAACCCGCTCTGGGCTGGCGACAACACTCAATTCAAGTTCGATGTTTCCAGAGTGACTGAGCTCGCCGTGCATTTGTATATGCGCAACCCTAACGCAGCACCTGGAACTGGCCGCAGCCAAGACATTTTCCTTGGCGTTGTGAGGATTAACCCGCGGATGGAATCGAAGCGCCCATTTGTTGAAGACCCAAAGGCAAGCAAGAAGGATCGTGAAAAGGCCGCGGCAGAATTCGCAGAGAAGGAACGGCAGGCAGGCCACAGTGGAGTCCAGTGGGCAGATGTCCAGTATGGTACTGGTAAACTCAAGATCGGCGTTGAATACGTTGAGAACGTTGCTGGCAAGCTGACCATTGAGGATTTTGAGCTGCTCAAGGTTGTTGGCAAGGGCAGCTTTGGCAAAGTCATGCAGGTGCGCAAGAAGGACACAAACCGAATTTACGCCCTCAAAACCATCAGAAAAGCGCACATCATCTCGCGGTCTGAGGTTGCGCATACACTTGCAGAGAGATCTGTGCTCGCACAGATTAACAACCCCTTCATCGTGCCCCTCAAGTTCACTTTCCAGTCTCCAGAAAAGCTGTACTTTGTGTTGGCATTCGTCAACGGTGGCGAGCTATTCCACCACCTCCAGATGGAGCAGCGCTTCGATGTCAACCGCGCCCGATTCTATACGGCCGAGCTTCTCTGCGCACTGGAGTGTCTCCACGGCTTCAACGTCATCTACAGAGATTTGAAGCCTGAGAACATTCTCCTTGACTACCAAGGCCACATCGCTCTTTGCGACTTTGGTTTGTGCAAGTTGGACATGAAGGATGAGGACCGCACCAACACCTTCTGCGGTACCCCAGAGTATCTGGCACCTGAGCTTCTCATGGGTCAGGGCTACAACAAGACCGTGGATTGGTGGACTCTCGGCGTCCTTTTGTACGAAATGTTGACAGGACTTCCGCCATTCTACGACGAGAACACCAACGAGATGTACCGCAAGATCCTTGGCGAGCCTCTGCACTTCCCCGGTCCCGAGGTTGTGCCTCCTGCTGCCAAGGATCTACTTACAAAGCTCCTCAACCGAGATCCGGCAGAGAGATTGGGTGCTGGAGGCAGTGCCGAGATCAAGGCTCACCCCTTCTTCCACGCCATCGATTGGAGAAAGCTACTTCAGCGAAAGTATGAGCCTACTTTCAAGCCAAGTGTGGTAAGTAAAATTATATACCCTGTTTGTTCACAATGTTCTGACCGATATTTAGGCCGATGCACTTGACACCAAGAACTTTGACAAGGAATTCACTAGAGAAGTGCCGCAAGACTCCTATGTCGAGGGTCAGCCACTGTCCCAGACTGATCAGGAGCAATTCGTTGGCTTCAGTTACAACCGACCTTTCGCTCTTGGTGAGGCAGGCGGCAGTGTGAGGGACCCCAGTTTCGTGGGAAGCGTGCAAGACCGTCGACGATAGATGATCATGTTGGAATAGAATGGTTTGAGGAGTCATTTCTCTCTGACCCTCCTGTTAGGCATCGACTTGGGAGCGATGCTCAAACTGCAAGCCGCGAACCGGATGTCGTGGGCAATTCGCAACCACAAATAAACACGGAGATTGGAAGCAAGCGCGAACAATCCTGGGGTGTCTGGTTTTCAGTTGGCCGATAGATACCATTGAAGAGGTCACGATACAGGGACCTGGGCAATCATTTTTCCTTGTCTGATCCAAGTGACGGAGAGGAGCATCAGGTCTACTCAGGAGTCTGGCTTATGGAATTTGGTCGCTGGGGCGTAGGCTATCACGCCGGCATTTACTTCTAGAGTCATGAAGGAATCAGGACCTGTACATATCGGGAGAAGCCAGGACTTGACAGCAGAGGAGAGAATTGACTGATGTCCCAATGATATCCTCTATGTGTGTAAAATACGTTATATTCTCCAGATTCGTGTTGCGGGACTTCCAGCTTCGGAAGTCAGTCCTGGACAGAGCTTAACGATTAATGTTTAAGCTGGTAGGTCCAACATCAGTCTAGTAATATAATAAGTATATAAAGCAGAGTGGTTGGGACTTAGTAAGACAACCTTTAACGCTTATATAATATTGCCTATAAAAGCAATTTAACACAAAGGTGTTTAAATATATATCAAAAAAATAAAAAAAATAAAAAGAAAATAAAAGAAAATAAAAAAAATTAAGAAAGATTTTCTTTTTTTTTTATAATATTTATATTTATATTATTATAGCTTTATGGTTATAATAATATATACGCCCTTTAATTATGCTTGTCCTTTTTCGATCTGGACTTTTTGCTTCTATTTTCCGACTTCTTTGACTTCTTGTCCTTGTCTTTGCCTTTACCCTTTTTCTTCTTCCTCTTACGGCGCCTTTCTTCGCCGCTGTCGGTGGAATCAGCTCCATCTGCCGACGATTCCGAGGACTCGGAGCTACTGTCGGACGAGCTGGAGCTTGAATCCGAGGAGAGGTCAGAGCTCGAGTCAATGAGATCAGGCTTTCTGTCTGGGCGGCCCTCGACCTCGTAATCCCAACGGACTTGTTCGCGGCGTGCCTTGGCCGCTTGATCCGCGCCGCCGTGGGTATGCCAGAGATAGGAATCAAATTGAATCGACGCGTGGGCAATGGTCTTGAACTGCTTCTTGCCCATAACGGCCTGACGCTCGCCTTCGCCCTCACCGTCGTCGCGGACATCGAACTCGGCTAGGGCAATAGCTGTTTGGAAAGCGTTGCGAATCTGCCGGCCATTCCATGACACTAAAATATTCGTTGGTGATTAGACCTTTAATGTAGTCTTTGCTACTTACGAGTTTCAAAATGTTTCCTGGCAAACTTGAGTATCTTTTCGTCCTGGACCTGTATACTTCGCTGACCTGCCAGCTCCCTCTTGGAGTTCAGTTCTCGAACTCGGCGAATGTTCATCTCGAAGATCTGTTGAGTCTGCTTGCGGTCAAGCTTTGGGTAGTATAGAGTCAAATGCAAGCGCGACCGGAATGCATCATCAAAAGATCCGACTCGGTTGGTCGTTAGGAACAGAATACCAGCATAATATTCTAGGATTCTTAGGAATACTGCAGAATATTTGTCAGAAATAGATAAAAGGAAATAAATAAAAAAAAAAAAAAGGAAGAAAAAAGAGAAAAAAGAGAAAAAAGAGAAAAAACTTGTCTTACCCGAAACCAGTCCATTCCTCTTGATGTCATCTCGCTGTTTCTATAGTTAGCTAAACTTGACTAGATGAGTCCTTTGTACAAGACTCACGCTTCTCTTCGCGAGAAACACATCAGCTTCATCCAGCAACATAACACAGCCCCATTTGTGTGCCAGTGTGAAATGCTTCTGAAGGTTTCGCTCTACCTCGTCAGGTTCGTATCCAATATCACCACAGGTGATGGGAAACAGCGGTCTTTTAGTGAAAGCCGCAACACACTCTGGAGCAGTTATCAGAATTAGCCACCTCAGGAGTCCGGGTTGGCTTTGTATTACCTGCAGTTGATGTTTTGCCCACTCCTGGCTCGCCGTGAAGCAGAATGATACATCCTTTGCCTGATTTTGGCGATATCAGTGTCTGGTCTATGGCAATTTTGGCTGGAAGAAGCATACCTTTACCGCGGACAATGTCCACCTCTGCGGAATTCTTCTTCATGCCACCAGTCGCACGTGATCCTGCTGCATGATTTTCAACCACAGCTCTGACCATTTCCTTGTGGCCTGCGGGAAGAATCAAATCTTTCCAGCCGTCTTCGTACTGGGTGTCTTGCAGCAAAGTCAAATCGAGAGCAACTTGAAGCTAGATCAGCAACAAGACTATACATGGAATCGTGAAAATTACCCCATTTTCGATCTCTCAAGGCAAATGCATAGGCCAACCCAGGCAACAGCAGAATATCTTCGTTGGCTTCCATGGCTGTGATGAGTTCTGGAATCGCAGGATCTGAGGCCACTGTGCCGACAATCGGGTATCCTTGAACCGTCTCAGTGATGGCAGCTCGTGCTCTGCTGATAAGGAGGCTCTGATGATGATAGTACTGCGGGAGCAAGTCCGTTAAGTATGTCTTCTAGTTTATGGTAGTAATTTTGGATTTATCGACACATACCCAATCTACTGTTCGATTTGTTCGTGACGACATTGTCATTTCGAGCGACTCGGCTCGAGCACTTTTTGCTGTACTGTTATAAAAGTCGAGATACGGCACGCAAAATGGGGGACGCCAGCTTGGAATATTTTGATACGCCAATGCAAAATCGACAATCACGGGTGTGTCGATCTATTCTACTGTAAGCATCTCATAATTTTCGCTCATTGAAGAAAGGGGTTAGACATACTTCTTCTTTGTTGTTATGACTGTCAATCCACGCCGCCCCAGCATACAGTTTATGACTGGCCTCGCATACCTCGACAAAGGACTTTCCTCGAGCGGCAAGGAACTTGCGCATTCCTTCTTCGCCATGAATATCGCCAGACGACGCGTAAGCCAGAGGATACGCATCCAGATCAGTGATGACCATTTCGGTATCAAACGGCCGGAATGTAAACGTGTCTGTCACGACATCGAAGCGGTATCCCCCAATATCAAGAAAGTAGCATATCAGCTTTAATGGCACATGCGTATTCGCCATTCTTCCTCTGGGGCCAATTGGGCTCGCATATCGTCTGCCGCCAACGACCGAGATGATCTTGTAAGCTTGTGGAGTGTCCCGTCCAAAGCCCTGCCTGTAAATGACTGGCGCAGGTACACCCGGGGGTTTTCTCGTACCGTTTCGCGACACGTCTGACGGTGCCGGTGGTACAGTCGCAGTCGGTAGAGCCGTTCTTTGTTGGCAGTAGATAATGTCACCCGGCTTGTAGAGCATCCACAAATCCTCGAAACCAATGGTTTTGAGATCTCCAGCCCGAGCATTCCTATACTTCTGAAGGGGCTCTGCCAGGTGCTCATCCATGAAGTCCAGCAGAAATTTGATCTGGGCACCGAGATTCATCTCCAATCCACCACCGTCGCCGTTGAATTCGCGCTCTGATGTGCTATGTTCGGCCTTTTGGGAGGCTTTTAAGGACTCTTTTGACGTTGTGGTCTTGAGTCTGAGCATATATGTTAGCAATTTGTTTTTAGGGGATGTCTTGTTTCGTATAATACCCTACTAGGTACCTAGGCATGCAGAATACTTACCCATCATCCTTGTACTTCTTCATTTTCTCCTCCAAGAGCTCTCTGTTCTGTATCAACCATCGAAATGGCCTGTAGAAGGATAAAGTGTCGTCCGCCCTTGGCCTATGACGCCTCGTCCGCCGTAGGTCTTTCACATCTATCAATCCCGGCCCGGGAGGCTCGGGAGGCTGTGGAGGCCCGCTAGGTGAAGCCATGGTGAGACCACCAGTATGGATGACTACAACAAAATGTGTTAGCAACTGTCTGGTGGGGTAGACCATTGAGTTTGAAGCAGCTCTTTTGGGCATTTTGTCTGAGTTTACTCTCTCGAAGCACCGATTTGGGCAATGCTCGCTCGAGACAACCCAGGGAAGGGAGAAATGACATCGGAAGTTGCTTACTGAGGCTCTTGAAAACGGGTGACTCGATGCAGATCTGGAGTATATCAATCTCACCAGCGACAACTTTGCCTTTCTGGCCAGCCGATTCACTGTTTTCAGGAGCCGCGCCATCGTTGATATCGTCCCAGCGTACTCGGATGAAAGGTTCGATCTTGTCGTCATAAAATCGATTGAGTTCATCAACATCCTTCTGGTAGAAGAATTGAGATTTGAGTTCGAATGCCGTTGAATGGGAATCTTCCTCGCTGCTTTCGGCGCTGTCGTGCTCGTCCTCATCGCTCGAGTCCTCATCGTCACCATCACTTGCCTTCTCATCATCCTCAACACCAGAAGATGATTTCTCTTTCCCCTCTTTTCCTTCGGATGTGACGGATCCATGGGGCTTGTCGCTTTCTTTGCTGGCTTTAGCGTCATCAAGTTCGTCGACTCCTTCCTTTTGGCGCTCGGCCGAAGCTTGGGTTTCTGCATCGTCCTTGCTGCTCTCAGGATCTAGATTGTCCTTGGCAGAAACACTGGTGGTAGCTTCTTCCCCACTCTTGACCTTCTCTTCTTTGCTCTCGTTTCCTACTTCCTTCTCTCTGGGCAGTTCGGGTTCTTGTTTGGCATTCTTCTTTCTTCTCCGTGATTGTCGCTCCGAGACGTCGCTTTCGCTATCCGTAAGGGCGTCCTCAAGTTTCTGTATCTTTTCTTGCAGATACTTCATATTCTTCCACAATTTCTTCAGCGCTGTCGATGTTGTCTTGTTCTCCTCCAATCTCTCCAACGCTTCGACTTCTGACCCAGAAAGAGTGAGACTAGTGGCCGTCGAAGTGCTACGGGAACGTTGCGATCGGCGTCTGCGTTCAGCCCTGCTGCCTCTGGTTCTTTTTCGCTTTTCATGTTTCTCTGCATTATGTCTGTCGTGCCAGTCCTTTACGTTTTCTGAATATGGCAGGCCATCGATGGGAGGACCCACGCTTGACCCCGAGCTTGTGGAACTGCTGTCGCTGTCCCTATCGCTGCCCTTCTTTCTCAACTTGGTCTTCTTCTTCTTCTTCTTATCCATCTTTAAATTATTCAACTGAATGAAATCGCCAGGCCCAGTCATCGCTGCTTGGCCAGTCATCTCTGTTGAATGAAAACGGCCTTGGGCTACCTGGTGTTGATCAAACTATCTCTCCAGAGTTGTACAGTAAAGCATGCGTCAAAAACGCAAAACTCACTGATAAAGAATTATTGATCACCGAGGAGCGATGAGTCCTTGGGACCGCGTGACAGACGAGCGACCAAAATAAGCAAACCACACTTTTGGGGGCTGAAAGTTCAGCTGCAGAACATCCCCGCGCCATCGCCAAGTTTAGAAACAAGTCGCGCCCAATAATCCTTGCTCAAGCATCCAATAGCTTTGATTACATCTCGCGTCCAGCCGGAAGGATCATGGCTCAATGCTACGCTGCAACTACACAACCAGTTAAATCTGAGGGACTTGAAGCACACCTTCTGCGATTCGATACATAGTACTCTGTACACACGACAATCTGGGTAAAGTGAGATAAGGGAATGGGTACCTAGTAGTGTGCGTAGGTCCCGGTACTGAAACTAGCGTACTCTTCTGTACTATGTATGGGAGATTTTGCCGCAATTCTACTACTCTGTGATGTTGCATAGCACCGATCCCACTTTCTTTCTATCGTCGAGGCTTGAGAGCTAACGATACTTTTGGTGCAACACTTTGTAGGGGAAGACATGATGAGGCTGTGCAGGCAAATTCCCCCACCCCCCAGTTTCTAAGTAACCTTACTCCCCTCTAAGAGTTATACCTTCAAAACTCATGCTCAATCATACATCTTCAAGCTTTGTTCAATGAGAAATTGAGAGATTGTTCCTGGGCGCGTCTATGGCGACAACTGAAGCCCCGCCGCCCATGGGGCTGACACGATCCCGCACCCTGACAAATAGCGCGGCCGAGTTTCTCGAGCTTCGGAGTGATGAGACTATCGGAGCTGAATTGGCCGAGCTGTCACCAGAATTTGTGCCAGAACTGGATCGATTCGTCCCGCGTGATGAGGTACTGCAGCAGGACTACTTTGCCGAGTCACAGAAGCGAGTAGAAAAATTCAAGGAGACACTGGCACTATTCCAGAAGAACCTCATTGACCGAAAAGTCGACAAAAAATATGAAATTGAGATCAAAGATGCAAGCTCCTACACCTTGGAAGATGTTCTCAAGATTGCAAAGGTTGTCCAGAAAAAGCATAGCGATGCAGACCAGGTGCATAGTTGCATGGGACGACTTAAAAAGTTCTTCCATGCCACCGGGAGGAATGCGACTACGTTCAAAAGGCTTCTCACCTTTGTGCCGGACGATGTTTATGGCTCCGTAATATGCGGAGGGTTCACTGTCATTCTTGGTGTACGCTCCCATTGCGTGGTCGAATATAGTTGGATTGACTCTCCTAATACTGACTGAAATGTCCCCACAGACCTTGGAACGCCTAGAGACTTTGCGCACCGATATGTACATGGCCCTCGATAAGATCCCAACAACTCTTGGACGGTTGCATGAGCTCCTCGACGTACACTATCAATCGCCCAAGTTGAAACACTATGGTGATGGTCTTTTGGTTGCCGTGTTTGTTCTCTTGGAGCTCATCGTCAGAGAGTTATCAGGAAGCGCAGCGAGTAAGTGTATCTCGAGTAGTGGCGGGCTACCATGATAACCAGGTGCGGTAGAAAAGATATTCAAAGCCCCATTTCGCGGTGGTCGGTACGGCTACACAATTGATGAGGCAATCAAGTCTCTCGAGGAAGCCGTGAGAGAATTCGAGATTGAAGCAAGGATCTGTGATTCTCAGCGCCTAGGTCAAGTGGACATTGTGACAAGGAGAACATTATTGACTGCTGCGCGCGTCGAAACAGAGACAAAGAAGACAGAACAGGGAGTAAGTCGGTTGACCCACGGTAGGTGACCCGAGTTATAAATCGATCCAGCAAGTTCTTTTGACCGCTGACTATCACCTAGATCTCACAAACTTTGCAAGTCGGCAAGAACACTTTGCGCAGCAATTCAGAGAAGACCAAGCCGCCGATAGTCAGAAGATCTTGGCGAGTACGGAAGAACTACGTGACCAGATAAAACAAAGCCAAATTGAGCACCAAAGACACGGTGCTCAAGTACATCAGGTTTTCTATTGTTTCCTGACGTCTAGTCCGTCGTTCGACTCCAAGACTGGTACTCGTAAGACCTTCCACAGTTGTTCATGGCATCAGCGCTGCATTCTAATCATGACATTACAGTGGACCGATATCAGGCTCAGCGACGTCTGATACGGGAGCTCACTCCTGGCTCCTCGTTTGAAGTCGATGACAAAGAGTCTGGGCCGATGCCTTTTAGCGAGACAGCAAAGGCTTTAGTTGACTCGTGGAATAAAGTCACGGGAAATGCAAAACAGGTCGCAGAAAATGATCTGCAACAGGCAATAGGAGAGATCACTGCAAAGGAGCATGAACCGGCAGAGCATATTCGTGTAGAGCACGACCGTGTCGGCTACATTCTCACCTCTGCAGAATTGATGGCCTGGCTTCTGGCTGCCGAGTCTTCTCTTCTGGTAGTACAGAGCAATTCGGAAACTGGAGAAGAGCATACATCTTCTTCTTATAGTTCTGCACTACTTGTCGGCGTTATTCAGAAGATCAACCAATTTCCCGTGCTCCATCATTTCTCAGCAACACGCGCCGCCGCACCAGACGACCGGAAGCTGAGGGGAGCAGCCGGCCTTTATATCTCTCTAATTACGCAGTTGTTGGATCATCTCCAAAGCCAAGGTCACAATGTGGAACTTGATTTTCTAGAAAGGGTCATCCGCCATCTCAAGAAAGGCGAGCGAAAAACTCGACAACTTCGTCGGACCTTCCAAGAGCTGGTTGACAGGCTTCCAATTGGGTCAGGACTCTTCATCATCGTGGATTCGCTTTGGAAGCTGCAGGACTCTGAGAGCGATGAAGAAGTGGAACATTTACTGAAATTGGTCAAGAGTGACGCAAGGCAAATCAAATTGTTTGTGACAGACGCATTGTCATTGCGCATAATCGACCCTCTCACGGCTTGGATGAAGAAAACTCAACGCCGCGCGGAAAAGAAGGACCTTGCTACACCAAAGGAGAGAGTTTGTGTATTGGAACCTCCTGATGATGTGGATGGCTGCCACACCGACTTTAATGTTGCTTGGATCAAGGAAGAACTCCAAGGTTCAGTGGAGAAAGCGAACCTGTCACGGTCTGGATCTTCTGTTGGCAGTGGTGGAGTCTAATTGGTCTACCGTATTCATCAAAACTTGCATCAAGTTTCAAATGCCTCCATGTGGTGATGATTATATGGAATAAATGTCAGTCTCGAACTAGCTTCATGATGCTTAAAGAGTCGTGGTATTAGTGTTCGGCAACTTGAAACCTCCCGGAACCCGTGTTTGCAGAATTTGCTCTGGGTCATACTTGGCCGACACCTGCTGCAGAAAGGCAATGTTCTCTTGGCCATAGGTCGCAATCGGATCCTGCGTCTTGTCGGCATAGTTGAGGTACGCGAACTCGACGTCAGTGCCCGTCTCGAGGCTGCGCTGCCTGACAGTCTCGCGATATGAAACCAGGTGCGCCCTCGCCGTGTCTTCCAGCTCTGAGCCCTGGAACACCATGAAAACCTGAAAGAGCACACTGTTGCCTTGTTCTCGGTCCATGCCCAACACATTACCGCCTCTTTCCACGCCGTGGTCAAACAGAATCTTGGGAAGGGGCTGGAAGACGGTGTAGAGGCTAAAGGTCTCATCACCTGTAGCATTTTTCCAGTTGGTAATAAAGGCATTGTGCTGATCTACAATAAATTGTAGAATCTCGGGGTCATTTTTGACGGTGATGGCGAACCAAACATTTCTTGAGTTTAGATGGTTAGACACTAGGTTCCAGGCAGCTTGACTGGGGTTGATGAGGACTCACTGGTTACCCTTGGCGAACTCGAGCTCCTTTGCGAAATTCAAATGAGTATCCTCTCGAAGGGTTGAAGATACGGTCGGCTCAATGGCCGCATACTCTGCATATGCCGACGCGTTGACAGTTCCAGTAGTATCATGCAGCGCCGAAATAATGACGGTTTCGTTGGACCCCGCAACCCACGACCAGAAGGAGAAACATGACCCCAATTGATAATTGACAATATTGTCGACGAAATTTGAGAATGCCGCCACGACCTGGTTCGTGGCGCTGTTGGGGTGGATGACGAGCCCGCCGTAGATGTTGCCCTGTTCAAACGCTTGTATGTCAAAGCGCGTTACGATACCGAAATTGGAGGAGCCGCCCTTGAGAGCCTTCCAGAGATCGGGGTTCTGTTCGCTGTTTGCCTGGATAATTTCACTGCAGTAAATTATGAGCGATTTTTATTCCAGGCGAGGTCCTTCAACCGTAAACCACTTACCCAGTAGCCAGGACAACTTCATAGTTGACAATGTTGTCGCAGGCAAAGCCCACCTTGCCGCTAAAGAAGTTGTTGCCACCGCCAAGAGTGAAGCCACCCACTCCCACGGTGGAAGTTCTGCCGCCTGGCGCGGTGACGCCAAAAGTCTCCTGTAGAATATATTAGTTCCTGGAGAGAATGCACTTTTCTATGTGTCTAGACTTACAAGAGTCGAGTAGACGTCTTGCCACAGCGATCCGCCCTGGATCTTGGCTACCTTATTGTCGGCGTCGTACGCTGTCTTGTTCATGAGTCCTTGAGCCATCATTAGCCATTGATTTACTTCAACATCTCAATGACCTAGATTTCTATACCAAGATCGATGGTGACTCCATCGTGTATGTCAGCCGCAGGTCCCCACGCCATATGACCACCACAGCGGACAGCCCAATTAGTCATGGACGCATCCTTCAGACTCTTGACCACTTGTGAGACCTGCTCGGTGCTAGTCGGTTGAACAATGCACGATGGGCTCCGACGGGCCGAAGCCGAGTAGTAATCGGCCTCACGGGCGACGTATTCCGTGCTGTTGGGCCGGTACACTCTGACGCCAGCAGCCTCTAGAGCAACGCACTTTGGTGGTCAAGTCAGCATGACCATGTCAAAGTATCGAGAAAGTGCTACTGAGGGACAACCCACAGTCTCTTCAATGCTCATTAATGACGAGTTCGACATGTTGTATGGACCAGAGGAAGCTGTCAAATTCAAAGTAGCGACGGTCCGTAGAAGTGCCAGGGCTGGAATCAAGGAACGCATTGTGAACTCTTTTGTTATGGATCAAGGAAAGTCAGTTGTTTTGAAACACTATCTTTTTATCCACATGGGGGTGCATCTGGGGAAAAGAGACGATGCATGCAGGACAAAGCCCACACGCATGCGTCCTAAACAACATTATAAGGCACGCAGCCCAGACAGCCAGCCTACTATTGGCATCTCCATTGAACGGCTTTTTTTCGGTCACAGGCTGACAGCTTTTCGAGTCAGCGATGATCGTCAATTCAATCAGGCAATGCAGTATTTGTGCGCGACTATTGACTTGACACATCCATGTATGGTCCGCTTCAATCCAAGTCGACAAGAGCAATTGGGTCTGATGATCAACATGTTACATTACTATGCATGTAGCGACCCATTATGAATCTCCACTATTGTTTGCTCCATCGAAAGGTCGGCACACAGTACTGTGTAATTCTGCAGGGTTTCGGCTAGCCGTCCATGAGAGAAGTCCCTGGCAGCATCAGAGGGAGACCAGAACACCTCTACAATGCGATTGAGCAGAACGGTAGATGATCCCTCGTCTTTACGACTGTGCTAATTTGCCCAAGGTATACCACCAAGTCATTTGCAAGTGTCTCGCGAAGAAATTCCACCATTTGGTCCTGGATCATGACCATGCAAGAGATCTTCGGGAACAATGGACATTCCCGCGGCCATAGGCCCGTCCCGGTGCCGAATGCGTCGTTTGACCGGCTAAGCCCTGGAGATGCATGGGGCCATGACTGCGTTATGGTTGGATTGCGTTATGGTTGGATTGATAGTCCCCGTCAGATCCAGTACGGAAGAAGAAACCTAGTAATGTTCACCGGCAAGTGGATTCCGATGCTGCTTGGAAGTCCACAAGACCCTTGAAAGGATGTGATGTGATTTGACTACACAGTTGCCCCAGTTTGATTTTGCGGAGCCAGCCAGGCTGGAGTAGACCGATGAGCTTCCTCGCTGCCGGCATTGCTGGGGCGGGATGAGGTCGCATGTTTGCTTGAGTTGAATGTTTGCACAACAACTCGGCCGACTTTGAAAATTCAAGCATATTCACCATCTGATTGAGATGAAATGGCGTTTTCTTGACATTTTGCTGTCGCTCTTTCAAATCAGGAATATCTATTCTAAATTATATCGGGAAAATAAAGTTTGATTAACTAGCATTCAACGCGGCCTGAAGCATCTCGAAATGATACCATGCCTGTGTAGGTTGGTAGGCAATATTGTACAATGTCTTGGCTGCAGCATTATACCCCTTGCTCCGTAGCCCTTCTTAAATGTCATATTCAGTCCCTGTTTCCCGAATTCCCCGTGACAGGGTTCGGTAACGGGCAAGGTATGTAAACTGTAGATCAGCCTTCTCCCTTTTTCTTCGTCATGCAGAGCGTCTTGGTTTACTCCTTGCGTCGGCGCTCAATTATGGCTGTCAGTACGGGTATCGAGTACCCTCAACACTGTAGTGATATTTACTCACAAATCTCAAATTTTCTTCGTCCAGAATCAGATATTTCAAAAACATTGGCCGTAAAGTAAACTCCTTGAGCCGGGCAGTTGCTTCTAGCCGAGGATACGGCTTAGTACCATCCATTGATAATAACCCCAGTACACCTGACATTGATTGCAACGATTCGCGGTGGAGAAAAGCCTGAATACGACGTCGAGAGCATGTTCGGGTAGTAGTTCTTTGAGTCTTCAATGATACAGGATTTGGTGGTCCACGCAACCGGGGGGCTCATCGACACACACACCCTTGCATAAAACACAACCGTCAGGGCCAGTGCCGTCACAAGAAGTCAAGGTTCATGATCCGATGATACTTTGACAACTCAAAGACCATTTTTCAACATGGCATTCCTCCCAATACTTGAATCCTGTTTCCCTCTACTGGAATTGACCACGAAACCACCCAGCGACAATGTCTTTTCCAATCATAAACGGCACGGAAGTGCTTCTAGCAGCTCCGGATGGCTGGGTGGTAAACTTTACTCACCCATATAGGAACGAGGCCACCAAATCACACGTCCATCTCGCTTTTGGTTTAGAATTTCCGATTGCTACTCTGTTCCTGATACAGAGGCTATACACATCATATTTTGTTTTGCACAAGCTCCAAATCGAGGATTGTAGGTGCATGGCTCGCTGTTTCGCTTAGCAGCTCAATGACTAATCTGAGAATAGACTTGATAACTGCCGGCTGGGTATGAGACTTAGCTCTTGCAGCTTCAGTGTACGGGTTGGGACTGATTTTCAATGGCCAGGCATTTTTGTTCGCGACACAAGCGATGATGTTGCATCTTTTCCGCCGAGGACTTGTCGGTCTTCACGCTTGGGAGCAATCACTTGACAAGACCATATACATGACAGAGGTAAGATCAGCAATGCTTAATGCCCCCAGGGGGCGTCAACATGACCTCGACGCGATCTGACCGACTCTTTTTAGGTCATTCTTGCTCTCACATTAACAGCTATCGTGTAAGTCTTCTATAACCTAACTCACGCAAGGCAGTCTAATGTCTAATCAAATGAAGAATAGCGGCACCCTTTTATCAAAATTATCACTTTGCGCTTTCTACTATCGACTGTCGCCTGCCCGCTGGTACCAATACAGTATCATATTCACCAGTTTCCTCTGCATCGCATGCTTCGGGTCCGTCTTCTTTGCCGTCCTCTTTGCTTGCCGACCCGTTTCAGCTGCTTGGAATCTGCGACTCTACACAGGCGACAATTGCATTGCTCGACCGCCGTGGTATATCCTACAAGCAATCACGGGCGGCGTGACGGACCTCCTGCTCATGGTCAATCCAATTCCAACCGTGCTAGGTCTACAAATGTCTACAAAACACAAGGCGGCGTTGATTGCGTGGTTCGGTATCGGTACCATTACATTGGCTACGGCCGTGATGCGAGCTATCAGCCTCTTGTCCATGATCAGTAGCTCAGACACTCCTTGGACCATGGCCGATGCTATGTTGTGGCTGTACGTATTTGTCTCCGGCTCACATGGGGAGATGCATTGCTAATCGTGACAGAGTGGTGGAATCAAATCTCATTGTCCTTTGCGGCTGCCTTCCAACATTTAGGGTGTGGATCACCCACGTCTTTTCAAGAAGACGTCTTCCCTCCAAGGGCAACAGTGGAGGGGGCTCACAGGGGCAAGCTGCCCAGGGAACCCCACTGCGAACGTTTGGCCAGGGAAAAACCCGGCACTTTGATACGGTGGCAGAAATCGAGCGCGATAATATTAAGGCTGACGATGATTATAACGGGACAGAGCCTCCAACATCCCGCCACGGGGTAGCCGTCTCGGATACAGGAAGCGAGGAACGCATATTGCACACACAGACCAGAGTCATTTCCTCGTCCGAATAAGTCGCATTTTGGGTTCTATTATTCGGGTATTTTTCTCGGCTTCCCAAGCCATACGACTTTCTTGCAATACCAGATATAGTCGATTGCGCGGGTACGTAATCAGGAAAAGCTACATTGGTTCAGCGAGGTGCTGATGATGCGAGTAACTTGACAAGTCTACGCACTTATTGATTCGTGTCCTGCTCCAAACATATACAGCAAGCGCATATTCGGATCCTCACATGAGACAGATGTGTCCTACAAGTTTCATTCGTCTGCGGATTCAAAATGCTACCTTGGCCGTACTCTTGCCAGACTGGAGCAGCACCGTCCCCTGGTCACCATTCTCAGATTTACAGACCGGCAGCATTCCCTGCGAGGCTGCAACCGACAAGAACTGGTCTTGTCCCAGAGGCAAGCTATAGTATCCAACACACGCCAGCGATCTCGTCACATCTCGTCCCACCCATGGCGATGGGCGCCCCATACGTTTAAGCTTGAGCACCTTGATCCAGGGCGTTGAGTGTCAAATTGTACAGTGGCAGCATCTCGGCCCATCGCTCTGGGTAGTGTATTGTGAGGATGCTCATCATATCGTCGGACGTAATGTCCTTGGTGCCGCGAGGGCCCGAGTGATCCACAATGATTTGCTGCATCTTCCTAATCTCTTGAACCTCTTTGGCTTCATCCAGTGACGCTGGTTGCGGGGTCCATGCAGGAAGCCCTTCCTCCAGTCTGCCGGGTTTTGCGTGAGCATACGTTGGCGAGCCGGGCGGTGGACGTAGCAGGGCCTCGATGCGAAATTCCTTGATGGCACTCCTGATGTCGGGCCTGTCTCTGTCACCAAAGAATAGAGGAAGATTCCCTGGGGTGTCTTTTCTAGTGAGAGCAAGTCGTCTCAGAGGCTTTCTAAATGGTTTCCATCAATTAGTGTTTGCCATTGAGCAGGTGATCTGGATTGCCAGAACATAAGCGAGGAAATCAGCAGGGGATGGCTTCATGCCCATGTCCTTGGCCAGGGTTTGTGCCTTTGGGTCATGGATGGCGAACTTTTGATTGCAGGCCAAGCTGCCAATTGGTACTCCGGCCGCCTTTTGGCACGGCACCTTGTGGTATTTCCAGTCCTGCTTTTGGCAGCCCTTGGAGCAGTACTGGACGGCTTGGCAACGTCCGCAAGCTAAGAGATTGTCCCTTTGGCCGCTTTGGCATGCCTCATTGGCACACTTGGGCGTTGTCGGTGTAGACATTCTTTCTTTGAGGCCTAGAACCTCAGAGTCAAGGAAAAGAAGCAATGTCTTCTTGAATGTCTAGTCTTGGGCCACCTGAGCTTTACGAATTTCATAACGGTTTACTACCAGCATCAACCGTTTGATATTATCGTGCTGGGTCAGAATCGACTCGCGCTGCACTTGTCACTTATGGGCCACTACCCGTCAGTCTGCAAATGCAAATAGTCAAACGGCATTGATCTTGTTTGCGACGACCGATAGTCACCATTTCTTCACGATTCATGAACATACCCGAGGTGGTTCTGCACTATGCTAGATCCTTCAAACAACCAGGCTGAGTTTGGCTGACTACCCCAAGTAACTTTGAAAGTGGTTTTCGTGGCTGGCCACGGATCTCGGTCACTTGTAAAGCCAACTAGGAGCAACAAATAGAGTATTGCAGGTAAAGATTGTGGCAAAAACTTGATAACTTTGCAAACTTTTAGTAAATGTTCACTCACCGGCAATCGGCTCTGACTTATGATGTTGCCAACACTCCCAATCCAGATGCATTTTGATCGGATGCGCATTTTACACCAGGGTAAAAGTCTTGGCAACGTAGTTGCCCCCTGCACCTATACCCATGCATCATACAACTATTAGAAGTGATGTTGTAGAAATCATTCGTCGATACCCGTCATACCCTTGGGGAGCTCTCAAAACATTTGTTTGCCTATGTTCGCACAATGAACCAATAAACGTCCGAATTTGCTCTTTGGGGGCTGACGCAGATTTTGGTGTGCTGACGGATCCCAATTCAGCTGCGTAGGGCTGAGCATTGATTGGACCTACGACCCCGTATCTCATCCCGAACCTGCTTACTTTCGCTTTTCACGGTAGAAGATACGTTATCGCGTTGAGGCATCCCATAGGCCATGTAAGAACGTCAGGAGATTACTCACAACCTTGCCCTCTCTCCGCATAGCCAGGATAAATGTCTATCAATCTCGTACGTATAAACATGATCTAACCATCACACATTCCCACAATCCATTGTGCAATTTCCCCAGATGTCTCATCATTGCAACCACATATCCACACTGTTGCTTTCATGGCTCCAATATGTCAGACCTAGCAGCTGTTCTGGCATCGCTGCCAGCCTCTGAGAGAGATGCTTTCCTGGACGGGCCAGCGCTGACCCCACCAGATGGGACTACACCGAATTTCGACAATCCCCCAAATGGCAGTCAAAATAGAATGAGCGCGGCAGTCATCTCGATTTGTCTAGCAGTCATGATTATTGTCGTTGCCATCAGAGCCTATGTAAAAATATTTTGTGTGAAGAAGTTCCACATCGAAGATTGTGAGTACAAGAACTTGGCAAAAGTTCTGAATATATACTAAATCCATTAGCAGTTGTCTTGGGGGCAGCATTTGTACGTCACTGAGCACCGTTAGGATAATATTGTCAATTTTGTGAGGGGTACTGATCATTGTAGGGAACATACATGGGATTTGAATGGGTTGCCTTCAAGACAGTATGGTGGCCAGGCTACTTCATCCACCAGTGGGATGTGCGCGTTCGACAATTGGCTGAAATATTTCGCGTAAGTTTTTGAGACTTGTAGAGACGATAGTCATTCTAACAGCGAAAGCAGCTTACTTACCAGGCCGACAACTTTTATGTCTCAACCCTAGCCTTGATAAAGGTAGCCATATTGCTGGAGTGGATCCGCATTTTTTCTCCGAAAGGAACTCGAACTGCATTCTTTTGGGTTTGTCATGTTCTAATGTGGCTAAACGTGATCTTTTACGTCTCCGTCATCGTATCTTTAAACTTTTCATGCATTCCGCGGGCATATTACTGGGATAAAACAATACAAGGCGGCAAATGTCTTAATGTCAAGGCTGGAACCTTGGCTCTCACCGTCTTCAATCTAATTTCGGACATGGTTGTTCTACTTGCTCCTCACAGGATCATCTGGAAACTCAAGCTCCCTTTCAATAAGAGACTTGGCATCTCTTTCATATTTGCCATGAGTATTTTGTAAGTTGTATCCTCAAAGCTTGTCCCACTTCTGTTGCTGACTTGAATAACTGCAGCTGTGTTGCCATCGCGGCTGGCCGAGTTGTCAATGCAGTGGATGACCTTTCGGTCATTGATGTTACCTATGCCTTGTCGACCGAGGGACTCACCGCTCATGCAGAGATGACGATATTATTCTTTGTAATCTGCGCGACGTCTATCCCCAAGGCGGCCGAGGATCTGAGGCAACAGCTATGTTTTGTCTGTCGCGCTTCTCAAACAGAGCCTGTTGTAGAAAGCAGACGCAAGGATAACATAATACACCTAGGGAGCCCTACAATGATGTCCTCGTTTGAGGAACTGTCGATTGATGTTGAAGAAGGTCACAAGATCAGTACGCGATGTACTAGGGAAGACTTTATATAGGGCTGCTGGTTTGGCACCGGTCATAAGCTAAAAAGCTTTACCTTTGGCCGCTTTGGCATGTCGCATTGGAACATTTATCGAAGACTACCGACCTGCCTACAATTTCACTATCAACAATAAAAAACATTTATTATATGAAATTGAGCGATTGGTAAAGTCATCAGTGATTATTCCCACATCTGGTTGCATGTAAGCATGAAAGGGCGATGTCTGAGACAATGACCAAGCACGGCGCGGTTCCGCTCACCCTGCTAGCTTGGTCATCAATGGGGTGCGGAATTAGCACCGAGAACAACACTGAGATTGTATAATCATACATATCATCAATATAGCAGATTTGATAAGCCATTCCTTGCTGAGACCTTTGAGGATTTATTATTTATTCTTCAAACCTCTCCTCGTTTTTATCTTCTTGTCCCTCACCAACAACATCATTAAGCAACTGACAACTCGACCATCACATCAGTACAAAAACTGCTATCTATTACTTCTGCCTCATTCATTCTCCAGATAATCACAAATCAAGATGGCTGCACCACCTTCCGATGCTTACACGACCCCCTTCCAGCTCACCAAGAGCATGCACCGGGACGTTTACTCGGCCATTGACCCAGCCACCAACAAAGAGTTAAGTGCCACCGATAAAGTCATTATCGTCTTTGGCGCGACTAGTGGGCTTGGATTTGTAAGTAAAAGCCGTCTGATTAAGATCCTTTCCATCACACCTAATCCTTGTCTTCATCAAGGCCACTGCCAAGTCATGGAACACTGCTGGGGCCAAGGGCATTGTTCTCGTTGGTCGTAACTCTGAAGGACTGCAAAAGGCCGAGAAAGACCTGGCTGCAAAATCCGAGGTGCTTTCCATCACCGCAGATGTAGGCTCGGTAGCAGACACAGATGCAGTATTCAAGAAGACGCTAGAAAAGTTCGGCAGAGTTGATGTCGTCGTCACTGCTTTCGGCGCCATGGCCGTAGCTCCTGTTGGTGCGCAAGAGCCTGCCGCCTGGTGGGAGAACTTCGAGGTCAACACCAAGGGTGTGTATCACGTCGCTCACTCGTACATTACCGTGGCGGGCGGCAACGGCACCCTTATCAACATGGTCAGTCTGGCCGCCTCGTTTGTCGCACCTGGCATGTCCGGCTACAGCGCCTCGAAGCTGGCCGTCATCAGACTGGGCGAGATTCTCGACGTCGAGCAACCTGGACTTCGCGTATTTTCAATCCACCCGGGCATAGTCATTGCTGAGAATGGTCGTGGTGCGGTCTTCGAACCCTTCAGGCCATTCACCCACGACACGGCCGCTCTTACTGGTGGCCTTACGACTTACCTCGCCACACCCAAGGCCGACTTCTTGAAGGGAGGATACCTTCACGCCAACTGGGATGTTGTCGAGCTAGAGAAACACAAGGATGAAATTGTCGAGAAGAAACTTGCCAAGCTAGCATTCCTGAATGGTCAGCTTGGGCCAGAGGGCCACCCTTGGTCATCGTGAGGAAATTGCCATGGTAGAATATGGATGTGATCTCTGATTCGCTGCTTTCACTGAGCCGATCGGTCGATGGGCAGGCTGGCAATCCAAAGTTCCATAGATATCACCAAAGCCCTGATCATGTCAATCTTGGCTCCCTGTCTTACATTTCTACAGACTGCGAACCTAGTCCCTATATTCATGCCACTTGGGCGTGTAGCAGGAATCCTTCATTCTATGTTTCGGTCTCGTCAATTTTAATTCGTCTTTCCTTAGAGCAACAATAAAGGGTGCATCCATCCAGATCCAAGACGTCAAGTCTTACAATATGTGAGGGCAACGACCGCGACCAGTGATGTGCCTGCCATGACAGTTTACTTCCATACGCAATGCTCGAAATTTCCATAGATCGTATAGCCAGCATGAATAATATTTTTTTAAAAAAAATAAAAAAAACCTAGTGGAATAAAGAGCCAGTAGGTGGAGAATTGTGCTAGTTTTACGTTTGTAATAATCCTATTCGCCGGAGTTTGGGGGTACGGGTGTGTCCGTCTGTCTGGATACGCCGACGTCATCTTGGCTTCTAGAAGATTAAGGTTAGTGTGGGGAGCCAGCGCCAAACCCTCCCCCACTTGCCCTCAACCTGCATAACCCGCGCAACACCTTTACTGTCTCTAGGCAAGTGTCCATCATCGTCCGCTGATCAATTTATTTTCGCGACAGCGACCCTCTTGCGATGGCCGCAATAGATGCCGCAAACGACGATGCATCAGATACATCTATTGGCAGCCCGAACCTGGATACTGTGGCCAGCTGCTCGACTGTGGACGACGACCCCAATGATGGATTCTGCGGTCTTCTTCCTGGCAATACCTACATGATTCTAGAGAGGGAATCGCTCCGAGCCATGACTCTCACAAATGAAGGATTGCGCCTCAAGCACATCGAGGAAGGCCAAAGCCTGAACAATCGCTGGCTCTGTGTTGAGAAGAATGGCTGGCTTGGTCTCCAGGAACCAAAGTCCGGCAAGTACATTGGACACGATGGGAAAAGCGGAGTGCGCGCCGCGGCCAATGGGTTCCACGCGTGGGAGTACATCACCACCAGAGACCGCCCTGGCGGCGTCTATCAGCTGCTCGTTCCGCATTGGTGGGAGGCGCTTAGGGTTATCGTCGTTGCCGAGGACGGTGAAAGTCTGATTACGCGACAGCACGGAGAGACGCTCTGGAGATTTCTCAGGACATCTGGAACAGGAAGCAACTGAATTTTCACCAAGATTCGAAACGACACAGTTGCACATGGTCCAAACCATCTCATGTTGTAGAGGGATCGCATGTAACGAGAAGAAACACTCTTGCTTGAAGGATATCCCGTACCCCCAGCAATGGCTCAATGTGAGATGATTCACACCGTTTTCGAGTCTTTGCATTATTACATTGTGTTGCTGAGGGTCATCAAACGATCTGACATCCACCGGCCTCATTGGGACGCGACTTTTACAACTTTTCGAATAGAAACAACATCTATTTAATCACATTGCATCTTCGCTACAATATCAAGGGAAGAATTGGAGAGAAAACATCTCGATGGGGAGAATTGGAATCTCAAACACTGACAACAGTAAGCTGGCGGGCTTGGCAAGACACCTACGAAAAGGATTCTTCAACGGGGACCTTTATTGAATTTACGGCCAACGGGTTGAATACGCGTGACGAAGCGCCTCGAATAACACACGGGGCCGCTGCTTTTTAATTCACAACCCAACAAATGCATACCATTATCAAATGGGTAGAGATACAAAGTGAAATAACTACATCAGATAATAATACAGATGTGAGGAAGGCATTACTTCCAATGCTATACATTCTGCCAGTATGCCTCGCTCCATTCCCATAGCTTGCGGCCATAACCCTGCCCCCGTCTTCCCCTGGTTTCGCTGCACGCAAGATGTCCTTCCGTATTATTTCGTCATCGGAGCGAACTCTGCCCCCAAGGAATCGTAATGTACCAAGGTTATCCATTTCGCTTGGATGCTAGAAGTCGTAATGCTACTCTGCCATCATTGGATCTTACGATGCGATTTGAGGGTTTGTATTCTGATGGAGTATCGACAGACTCTTGTATGCACCGACAACCAACCAACAAGCAACAACCAAAGAACCAATGAGCTACCTGTTGTAGGCCTTTCGGTGGACGTCTCCTGCAGGTCGCTCCTAGGCATGACCACTTGCAATATACTTCGAACCCCGGGTATAACACAAGAGTCAAGGCCTACCACACCCAGATATAACGAAGGTCTTCCATTATTGCTGCTTCTCTTGCCCTTCGGTCCTTCACTGATGATTCTCTTGCCTTTTCGTCCGCCTGTGGTTGTGTGTGGCACAGCCTTTCCCTTTTTGACAGAATGAGCCCGAACCAAACGAGAGTTGTCGTGGAAAGCGGGATAGTGAAGCAACAGGCCAAGACCACAGGATTCCAAACACTCCTCCCCAATGAAATGGCGGCCGAACCGATGATGGAAGCCATGAGGTATGCAACAATCAAAAAGGAGCTCTCCCACCGTATATCACGGTCTGGCATGCCAGGTTCGGCTTCAGTGAAGACTCTTAGGCACTCAGGAATATGTAACATCCTTTGTATCTGACGACCTGTTCGTATCACAAGTTCCCGTCGTTGAACGATTTGCTTATCGACAAGAAGGTAACCGGCAGTTAGTACGCTTCTGTAGAGGATATTTGCACAGCATTCTGCGAATATATCATCCATTATGTCGTTATGGCAGAACGGTGGTAGGTAGTGGTATGGGTAGGTAACGTTGATGACGCAGGATCAGCTCGAGTAACAAATTGTTTTGTGAATATTTCCAGGACTGGAGCGGCCAGGTACCAAGTTTAGGAAATCGAGTTCGGATGACCAACAGGTGGGAGAGGCGTGGGTCCCCCATTCCGGGACGACTAGAAAACCTTTATATTGGAAGTAGGGGTGCTGTTGTTGTCAAGCTACCTTGATGGAAGAAGTCCGTGACTAGGTTTTCAAGTAGTGTTAAACCTTACCTACGGAGAAAACATCCTTTTAGGGTAGCAAGCTGCACCTTATGCGCCACTCTTCAAAACATAGGACGTGTCCAAATGCAAAAACGACAAATTCGAACCCCGGATCCTAGACAGGTTTGCGGATTTAGATATGCCTTCACTGCTAATTTCTTTCAGCCTGAGATAAGTGTGGAGCTCCTGCTTTTGCGATATGGCTTAGTGGTATATTGCAACAACATTTGATTATTATTTCACATTTCCTCACATTCTAGCGAGTGTGTCATTCTTCAAGTCAATTGTCATATAGTTCTACCAGTTGGTACTGACCGCCTTGCCTCCGGTACTCATGAGATATCTTCTGATCTGGTACGTGCTGCCAGATCTACAGTACCCAAAGCTCTTGGACGAATTTTGCAACCGTCTTGTCGTATACTTCCTTCCGAGGTTGGTGGAAATAGCCATGATTGCTTGGGTGGATACTATACAGCTGTCAGTCTGTGGATTGAAGTCCTCACGCTTCGATGGTACGTTTATTTCCTGCCTGACCTCTGATGGTCGTGACTAACATACAAGCATAAATGAATCCCTCCATCAACATTCGCGACTCACACGGACCAAAATCCCGACCCTACGATTCGTATTGAAGAGAGACACTAGAAATGAGCACTAGAACCCTGATCGCTGCACTGTGCCATCAGGCAGGAGTTTATGACTCAATTCACTACCACGGCACGGGATCTTGGCTGGAAAGGTGTTTGGCGATGGATGGCAAGCGTTATATTGCGGGTAGGACAGCGTATTCCTTTTCACGACTTCAAATCTCACCTAAGCCAATCTCTGAAGAGGAAGATATGATTGAGAAAGTATAGAAAATATCTAAGTTAATCTACGATTTACAAAGGAGAGGTTCTGAAGAGTTATCCAATATACCCGAGAAGGTAATCTGTGGTGGGTACTGACTATATCAGTACAAGATCATTACCATACATTCTGCCAGTGTGCCTTGTTCCAATCCCTTGTGTAACGTATCGAGTTAAGTTTTCGTAAATTGAATATGCAATCGAGACCGAATTTATTTGTCATACCGTAGCATTTGCCAAAAGAACCCACGAGGCTGCGGCCATATGTCTCGGGGTTAAAGCAGCGTCGTCAGCACTCTGCGACTTGGAATCACATCCGTGGGGGCGTATATGACATAATAGGACGACCGAAAGCAGGTGACCTGGCATGAATACATAACTGCCCAATCATGAAAACGCCTGTTGTTCCAATTTCTGCATAAGAACTCTGTTGGAGTCGATCCACATTGAACATGCTCTTCTCCTCCTTTGTTTTTTAGGCCTTGTTGAACAACAACTTCTCGTTTTCATCATTGAAACCATAGTATTCCAGCACTCTTAAGGTTCTCAAGCCTGCGCACATCCTGCCAATCATACTGGATGCTACATGTGCCAGAGGTCTTCCGTCACAAAGGTAAGCGAAACGCACACGCACACACACACTGAGCCATGCAGCACTGTTCTTGCAAGAGCTTCTGTTGTTGGCCATTCTGACGAGCATTATAACGTAGCTATCTGTAGTGCTTGCATTCTTGTTGATATCATCTTCCTCATTCCCACACTTGCATTGAGCGTATCTGTTTCCAGTTCATTATCGACTACAACGAGGGAACTTGTAGCATTGCTAGCCTCAACTAGCACACAAGATGGACCCAGCTTCTCTTGCATCGGACAACATCGGTGGCGGCCTGCGCGCATTCGCTATTGTGATGACTGTTTTATCTGCAGTATCTCTGATCTGTCGGATATGGTCACGAGCGCTGCATAGGCCGACAGTATACGAGGGAGAACATCGCTTCTGGTGGGATGACTGGATTGCTCTCGCAACAGGCGTGCGTTGTTTGCTCTTGTCGCCTACAGTGTTCAGCTGGGACGCTTCGCTGACGTAATTCACTTCAGGTCTTCTGTTTTGCACAGATGGGTGTAATAATTGCAATGATTGATTTCGCAGGGCTCGGTCGCCATATTGGAACGTTGACGCTGGGCGAGATCGCTCTTTTTTCGAAGCTCTTGTTCACCACAGAACAACTGTTCGGATTCACAATTTGTCTTTCGAAGGTCTCGGCGCTACTTTTTTACAAACGCCTTTTTCTGCCCGCCACCGATTCAAAGACCTTTCGTACTGCTTTCTGGACAGTATTTGCCCTCAACATTGCCTGGGAAGTTGGTGCCAGGTTCGGCTCTGTTTTCAACTGCACTCCCGTCGCAGCGTCCTGGGATCCGTTCATGAGAGGAAAATGTGGCTCTACGACTACTCTTTTCTTTGCAACTGCCCTCACCAGCGCCTTTGTAGATTTGTGCATCATGATCCTGCCTCTGCCAAAGATCTGGGGCCTTCGCATGACCACGTGGCGCAAGATTGGGCTCAGTATTGTTTTCTTCTTGGCCTCTTGGTAAGGATTACACTATAGTCTACGTGACCGACGACCCACTGATCCGTTTTTATAGCGTGATTATCATGTCGATTGGACGTGTGATTACAATCTCCATCATCGGTGGAAGGTTACAAAGGGACGCAACTTGTGAGTCTACTTAGTCCTGATGTCCGACCTGAGATCCTCAATGTGCTGACTTGGGCTTTCTTTTCCAGATGAGACAGTCCATTTTGCTTACTGGGCCACGGCCGAGACACCAGTCTCCATTGTCTGCATAAGCCTTCCCGCCATGATACCACTTTATCTGCACCTTCACAACGTTCTACTTGAGCCATTTGGCAGGAAACTCAGCTCTATGACTTTCTCGCTAACCCGAAGCAAGAGCACAATGAGAGGCGAGAGGGGTGATTTGACCCAATCAAGAGAAACTGGCTCATCAAGGACGGACTACTATCACTCGAATGTAGAAATGTACACACGAGTCTCGGAAAATAGCCAACAAAGAATGTATCTGCCGCGTCCTGATGGGCTACCTTGGTATTCTTCTCATATACATAGGGACTTAGGAGCGGAGGAATAAACGCATTATAGTATCGTCTACTTACGCTTTCAGATGTTTACAGTGTTCTGATCTGATATCAACGGGAACTCGCCAGACCCAAAGTTTCCATTACCTAAGATGCGCCGTAAGCTTTTGATTTCAGTACACTTTTCGCTCCTATACGCCTTTGTCCGTGTTCCTTTTGATCAAGTCACCACTTTTATATCATTGCCTTTGAAGCATCTAGTCAAGATCGGCGTTTAGGAGAAATCTTTGTATATTCAGGCCTACTTGAATCACATATCATTTTTCTATGATTTCTCCCATCCTTGTGTATTCTCATGATATAGCGCTTCAGCCGCGGTGCCCACCACGGCATCGTGAAGCCCTTGCGCCCTGCTTTTAACGATAATTATACGCGGTGGAATTGCCGCCAGTATTCCCTCGCTGTGGTTGCTGCAATGACTCCTCCGTAGAGGAGATATGGATGCAGTTCGATCGCTTGCGTTCCATGCTGAACAGCCGTACGCGGGAGGCGCCTCACACTCTCTGGCCATTGAAGAAATGCTCCCGGTGGCCGTAGAACAACTCGCTGTTTTCCTTGGCCCGCCGCACGATCGGCATGGCTGAAAGACCCAGCCCCATCCGAATTTGCTGTAGTTGCGAGGCTTCCTGCAAGCTCACCCAACTTTCCCCTTCATCTTCTATCAGCAAAGGGAGATGTAATGCCTCGGGGCGCAATCCCAGGGTCTCGTAAGCACCACTCAGAATCCAAAGCGTCAGCCGAATTCCTACGATATGGTTGAGCCCGACGTGCCCGCTGTGTCTCACGTGTCGGATCATTTCGATATTGTCTCTCCCGATCAGCCCGAAGAACCGAAGCACAGCTTCGTGTCGTCCATCGAAGATGCTGTGCGCCCAGAAGATTGGGAGCGCCTCGGCGCGTATCTGGCGCGAGGTCCAGGTCAAGGCAGGCTCGGGGATCCGCGGCTTGTGCTCCTGGCTGATTCGAACCACGGTGCCGCCGAGGACGAGCCTCCATATCTCCATGCGCAACTCGGCTGGAAGTTTGAGGAGCATCGGTGACGATGTATGGTTGTGGCTAATCGCTGATGAGGCTGGTTCTTGTGTGTGCTGCTTTCGCATGGTGTCACAACTACAAGCACATAATCCAGATGGGGACGATGCCAAACAGTAGCGACGAAAGACGAATAAAAACTGACTTCAATGAGATAAACAAAAGAAAACGACCGTTTGACTTGTTCGTTTTATAAATTGAGTATTCCAACCGTTATCTGCTGCGCCTGCGAGCCTAGGGGCAGCAGTTTAGCTCTAAAACCAGTAGCAGGCCCGCCACTCCGCAGGTGTGTCATCGGCGAGCGCACAGCCCCCTGCGAAGGCCGTATGTCACGGCTCGGCCGCCACAAATCCAACACCATCATTGTCTGTGATTTCGAAAACAGAGATGGGAGACTTACTCAGACTCTTGAGCTTGGTTATATTTTGGGAGATTGCTCATGGTCATTATGCAAAGATCAAAAACAAATTAATAAATGGTAACAAGCACTCTTTGTCCTGTTTAAAACTCCCGCTTCGCTAAGGTTAGCTGTTTATTATCTCGATTTTCCAGCCCTTAGTTTCGTGCTCTGATGTGGTTCCTCCATAAAGAACGCACTGACCACATTCAGCCAATCAAACCACCAGAACGAAGCAGAGCACCCAAGGTCTGGATCATTATGAACGCCATAAACACCCTTCGTAAGGCTAACGCTGGCAGCCTTGCCGTAGATTTTACGGATTTCGACGGTCTCTAACATTAATTCACGACTACCCATCTGGATCAGGTGTATCCACGTCGTTAAAGATGGTCGCAATCGTCCGGTTCTGGGGCTGCTTTCGGATTTTCGATACGACAAGAATTGACGATTTCGTGGATGAGTTTACATCGATTCCAAGTCCATATTAAGTGGCTCGCCGTCGTGCTATGGTGCGGAAGCCCCGTCCCCCACCAGCTTGAAGCCTTACACAGACCATATAGATAAAACTACATCCGTACTGTGGTGTTTTGGGTAAGAATTAGCATATAGGTCGATAATCTTGGCTCGTGCGGGTGCAAGTTGTGCAAAATGCCTATAGCACGTAGAACTATGAAATACAGAATATGCAAAAATAGACCGCAGATTACACCCGGTCGTTTAACACGCATAGCACCCTGTATGACTTGTATGGATCGTTGAGTTGGTTGCCTTGCAGCACACCCTACGATACCACAATGCGTTTACGTACTGCAACAATTTATACAGGACTGAATTTCCTTACTTGCTACATGGATACTGGCATTCAAAAGTGCGAGTCTGGTCCAGGCGTTGTTGGCAACATTTTATGAGGGACATAGGCAAGAAACAAACTTTCAACAGCTACGGCGTTGGGGCAACCCTTGAGGCCATTTAATTCCAGTCATCGCCGACCAGCTGGCAAGTGGCGTCACCATTGCTATCTCTCAATGTCCACGGCTTGGTTGTCACATCATGACTAAGCCGAACAACATGCAAGTCCAAGAGAGGATTTTGTTCGTTTCGAAGGATTACCAGGGCGTATCACAAGACATAGAACTTGTCCACGCCGTTGATGTGCGTTGCCAAGGAAAAGAAAGAATACCTCACCCCGCGTGCCATCTCAGCACCTGTACCTAGGTACCTACCTACCTAGGTACATAACCATCACGACTTGACGGTTGATGGTTGGCTCGTGCGCTTGCATCCTTCCACCTTGCATCTACCTTGCATCTAGATATCAGTGGTGCGGCGCACGTTGAGGACACTCTTCTTTCCTTCCTCAATATAAAAAACAACCAGATAGATTGCCCTTACGCTTGTCTCACTCAGTGATCGTCACTATTATCAAGGCAGATTGATTCAAGTCGCCGCCCTACCGCATTGCCTTCAATGACGGTGAGTCGAGTGTTGCCTTCAAATGTCGTCTGCCTCGCTAATTCTCAAGTCAAAGTCTGGCTTGTTTACCTGCAGTCACAGCAATTGCTACATACCCATCAGGACTTTTCTGAATGTCTTGCATGACTTACATTCGCCATCATGATTATATCAAATCCAACAACAAGCTGCATTCTCATGCTGTTTGCCATTCTCGCTAGACTTATCAGCGCATACGACGGTAATGGGCCACCATGCGAAACAGACGAGTGCTTCGTCGACATCAAGTCGGATGATGCGTTATGCTGGATGGATGACGACAACCAAAACATTCATTACCTCAGTCCCCTGTATGGCGGCATCCACCATATCCCGAACGCGTGTAGGCAATCGAATATATTCGGCGGCGATGGGTACCTTGTTGCATATCCCTCGATAGGCGGCCTTGTGATGCTCCGAAACCCGTTGGCCGTAGACCTTCAATATCTCGGTCTACCACACACGCACGATACCGCGCGGTCGCCGGATGAAGACGACAGCCTTGCCACTCGCATGGTCCAACTTGGCGCGCAGTGGTGGCCGGATTGGAATCTATACTTTAGGCATTCGCACAACGTTGAGTCCGGGACTTTCTACGATTATCATTTCCCCTCAAAGGTATACGTTGCCTTTCCTACGACTGGTGGTGCCTGGGTGGCCAATTTCACTCAAGATGATTACGGGTATCAGTTTAGTGACTTGGCCTGCCAGCCTTGGCTTTCCCATGCACCAAGATTGTGGCAGATCAGATTGCGATACTCGTTAAGCATGGATGACAAGGCCGAGATAATGAAGGAACTTGGCGCGACGTTTTACGCCTCTGTCGATCAGATTCCTGGCCTCGCAAAGACTGTCCATGAGGCTGTCAGCTTGTTTGAGCCGTTCAAAGAGCGACTGAAAAACATGGATGATCCTGCCTATAGCGCTCACTTTTGTACATGGAGCGAGGAACAGGACAAGAGCACATCAAATGAGAAATTGGAGAAGCCAAGATGGGGAATATGGTCGCTTTTCAATGGATTGCCTTGATATTGGTACGCAAGGAACTGAACACATTACATATGTACAAATGGTACATGGGCAAGTACCTACAAACTACCTAGGGTGTGCTGCAAGGCCAACCAACCCAACGATCCGTACAAGTTATACAAAGTGCTATACGTATTGGAGGACTAGGTATAATTTTCGATAAATTTATGCATATTCTATATCTTATGATTCTATATGCTATAAGCATCTTGCACAACTTGCATCGGCACGAGTCTAGAGTACCGTACCGACATAAATGCTAATTCTTACCCACAACACCACAGTACGGATATAGTTTAATCGATATGGTCTCCATAAGGCTTCGAGCTGGTGGGGGACGGGCTCCTGCACTATAGCACGACAGTGGGCCAGCTACAGCTACCGTCACACTTGAGCTCTAATGTGTAGCCGGATGTAGCCGGAAAGAAGAAAAAAAAAACATACAACACCGGGGATTCCCCAGCCGTCACCGATCTGAGTACTAATCCAGCGGTTACTAGTTTATCTAGGGCAGAGCGGACGGGATGCCGAGTTTTCTAGTACCTATGGTCGTATGTGAAAGAATCTTAAAGAAATGTTCTACATATTGATATCTCTAGTGGTCTCATGGCTCGAGGCATTTCTGCTGCCCATTGGCGAATCCAAGGGCCGTCGGCAACTGCAGTAACGCAGGACGACCCAATGTTGCAGCTGGCATTAATGGCGATGTCAAAGTCGATAATGATAAGTTATCTTCATAATACGGGTGCGTTTAAAGTTTAACGTAGTAGAAAAGATATACAACGGCTGAAGCGCTATGTTATGAGAATACACAAGGACAAGGGAAATTATAATATATATATAATTTAAATAGGCCTAAATATACAAAGATTTCTCCTAAACGCCGATATTAACCAGATGCTTTAAAGCCAATAATTGCCATCAAAATAGATTAAAATGGATTAATTATTAAGAGAGTCTAAGTTATCCTTATTTATCCGTGTACATCATTCATTGCCCTGTCGCCAGTTCCGCATGTCTTTCCAACATTCTGCTTAGTATTGGCTCCAATCAATGGCAGAAACATCTTCATAGCACTTGACGTCCTCGGTAATGATGTTGAGCTCCTCGACGCCCTCGAGGGTTGGGCCAGAAGCGCACTGCGCAAGCAGCTTGATGGCGACACAGTTGTCGGGCACGACCGTCTCACCGCGGACAGGGTACTGAGGGCGAGTGTAGGCCGGTGCCGTCTCATTGCAGACGACCAGAGTGCTGCCAAAAGGTCCAAACAGGTCAGCATAAGGGCTGCGCAGTCCGGGGGTGATGCCTGCGCCCTTGGTGCCGAGCCCAAAGTTGAGTCCAATGTAGACCTCGTCGGATGTGGTCGAGTCGGAGAACTGCAGACCCTGCGGCGTATAGTAGGGCTGCCCGTTGCCGTCGGTGCTGGCTATGGGCGGCAGCGCGACTGATGTGGAAGCGCTCGAGACTTCCTGCCCGGTTCCGTTGACGAAAAAGGTTGCGCCCCCGTTGGCGCTCAGAATGGCCGCGTTCAAGCCCGCGCCAGAGTGAACACCGCTCAGAGACCAGCCATTCACCGGCGGATCGAAAATGTTCTTTGTGGTATCGGTTACATTGGCGACGAGAGTGAAGAATGTGCTTGTAGAGAGTGGTGGGTATGCATCCCGTCGACTCATGGGAGAGGCAACGGCAAGACCGGCCGCAGAAGCGAGGGAAAGAGACTTGAGAAGCATCTTGTCTGATGTATAAACGAACGAGTTTTGATAATCACAGCGAGAGTGGGTTGTGTGAACTTTTTGGTTGATGTGGTTGTGGTGATTTGTGCGACGGGAGGCACTACTTTATATGTCTTGTTGACATTCCCTCAGCATACATGCGGTCCTTTTGGACTTTTGGTCAACCACGATGCGTCATTCTGTCGCGGAGCGGAGCGGCAACGTAGCGGCTGTTGACGCCAGAGCCGGTGTGTAGATCAATAGGCTTAGGGGGGCTTTTGGTGGACTAAAACGTAACGTTAACAGCGCGGCACTAACTCCCAGGCTCGAGTATAAGCGCGAAGAAGGCTGAAGTGGTATCGTGTATGCATTAGTGAGGTGCGACAGCGCCATCCTTCTCGTATAGTTGAAATCTGCCGGCACATGTCAGCTCCACAAGAAGACTAGTTGTAGGCGCAGGCTTACTTTTTTCCTTTTACCACGTCCCAATCTGGTGCTCGGACTAAACACGAGCTGTCAGCAATTTTATGCACGACAATGCATTACTTTCTCAATCCTAAATTGCTTCTCACCAATCCCTAAACCTGGTTCTATTCATTACGCCGCAATCACCTCATGCAACAGTGACATAGGTAGACATGCGATGCTTCGGCTGATCTAATGAGTGGCTTTTCTGAATTCTCCTCCTGGAGAAATACTGCGCTCAGGAATAATTAAAATAATATCACACACAGGCCAATTAAAAAAAACATAACCGATTGGTATATATTGATTAGAGCGGTCCAACAAGTGAAAAACGGGCCCACGTTGACTAGATATATAATCCATATCTTTTTCTTTTCTCTTTCCTTTTCTCTTTCCTTTTCTCTTTCCTTTTCTCTTTCCTTTTCTCTTTCCTTTTCTCTTTCCTTTTCTCTTTCCTTTTCTCTTTCCTTTTCTCTTTCCTTTTCTCTTTCCTTTTTCTCTTTTCCTTTTCTCTTTCCTTTTCTCTT